GTGTAATTCACTACACGTGAAATTACTGAAGTCTAAAATTCTAAACAAAAATAGTGTAAATTAATATACGACATCAGCAATCTAAAATGTGAACAGCAATCTAAAATTCAAAAAAAAAAATTGCATATTTTGTCAATTAAACTTTATAAACAAATATTTGCATTTTGATCGATTGCTAATATTCTTTGTTTACTATTTTACAAAAATAATATTTTAGATTAATCAAACTACCTTAAGACTGTCTGCTGCAGTAGTAAGTATGATCGCAGTGAGTAGACAAATTAACATTTCAAGCAATTCTTCGTTTTGTATTTATTTTTTTTTACTTTCTGTTTTAATCAAACTAAAATAATAGTCATAAAATCTGTAACTTAAAACAAAATATTCATTCAACTTTGATTTTCAGGTAATTTGGTTTTTTTCTCTACTTTTGCAACGCTAAACAAACTTCATATTTTCAGAGCTAAAAATTAAAAAATAATGTTATAAATTATTTAAATGTATCTTAATAATATGCTACGATTGAAGCATCAATTTTAAAACAAAAAAAATGATATTATTATTATTATTATTGTTATTAATGAAAAGACAAAGGAAGGTATGGAAGGATCAGATTGTTTCAAAGCTAATTTATAGGCTACATAAGTCAAAAATCAAATTTAAAATGAAATCATAGTTGAGTGCTAATTAATTTGATTAACTTTTGCCTGAATTAAAAAGTTAGATAGTTTTTGATGAATAATAAAGTAAATAGGTAAAGGATGCAAAAATTAAATATGTGAAGTCAAGTAGGCGAATGAATGAGTGAACGAATGACTAAGTGTGAGCAATGCCAACGAAGGAAATTGACAGGAACTGATCACACAAATCAAATCAGTACAGTTTTAATTTTATCTATCAGAAAAAGCAATTTGTTGTAAAAATTTGTCCAAAATTTTATTATTTGGTAGAGACTGCAAGAGTAATGTTGCAAGACTGCAAATTATAAACAACTTTAAACATTCATCAAATTTTATTCAATATTTTATTTCACTTCTGTTATCTTTAAGTTAAGTTAAGTTAAGTTAGTTTTTTTAACTCTAACCATTTTAATCAGTTTATTTGTATTTAATAAAATTAAAAGTTGAATCCAGATTAATAATGATCTTAGCAAAAATGACATTTGAATATTCATAAGATAGCTTATTTTTGCTACTTATTAATATTAAATTAAGTTCGTAGAGAAGGAAGAAATTCGCTGCACTGTTAGCTTGCTTCACAATTTTTCCATATTGTCTGTTGCTGTCTTTTGTATCAAGAACAGAAGTTTAGTCTTGAATTCTGTTAAGATTCTGTCACAATGAATTATGCTTGTCTTTATTAATAACCATTTCAGTATATGCACAATAATGTTATCATTTATTTGATCAAACACCACAATTCATAGTGAAAATCGCATAGACCAGTTAAATTCAATAATAATACTGAACTTTTTAAAATTGACCCATAACATGTTACTTTCATCGTTCATCATTAACCTAAACATGTATTTATGTTAGTAGAAATTTATCAGTATAATAATTTTTAGAAAAATTGTTTGTTATTAATTATTAAAAGTTTATTTGAATGCCAAAGCAACTTTTATTTTATTTTATTTTGTTTTGTTTTTATAAAATTAAAATATTTACAATTCATCATTTAATCAGTAGTGGATTATGATTAGATCTCGAAGAAATGTTGGAGTCACTGCAGTGCTCCTCATCCTCCCAAATCAGTTCTAGATTTCTTTGCTTACGCTTTACTTCACCAAACTTCCGTTGGATTTCGGTAAGAGCTCGAGTTCTTTCTACTTCCGTATTATTACTACTAAATAAAAATGTAATTCAAAAAAAATTTTTTCCTGCAAGTTTTGGCTCTTAAATTATTAGTTGACTAAAGTAAAGTATTTTTGCTGTACTAAATAATACTTGCAAGTAGTTAAATACTTTACATTTATTTTATTTAAATAATTTTCACGTTTAAAAAATCTCTAATCACAATATTACTTCGAAATATCAATTATGATTTTTTGATATAATAAGAGGTATTAATCTCTTTACGCCAATAATAATGAATAATTACAAAGATTCACCGTAAAGTATTATTGTTCATTCCTTGTAGTAAAATATCAGCGATATGCTTCAATTCTTGAATATCATTCGTAATATGCTTTCTTTCTTCGTTAAACCATTTCAGTGTATTTTCTTTCAAGCGTTTTTCTAAACTTTTATCGTCTAATCGAAGTGATAGCTCATCGAGGCGTTTACTTACCTTAAAATTATTCACGTTTTTTGACTAAATAATTGTTAAGCATATTTTATAAATTTTTGTTACTTTTTGAATAGTTGAATAAAACGTGTCGCTACAGTCAATTTTAGTTTCTTTTTCATTGAATGCATAACAAAATTTCCTCCAAGTTGCGTGTAATCTCTGATTAAGCTTGAATTCAGGTTGTACTTCCATCCTCAACGATCTTCTTAATACGAACGCTACTTGACACAATTCTTTGCCATATTCATAAGTGCTCTGAAATATTATCTCTTTTCATGCTTTATGAATTTACAATTCAAAAAAATACATGAATTTTTTTTACGATAAAATTTTTTTAAATAAAAATTAATCACAATTTTAGTGCAAGTTTGCGCAACGAATGATTTAGCTTTAGCTTTCAGTGATGATTAATTCAGACGTTCTCATTGACCGATCATATCGAATTTTCTAATTTTTTTAAACTTACTTAAAAAATAGTTTAGTTTGAAGAATGAAAATGAAAATAAAAATAACAAAGCAATGTTTTTTTTATTGGCTGCAGAAATATTCACTAACTAGTGCAGTTTTTTCAAGTTTCAATCTATTTTCTCGTAATATACGTCTTTGTTTTACGTCAAATTCTATCTCGTTGCATTCACTAATCAACGCTTCGTAAAGTTCTTCAATCCAAAGAACTGCCTGAAATAAGCAAATAACTAAGATTTTGCATTTTAAAATACTAAAAAAATTTAGACGTATTAGAATTATTCCTTGATTTGAATTAATTTTTAAATGTTAGATTATAAAATGAAACTCAACAGAAACTATGAATTAATAACATGTACTGATGCACACTTGTCTAAATAATTCACGTTAATTATAATTATTAATTATTATTATGACGACAATGATGACTCATAACTAATGTTGTAGATGTAATAATATTTAATTACAAAAATATACATAATAGTTTTGAATATTTGTTAATTTTGTAACTATGAAACACTCTACCTGTTCAGCATCTCTTTCACACGTAAAGAGTTGTAAAAGTTGTTGAATTTTTAATCTACGAAAATCTGACAAATTTTGACATCTTCTCCTTCTGTCACGTATTTCTTCCAGTCTTTCTCTGAAATACGTGCTCAAGTAAGCAATACAAACACTCTATGACGTTAAATGATTCGAAAGTTACCAAATTAATAAGTATAAATGAATAAAAGCGATAATAATATAAAGTGACCGGATATGTACAATGCCTGCAGAATAGTCTCGTGTAATTGGTCTACCCATCGAATTAGACTCATCAATGCAAAGTTCATCAATGAATGCCACACCATTTGTGATAACATTATGGTATGTTTTCTCTTAAATTAATTAATTAAATAATTTCTAATTTAGTTAATAATTTCCAAGTGTACAATAAATAATTTCAAGTTTTATCATTGAACTGATAACTTAAGTAAAAGTACCCATGTCATCAACTTTTGCTTCCATTTCATGTTGTTCCTTTGTTGCGCTTGCAATATCTGTTGCTTTCACATTTGTACACAATGATTCTAGCAATAAATCTGTCTTTCGTGAAAACTGAAGTTTTATTCATAATCAAATTTATATTATTCATGTTATAATAACTCAAAATTTGAACTGATTACTATATTCAAGCAAGAATTTTAGTATTAAATTTATTTATCTTTTTAAATTTTCGATATGTTATCATTACTTGTCTAATTTATTCTAGTATATATGTTATCATACTAACTTATAATTAAAGCATTAAAAAATTTGCAAATTTTCATTTCTCCTCACATCACTAAGTATGCAATGAAAGTTGACTGAATGCGTTACAATCACTTTCTGACGTGTTACACGTGAGCTAAATGCACGCATCACTTGCTGAAGTTTATCTATACTTTGTTGCGTTTTTGTTGCATGCTCGGGAAGCTCATATTGTAGCACACGTCCAATTGCTATCAAATCACGGGATTGTTCCTCTACTTCCTTAAAAAATAAATTTTATTTCAAATTTCATAAACTATTTTGATATGTATTGACAGTTTATTCTTATTAACAACGCATTATTTCCATAATAAATATTTACAATTATTATCATGAAATTAATTTAAAACAACACATTTTAGCGTACTATTCTCGTTATCCATTAAAACTATTGCATTTTCTTTATTCCATATTTGTATCTACATTAAAAAATACGAAAAAAATGAATTAAAGTCTACAGATCAAATAAAATTCTGATCAATCAATTGGTCAATAGATTGATCTGTTAATAATAAAAAATTTTTTTTGACTGCGAAACAAAAACCTTTAATTTGCTTCCTAACTCGTTGTGTTCTTTGAGTAACTGATTAGCATCGTCAAATGATTCTCCGATTTCATGCAAGGTAAGAAGCCATTTTTCACCAGCGTTTAGAATCCAATATACTAAATTATGCATGCCTTCAGCATGCTCTTCCAATAATTTCAATGATATACTTCGTTCCTGTTGACGAGATTTTTCTGCTGGCACTTCTTCAGTACTCTTTAAGTATAAGTTAATTAGCATAAAATAATTAATCATTTTACCAGTAAATTTGAATTTTTACTTGATTTCTTTGTAAAACTTTTTGATACTAAACTATCAAAAGAGCAATGTATTATTGTACATCAAACACTACTAAATTTATCATATTTAAATACTTAAAGAATTCTCTTACTTTTTAAAAGTCTGTTTAATTAAAATTTAAAAATAATACAGTATATAGTGGTTGGTTAGGTTAGGAATGAGCGAGAATTTAAACAATTTTAGAAAATATTTTCATACAATTTCTCACAAGAGGGCAAAGTTCAGTACTTTATGATTAAATGTAAATAAAATTGCCTTGATTTGCTTCATTAGCACTTTGATATGCTGACTTGCTGTAATCCAGTCTAAGTTCACAAAATTCTGATTCTGTCCACTTTTAGCGTTTTGCAATAATTCATCAAATAATTCTTGACCTGAACAAAGAAGCATTTGAGTCCGATACTCTAAAATCACTTTTTTGGAGTAATAAAATCCTGAATAATTATAAAATTTTGCCATTTCCAAAATTATTTTGAAGGAAGCTTTAATATTCACATTAATATTCAGAAAAAATCATAAGAATAGAAGATGAAAGAAATATTATTATTATTATTAATAGAGATAATTGTTTGTATTAACATTACTAGAGAACTGCTTTTGCTGATTTATTTTATTTTTGCAAGAAACTTGATTTTTGAAAATACACAAGCCTTGATTATTATTACAAGTTTGTTCGTTTTGATTAAAAATATTTGTAGCACATTTTCTTACCATTTTTGAGAAAATCGGTAGAGTTCATTTTGTTTTTTTCAAAAGTATTTTTATTTGATTGGACCGAAGTTGCGTGAATTGAGCTATCACATTTGCCATTGCTTTCTATCCACGTATTTGCACGTTTTACGTAATTTTCATATTTCTACAATATTATCATCAAAATGTTGATAATATATAATACGCTTACTTTTGACTAAATGCTAATTACTCACTTGCCTGAGAAGAGACCACGCATGAGGGTCATAGTGCAATGTTCCACCGAGAGTATCTGGTAACTGATTCACATCCACAAATCGTGATAACTTGTGAATAGTTATAAGAGTACACTAGAAAAATTCAAAAATTCCGTTATTTTAAATTATTTGTCCGCTGTTAATTAAAAAAAAATGTTATCTATACAAATAAATGAACTTCTTAATTATCATTTGCACATGATATCATATTTCAAAGTAGAAGATAACAAATTGCGATAAATACTTTAAAACTAACTTAATCTTTTCATTTTGCTATTGAATTACTGCTAAAATCAGCATAGATGCAGTATTTTTAATTTATTACTCCGAATAACTACATATGTGGTAGAAACCTAAAATTTAGTAAAGTAATACTAAATTGATTTATTTGAAATATATTTTGTTATTAGAGCTTACTTTGAACTGGTAGGCTTCTTTAATGAGCTCAAAGTTGAGCTTCTGTTGATCTAAGAATTTCTCTGGTTGTACAACAAGTACTAACTGAATTCGTTGATAAAGCGCTTGCTGCAATAAGCTCATGCTTGGACTAATACTTTACAAAATGAGAAGGATAATAAAATTAAACTTTAAATCTTGTTTACGGTAAATACTAAGTAACTAATTTAGATTCATTAATACTGTTATGCAAACACGGTAAAGCATCGTAAAAAATGACAAAAAAACAAAATAAAACTATAAAAACTTGACACGCTCGTAAAGCACAGCGTAAGTGTTTAATGATTGCTTTACGTCCGTCAATTATCACAGTGAACGAAAGTTTGCCAGCATTTTGTTCTGGTATTTGAGCCAAATAACTGATAACTGATACTAACTTGTGATAATTAGGGTTAATTACAGTCTCGATAAATTTGCCATTTTCAACAAGAGGTTTATTCTTACCTGCAAGGCATTAATATAGGAATAATAATTAAACTATGAAATTATATTGGGATAATTGTTATCTACTTTTTAAATATTATAAACATATTTATCGTACTGATAAAAACATTACAGTCTATTCACTGTATGAAATTATACCGTACCAAATTAAATTCTATTGACAAGTTATTCATAATTATGAAAGAATTAAGCAAATATTTAGTAATGAATTGACATGAACTATTTTCTTCAATACTTAACAGTATTCTGCCACATTGTTAGCACTGAAAGTAACTAATAAACGTACCAGTTTGTGAATTGTTAGTATCAATAAAGTTTATGAAAATCAGTGGTGAATTAGAACGATCACGACAGCCTGCAAAATATAGCTCATATTTTCATTAACTCATATTAATATATCATTATTAAAAATCTTTACATGACGAGATAATATACTGAAAGATCTACCTGGTAGTGATACAATGCATGATTCAATTAAGCGTTGATCTGATTCCTGCATCTTCCGCCACCGATTATCGACTGATCGATTTATTTAATTCATTTAACAATTCACTTCAAACAAAAAATAACTTGTATAGTAATTACTTGATAATTCTAAAAATTTCTCATTATTCAAATTTTGCGAGGTATTTCTGGCTTTTTATCGAATTGTCATCTAAGGTTCCATTTATTTTTTCTGATGCATAATTCATGGGTTAATTTCGTTTAGATGTCCAGCAGGATATATTTCACATTTCATTTCTTATCATCAATGAAAACATAGATAATTAGTAATTAACTTATTTGCATAATCAATAAATCAATCTTAAAAACCTAATCCTATCAAGTTTACTTTTATGATTACTGTTAAATTACACTTCAATAAATTCAGTATTGAGTTCAATTTTGTAGCTACAAGTAATCTGATATAATAGTTACACTAGTAATAATATTATGGTATATAGAGGTTAATATAAATGAAAGCAACAAACTAATGGTCATAGTTAGCACATGATATGAGGTTAACTAAAATGAAAAGCCACGAAAAAAAAAGAAATTTTTATTCGCATAATATCAGAAGTAATCAGTTTTGAATAAATTAATAAATATATCAAATATTATAGCATAAATTCAATAAGGACTGTAAAGTTGTGGTAAACATAAATGATACAAAGTATAGTAATATTAATGCAAGACTTTCAGGTCATTGCCATTTTCTTCTCTGTCTCTCATTTCTATTTCTTCAAATGAACTCTAACCTCTGAAAAATTAAGTACCAGAACATGTATCTCATATCTCAGATTCTACGCAAATATTTGAAAAGATTAGCCAATGAAGTTTTGATCACAATGATCGATCGACGCAGTCAATAAGTATAACTTTTCAACTGATCAACAAATTTGCCTTTCAATGACATTACCTCACTCAGCACAGTACGAACCAGTACAATGATTAACTTTTATTTCATTCTTCAGTTTTACTTCACTTTATCATCTCTTACGCACTGTACTAACAAAAGTACTACAAAATGATTACTTACAAAAGTAATGTAAATATTTTACAATGAATAATACAAGTCATTTTAATACGAAATTAATTGTCATGTATTATATAAAGTTGCGTTATTAATTACTCAAATCATTTTTTGATCGTAAAACTACACAATATTCTTACAACTATTGCAATCACTTTTTGTTAATAAAAGAAAAATAAAGCAATCAATAAATAATAGAGCGATTAATAATATTCTTCTATAATAAATTATCATTTCTGGGATTAAGTCTAATCTACTTTATCCTTAATTAATGAATACAGTCAACAATCTGCTTCATCTTCCAATCCTCGTTATTTTACTCTGTTAACAGTGGCGTTTTTCTGTACAAATTGAGGAAGAAAATAACAGAAGTAATCAAGTAAGTAATACGCATGAACTTTCAACTCTAAATTCTTGAACGCATTTAATCCATTATAAAGCAAAATTACTGCATCTGCGCCGTTTCTTCTTAGAAATAATACTTTTTTGAATAAATTTTTAGAAAATTCATCAATTTAAAAAAAGAATAAGTGATTGAGCAAAGAATTTCTTGAAGTACTGTTCACTCGCAGTGATAATTTTTGATAAATTGTAATTTCCACTGATAATTATTAAGCAGTGCTAAAGAAATGGTGTTTAGTTGTATTGAACTAAAATAAGAGTAAGTTTTAATTTTATTTACAAAATTAAATAAATGGAAAGTGGAGGTTAGTTTTAATTTTCGCTTTATTGGTTCTAGCGCTGGATCGCATTCTGGCGCTCTGGTAGTACTTGTCCCACGCTCAGATTTATTGAATTCTCTTATCTATTATTATTATTTTTTTTTAATTGCTTTTTTATTTAAATCTTATAAAGTTTTAGTTCATTGTTTTTTGATAATCATTTAAGTTTGGAATGATTTGCATTAAAAAAGTCAACTCAGACTAACCTTAGCTATGATGCAATGCTAAGATTGTATATGCAAGTTAGTTTGGAATTAATTTCCATTGTGTACTCAATCACTTGCATTAGTTAACGATACCAAGTGAAATTTACAATTGTAAGATAGACTACTTTGATTGTTTCTTAAGTCAATTTTGTGCAGATTTTGATTTTGTAAGGTATGCATCAGATAATGCATACAAATTTTAATTAATATTATTAACAAGCAAGATTAGTCAGTTTTGAAAGATTTATCCTTATATATTATAATTTATTGCTGAAATTAGTTTGTTTTTTAAATATGTTACCAAACTTTTGAAGCAATAATAATAATTAACAATAATTATTACTAGTGTTATTACAAAGCAACTTTTTGATTACTGTGCATGAGAATTAAGCATTTCTTGAACAAAAAAAGCATAATAAAATAATTTACAAAGTATTAAATAAGAATAAAATGAAGTGAGTAATGGCAGAAATAAGTATATTTATAATTTTTTCTTATCAAATTTTCTTCTAATATAGATGAAAAAGTGTACAGTATTTGTAATATTCACACCAATACTATGCTTTGAAGTTTTCTAACAATTTAATATACTTTTCTAAAATTGCTTACTTTTTATGAATTGGTAGAGAAATTAATTGTATAGTCAATTGATTATGCACAATCCTTTAATACTACTCATCGAAAAAAGCAAAAATAAAAAATTAAGGGATAAAAGGATAGAAAAAAATTATCGAAAAGTAGAAAACGTCTGATAACAGCTGTACTAATACCCATATCCAAACAAATCTGACCAAGCTCACGTGTTCATTCCCTCAAATCCTCGTCTCAAAGCGAATCTAACCAGGTTCACGTGTGCATTCACTTAAATCCTCGTCTATCGCACTCAAATTGTTCATCTTATTTTGATGTAATTTATTCAGTTCAGTATTTCCATTTCATATCTATCTATCATACTGCAAGTGTAATGCATTTTTCATCTGGATTCTTTGCAATGAAAATTTAATCTTTTTACTTGCATACAAAATTTATTCTCGATTACGCTTCCCTTCCAGATTAGACTATTTTGAGGGCAAAATTGTATTGTATTGTTAATAATTTCTGATAATAAGTAATGTAATTAATAAGTAAAAGTATTATCTAAGATGGCGTATTAGTGCCTTTTGCTACATTTTCTTTAAACTTTTGTGTCACGTAGCAAAGGCAAAAAAGTTTGTTTGCGGCAGTATTGATGTATTTCTCGATTCTCGATGCGTCTCGCCTGCCAAAGCACAACTACTCAACCACACACATGCAATAATCGATTCCCGCTCCGCTCTACTCCCTGTTAAAATTTTTCTTTTATCGTCATTTTACGTCAACACGTAAATTTTACTGCAACCTTTGACCTTACCTTTTCTCCATCTTCTTTACAATTATTACAGTACTAGAAAACAGTGCCCAGATTAGATCATAAATAATGCCATTTGTTCTGTTTGTGCAATGTTTGTAACTTTTATATTCATAAAAATCATTTTAAAAATTGCATTTTGTCACGTGTTATCGTTTGAACATGTGTGCTTATTCACGTAAATATTTGCTTTCTTGTGCTATAGCAGCATATTGCCAATTATTTTTCTCTCGACACAATCATTTCCAAGAATCAGTGCTATTGCCGTAGTACAACTGTGCTAACTTCCGGCAGCAAATTATTAACCTTTACATAAAATTGATACTTACGTGACGTTATTGTTAAAAAAAGTCAATAACGTGACTGACGCAAGTTTTAGAAGTAAAACGCTTGCATGGCTGTACTAGACAGTTTACTGGCAAAGAAAGAAGACAAATCAACCGTATCTTCAGTAGCAAATACAAGAAAGGTTAACTTTTCAAGCACTCTTATCAGTCAATACTGACATTAACCAATCCCGATCAATCAATAGTATGAATTGATCATTTTGAAAATAAGATATAAAAGTTTATGGTATCTATAGAAGTAAATCCACAAATTGCTGACAAGATTTATATGCTTTCTGGATTGTGCACGACAGTGTCAATGTGACAAGCAAGTGATTATATTTGGTAATAAATAATTACGTCGACAAATGATGGCTAAACATCAAGTTGTAGACAATAAGTGCTGAACAGACCGGTGCTTACTTAAACTGAACAAATAAATTGCAAAGAAGAATGAAAAAAACAATCAAGTGCTTAATTGACGAGCTGTAATAAGTGACAATTACAGATTAAAAGAAATCGTTCAAATGTCCCGAAGCGCACCGGCGGAAAAGTAAAAAAGATTAGCAAATCAGCTCGCGCAGGACTGCTTTTTCCAGTCACGAAATTTCACCGATTACTGAGAAAGGGTCGTTACGCCAGACGGATATCGCAGTCTGCTGCGGTGTATTTAAGTGCTGTCATTGAATATCTTTCCGCTGAGGTAAATTTCCTTGCAAATAACCTATGACCTAATGTTATTTTTGCTAACAAGTAAGCAAATTGTAGTGCTCTTGTGCTACAGATGCTAGAACTGTCCGGGAATGCATGCCGTGACAATAAGCGACATCGACTTATTCCGCGACATATCGTGCTCGCCATGAAGAATGACGAGGAACTGAACCAGTTTTGTGCGCGGGTCACTTGTCCTGGCGGGGGCGTCCTTCCTTTTGTTCATCCGGTACGTCATTCATACTCTCATATATTTGACTTCCAAATTCTTGATGCGCGCTCATTATTGCTTTGTTTGTATTGCAGATCAATGTTACAATCTTTAGGCTTTGTTTGCAAAAGGTGGAAATTCAGTACCGTTACGACCAGTACGACGAATCACTGGAAGCTTAAGTGAGCCAGATGCTACATAATTTTCTTACTGATACGTTTTCCTTTTACGTTTAGTGTGATCACTGGAATTACTCGAATGTCGTATGAATTTAGATCGATTCATGCGGACGTCCATTTCTCTGTATGTCATGTGAAAATTCACACTACTGTCATAATTTCTCAGAATTAACCCATTCTTATCAAATTTCATTTTTATTAATTGACAATTATTGCTTTTAATGCATAAAAACAAGTATACGATCAGGTAACAGTGTGTGAATTTTGCATTTGCATGTAACTTACAGCAGACATGGTATATTCTTTCATCGCTCTTTCCAACCTTCATTTATTTATACCGGTACAGGTACACATGCACATTATAACATATGTATGTTCATCTGCACTACATGCACATTACACATGCATAATGTGCATGTAGTGCAAATGAACACTGTGTAAAAATACAAGCTTTACAACAAAATGGTGCATTACCTCGATAACTCAAATAAGCCTCCCAACAAATTGTAAACACATGTCATCCCCATTACCTGCTTCTGCTATGTGCTGTAATTACTCACTGCGCACTTATTGATAGTTAGTGTGATGTAGACCAAAATGTCAAAGTTTTCCAGAGAGTATCATGCAATTAGTGTTCCATTTCTTGACAATTTTCAATGTTGTCAATTTTGTCAACTTATCAGCGATGTTGTTTGCTCTCTGCTATAATGCTTAATTTAAATTATTAAAATTGAAGTTTCAACAGTTGAAAATCCTTAGTAACAAAAAATTTACTAGAGTAATTAATCGTATAAAAGATTTATTTTGCATGTCATATTGAGAGGATAATTTTTAGCTCTTTACCAAAAATTAAAAAAAAGTCATCCATTCAAAATGCGTACAGTAACGTTAGGTATTTTCTGGCTGCCGATTATCAGCAATTAATTGAAAAAGCAGAAGGGAGGCATTTAAATACTATCCTTTATTGTGTTTATGTATCATCTGAATGTTATTATTGTATTTGTGATGATATACTTTTGTACAAAATCGAAAAAATAAACATGAGGAATGGCATTTAATTTCCTTGAGTTTACTTCAGTGGTAAACTTCCCTTCATGATAAAAAACGAGCGCGACTAAGTTTGGTAGTTCTTTCGTCATATTTACATATGAGTGTAAGTACGGAAAATATGACGTCTGCGTCGTCTATTACTGCGGCGGTTGGGAATGACGCTGAAAAGTTACAATGGATTGTAGTAAATCAAGTGGTACGTTGTTGTAATGCTTCTTTAAAATTAGAAATTTTTGCAATTGATGTTAATTTATGTAATTTATATCACATGTTTTATTGTACAGGAAGGAGTGCAGATGCGTGAAATGTTTTGGGATTTAAGTAAGGATGTTGATGTTGGTGAGTTGGTCTGTAATGAAGCTGTGAAACTTTTGCGTACAATGACTGAGGTAATTTTATCCCTTTAAGGTTTTAAATTATTTCTGAGCTATGAATGATGGAGGAGAAATTTTGTATCAGATTTATAGAATAATACTATATGTACCTAATTTCAGGAAGAAAAAGCACATTGTTGTAAGTCATCACTTTCTTTACTTTCAAACAAAGAAGAACCCAGATACGTTCATTATGAAAGAATTTTATCATCAATATTTATGACTGCTTGCAATGAAGGTGTCCTTTCTCTTTCGTAAGTTTTTATTCAGCAATAAAGTACTATGAAATTTCAAGTTAAAAATTTCTGAAATATTTTATGTGCTTATTTTGTTGCATTTAATTTTACTGCTATGTATGAAACAATTTTTCTGTACTTAAAATCATTAAGGATGTTTATTTTTGATTATCAGAATCAGATTCATTATTCGTTTCTCGCCATATTCATGACAATTTTATACGAAAAAGTCTGCTTTTTATTTTAAGTCTGAATTGCTTATTATTATTTTATAGTGACTGCTGTGAGTTGCTTATTTTGAGTACCAATTTCACTCTCACAACACCTATGGATGCGCGTAAATTCGAATACATGCAGAAAAATTTACATCTGATTGATTACAAGGGACTTCGAAATATTTTGAAATTGCTTGTTGTTGAGCGAATGCAAGAAGTACCATCAACAATCACACATCATCACCGTCATATGCTTTTGCCTGTTGAAAATGTTTGCCTTTTTAAATATAAAACTATTGAATAGCAAATTATTTTTTATTTAACTATTGTATAGGGAATTTTTTGAAGGAATGAAATCGTCTGATTTTATTTTTAATTTGGATAATTTCATGAATGCTACCTTTCACTTAGAGCTTTATTAAGCAGGAATAATTTTCAGATGCTGTTGACGTTAATCGACAGACGACTGAATCTTCTTCCTTGCTTATTCACTATTACTGAATTGCATCGTGTTTCCAGTAACTCACGAGCTTTTCTTCTGCCGGTTTATTTTTATTATAGCTTAGCAGCCATGAAATTTCTAGTGACAGTAGAAATTTAAAAAATTCAGGGGACAAGATTATTTATAAACAGAGCAGGTGTTTTTAAACTGATAATGATATTTCATATATTTATTATTTTAGAGAGTGGCAAAGAAATTCAATGATATGTTTATTTCTTTCCGGCCGCTTACTGAAATGGTAACAGTGATTGGTAGATCTTGGCTTTATCCTGTGGCAACTCATATTTCCTTTCCAGTGAGCACCTCGTCTTGGAGACTTGAAGTTACAACTACACGTTTACATCAGCGAGCTCACCTTCCTTATAGATCTGAACTTTTCGCACCTCAGTCTTCATTACTTTACACACTTCTCCGACAACCTCGTGGAAAGGATACTATTTCTGTTAGTTTCATGTTTATTGATTAGAAATAAAAAGTAAACATCGAAACCACAATTAGAAATGAAACAAAAATTACCATTTTTTAAGCGCTTATTAAAATATTTACTTTCATATGTAAATATTTTGTTGTTTTTTTTCTCACTAGCATTAAAATGCATCTAAATAATCTATATTGCAGTATGTTATGCGGCAAAATGCGAGTTTAACTCCTCAGCGATTACAGTGTGATGAATTATTGCATATGATCATTCTTGAAGCAATGAGTGAGATGGAAAAGACTGATACACGTCTTGATGATCCGGCAAATCAATATCAGTGGATGAACATAACTCATACAGTTACGTTTTCATTACTACATGGAAATGCGTCGTTTTCCCGTCTTCTCAAAATACTTAATGAATCGGTAAAATTAAAAAACATCTTATTCAAATTATGGTGCCATTAGTCTAAAATTGTAGGGAAGATTGCAATATTTTTCGTTCATCCCATTTTGGTATCACATTTGACTCTTACTTTTCCTTCAGGAATTCACATATTGTTTCAGGAATAAATATGGTTAATCTTCCTCCATATTTTTGGACTTGTTTATGATCATTATTTGCAAAGCAATTTTTACTGTTTTAATAATATTTACTTCATTTTGCTTCAGATTACTCAAAATCTAAGACTTATATCAAATAGATAAAAACTTTATTTCAATATTTTTTGTGTTTTAAATGGATTTAATGTTGAGTGCATCATGTTTGGTCAAGTTCACTATTTTTCGGTAAAAATTGTAGCTCTCAGAAACAGTTTATCGAAAGGGAAGAGATGAATTGATGTGGGTTATACTGCAATACGTCGCTGTTTATATCGATAGAGTATCCAATGAAGAAATGGCTCGCGTTGCAGATATATACAACTTGCTTTATAGGTTGCTGTTATATATTTTGGTCATATTTTAAATCCACTAAATTTATGTTACTGAACATATTTTCTCAAATTATGTCTGTGTTCAGTTATGTTTATGTGAAGCACTATTTAAATTTTTAGTATTAGTATTGTAAAAATACAAGTTTTAAATATTAATATTGTAAAATTCATATAAGTAAATAAAGGTAATTCATGAAGTCACGTTTTTATACTTCATTATTTAGCGATGAACAGACATGGTCTGGTGCTGATACCGATCCCTTGTTATTTGTTCGATTCTTAGTTCCAGCTGCCATTTGGATTCATTTTTACAAAAAATTAGGTACTTCTCATTCTGAGGTGCTCCCAAAACCTTCAGAATCCCTTTGGAGGCAGATACAATTTCTACAAGAAAGAACGGCAGATTCAGATCCAAATATTCAAAATGTTGCTGATCACAATGCTGTTTTGGCTGCAGTTGCTAATGCTTGTATGACCGTTCTTCTTTTGAACAGTCACAGATTATTGACTAATATTTTTCTCTCTGTTTTTACAAATCCCACAATAAACACAATATAGTCTGTTTTGCTTGGACTGTTGTGTTTTAGAGAAAGTGCTGTTAAGACTTCTATTTGTTTATTTTAGAACCAAAAACACTGTGATGAGTAGTAATAGATTTGAATGCCTAAGTCTGCTCCAAAAACACACTTTAATGACTTCATATAGCAATTGTTAAATGAATCTTTTAAATATGATTGAAAAAGGTTATTTTTTTTCAGTCAGCAGCGATATGCCAAATTTCCAGAAATTAGTGCTTACGGCTGTCGATGTTTTTCTAGACGGATCGCAAGAGGAAGTTAATACAGTTTGGCACCTTCCACATGGAATCATCTCATACTCCAAAAAGACGCCTTTACCTCTTTCATTGATCGATTCATTAACGTTTCACGCTCGAAACCATCTGTTTCAGCTTTGCTTACTAAAACTTACGGCTATGCTTTCTGTTCAGCAAACACAGAAACTTCCTAGTCCTGCCACAGTCGGTATATCTAGCATTTATATTGTACTGGAAGTTTTCCGGATTTCAGCTTTCTACATTTTTGTGATTTTTACAGATTCGTTTGGTGTTGTGACATATTCTGTTTTTTTTAGACACTCTTGTCCGCCTGGCAGTAACAACGGAATTCGAATATGGTGTAAAGCAAGTCCTGGCACTACTTTCTTCTACTTTAGCTTCTGTTAACAAAAATGCGGGTTTAGGACCAGCTCAGCAAGATCGCTCTCGCGATCTACTCTATGTCCTATGTGATATTCTTTCATACCGATTTATCAGTTATCCTTTTCCAGTAGGATCAAAGGTTTTGTTTTTGATTTTCAGCAGTTGCATTTCATCCCATTTTCCAATGTATTTTCGATTATGTTTAGATATTAGTCAATTTTTTTTTTCACTTAAGGTTAACTTGATGTTATGGTGTTATACAGCACTCGGAAACAATCAGATACAAATGAATATTGCGTTGTGTGCAGCTCTAGAACAAGTTATATTACGGTTTTGGATGTGGAACTCACCACAAGAAATGTTTTATTTAAGCAATGCCTTTCTAGGTTTATTGCAGTTTACAAATTTAAATTTTACAGATATCTTTGTACATTGATTGCCTTGAAATGAACACGGACACTTTTACTTATCAGTAATTTTTTTTCATTCCTTGGATCTCTTACATACTATTTGATGAGTTTATTTTTTTTAAGCTTGAAAATATTTGGACAAATTTAGGTAAGCAAGGCAAGCTAGCAAGCATGTTCAATACTTCTAATTCTTCATATTGTGATCCTCAGCATGGAACTGCCGCGCATGAACGGCAGTACGTAAATTCTCACGTGTCTCCTGAACTTCTGAGATGCCTACTTTTGTCCATGTTCAGATGTCTCAAGATGACGGGTAATTAGACTACACTGAAATAATGATTTTTTTACATCTTATCAAGTAGTTACTGTCCTACTCTGTCTTTCTTTGATTGTCAAATATGCAGTTTTGAAGTTTATGAGATGAACAAAGCACTTTTTTGGTCATTATTTCACTTCCAAAATTTGTGCCAAGTACCTTTTGACATGTAAATAATGTATTCGGAATTTTATTCTTAGATGGTATCAGATTTTTTTCTTAGTTCTATTTCGCACCGAAAATCTTCCGTCTAATTCAGGAATAGAAATGACCACAGAAATGATACAGCGATGTAATGCAAATTTTTGTTGGCCGGTGTCAGTTAGTCGAGTATATAGTTCTCAGCTCACAGGATGTACTGTTGATGATGGCGTTGCTGATGCTGGAATGTGTGATGAATTAATGCATCGTGTGGTTCAGGAAGTTCATCAAGTGCAAGGTTGAGTTTTTAAGACGTGGCAAAATTAATTTTTCTAGTACAGAAGTGCTTTGAAATTTCGGATATTTTATTATTTAGTGGTCATCATTTCTTCAATAGTGATGGTCAGTTTTTTTTCATCTTGCCAATTACTTACTGTCGTACTCTGTGTGCTATGGCTTTTGAAATGGGCTCGACTTTAAAGAAATGTTTAGATGTGTTCTCTCGCTTACTCGTAAATCACATTCACTTTTGCTGGTAAATATATACCTGCTAAAATATTTGTGACATACGTAAACATTTCACTGAAAATTTGTAGAAATAAGAAAACTGTAAATAAGCAAGGCATTAAAATTTGAGCAAGCAATTACTATATATCAATATATAGTAACTGTGCTTCTTGCATAAAAATGACATACTTGCCCTTACTCTCGATTGCTGATATGACTTAATATATGCTTTCTAATACTGTATACAAGTTCAAAGCTTCAGATTATAATATAATTGAAACTAGTAGCTTACGAAGACAATGCAGTATCATTAAGATATAAATAATATCATGATGTTCATCGCATAGTGTTCAAATAACATTTGTAAAATTTTCTTTTTTGAAGTCGTTCTACTATCGAGAATAGGAAGTTAATCAAGTGCAAGGTTGAGATATGTTACCTTCAGAAGTCTTTTTTTGTTTTTTTGATTTTTAGAAATTATTTATGCGCAAGGTTTGGCTGCTGAGGATCAACTGCTGAAGTTTTTTTCTGGTGAGCGGAGACAAACAATTTTCTGTGTTGTATACAATATGTTATTTGAGACCAAAAAAATACATCCCGTTGTGTATTCGTAAGTTTATCGTATTCAGTGCGCATGTTTTACTAAGTTTTCTTTATTTTAAAGTTTTCAGTAAAGACACTGTTTTATGAAATTTTTTCCGCTTTTAATTTTTACTCCATTTTCTAAATGTTCTCAAGTGTTTTTGAATCTTTGTTTATTTTTGCTCTTTACTTCTGCATCATTGTGCGTAAGGTACGTATATACCTGTAAGTCTTTATATCTTTGCAGTGTACTGAATTCAATGAGTAACAAAGAACTAACTGCATCTATTAACAAATTCACCGATTACTTTGTTTTTATTTTCAAGAAAAGTCTTCCATCAGACGACCAACAATTCGCTGCGGTAACGAGTTAAAAGTTGTGTTCGTCTATGAATTGGAAAGACATTTTTTCGAAATCTCTGTTTAGCTATAGCTGCGATCTATTTTTTATTGAATTTAATTACTGTGTCTGGATATAGCATGTTGTTGTCAATGCTAGAATTAATTGTTTTATTTTAACTGTACTTTTAATTTGGTTTATTTTATTCTTTCTATTTAGATGATTGGAATATTAAATGACATGGTTTTTAATTTGCATTTGATATCACTTGATCGATTATTTACGTCTCTTGTTCTTCATCCAACTGACGATGGTGGAACGGAAATAGCCATGCTTATAATTCACTCATTAGTTTGTTTTCTTTTTCATTTGTATATTTTCAATTGAGTTTTTTTTTTTTTTATATTTTAATATCGTGTTTATGTCTACAATGCGTCCACTATAGTAACATTATCAATTGCTCCCTGGAGATCTAAGCTTTTTATATAAACATGACAAGTTCACGTAAATCCATTTTTGAAGAAAGAGAAAGTTAGCATTAATTAATAAGAAAAATCAAGTCATCTGAAGGGACTAAATCAATATTACTTTTATATGTAAAATTAAAGTGTTAATGATAATATATTATTTCGAACAAATAGATTACACAGACATCAATTTATTATTAGAAACTTTGTTCATGGTATTAGTTTACATTACATGTATTTTTGTTTTTGATCTCAGTTCTCTCTTTTTCTAGGTAGGATCATACTCTGATTTGCACAATAGAATTACTGCATTAGTACACATAATTCCTTCAAATAAAATTGTTAATACGGGCGCAGCATTTTTCAATAAAATGTCGGAGTACTATTCTGTGAGTTTTTTTATAAGTTCTTTATTATTTTGACAAGTTTTATAATCTCGCAGTGGTTTTTGAAAAAAAAGTTTTTTACAGCAGTTTCCAGAATTAACGTACCGTGAAATGGAAGCAAAAATGCGCAGAGAAATGCAATTAGAACTGGGCATGCGTCCAATGGAGCAGCCGATTGTCAGTCCTGAATTACATATGCCAATTTATTATGGTAATATTATGGAGCGGATACTCCCTGTACGTTTTGAAGCTTCTAAAATACAGTTTTTTTCATTCAAAACTTATGTGTAATTTATGATCAAAGTATGTCCGTTTTGCATAACAATTTGTGCTATAATAGTGTACAAATGTTCATTATATGATTGAGGAAACTTTAAACAGTTCTGAAAGCTAAGACATTGAGAGTTCACAATCCTCATATTTTGAATTCCTAAATTTAGAAAATATGCTGCCGAGTTTTTGAATTTGTTTATCAGATTTGCATTTGTACAGGTATTGTAATTTGCACCTGATCTCTGATTTTAAATTTTGATTAGTATGCCTTACATAATTTTTTGGAAATAAAAGCGGTTTTAGTTGACCTCTGTTATTAATTTTTGCTTTAATTAGGTTGTGGATATAATTCTGCTTCGTGCAATGGAAACTGTAGTTGCTGATCAGTTGTTCACGACATTATTGATGAGCTTCAAACCATGTTACCGTTATCACCGTAATCATTACTAAAATTAAATGGGGAAAAAAGAACTTCTGAAAATTCCATTGATTGATTGAAGAGTTGGCTTTACTGATTGAAGAGTTGACTCTCAATAAATTTCGAAAAATTGACGGGAAAAATTACTGGTGTTTTATGCTAATAATTTTTTTGCTCTCAATTTTCACTTGTATTCCGTATACCTTTTTTTTTAAATATAGCCAATGTGCATTCAGTGTCCATTTATCAGCAATTTTTCAATATTGCACACTATCCATGGTTTTAGCTCAACCAGCAGCTTACATGTATAGTGTTCTATACTGCTTGGATAAAACTGTATCGCACACAGTTCGTGCTAGGGATTTCGTGCTGGAAATTTGCGGGCAGCTCGAAGATAGGTATGTCTTTATCCGGCTTTTGTGTCTTTATATACGGTCACTTTCTTTGCGTCAGTGTTAGTCTGTATTTCTTCTATTCTCTATTCTTCATACATTTGAATAGATTTCTCGGAATCTTTACTTTTTTTAGATTTTTAATTGTGATAGAGCTTGATTGATTGAAGAATATTTTTTAAGGGATGGTAAATACGCTCTTCTTACACCTTCATTCATATCTGATAACCATCAGTTATCTCTTCCATCGCAGTTTTGTCAGGCTTTAGTAGATCGCATTTTGCAAGCCTCCAACTATCCACATCAGCCTCCGTCCTTTGCTTATAAAGTAAAAGTTGTTTGAGAACGGTTTTCTCCAATTTTCTTAGATTATATACTGGATGTTTCATGTCTTCATATACCTAGGATTGGAGGTTTGCGGAAATGCCACCTGTTGGTCAAGCTCTTACGGGTGCTTGCATAGAGCTACTTGCTTCACCACATGCTCCTTCCATTACTGCTCGTTCTCTAATTGATTTGGTATTTAATCGACCTTTACATCAACCGTTCGTTTTTAAACTATTTTTTATTAAAAAAACATACAAAAAATTATTATATTTACACCTCTAATTCTCCACAATCTTATACTGTAAAAGCACTGCTCTAAATATTTAGTGCGATTACTATGATTTATCAATCGCTTGGATTTTTTTTCAGGTATGCAACTATCAATGCGGTTGCGCTGATTTTAACTGCCTTACCACTTTCTTTTCAACAAGTTTTTTATGAACATATTGTGTCAGTTCTCGATTCTGAAGCATTGCACGGTATGATAGATTTATTTCAATCCCAGATAAAAATACGATTTTAAACTAGGAACGTTTAGGTGATCCATCCGCCTGTTTTGGAAGTCTAGAAAGTGAATGTTTTTTGTTAACTGAGAACCAGTTATTAACGAATCTTGCTCTTGGACATGCTTATTTGCAGCATTGCAACACAGTTTGTGTTTTTTATCATTTTTGTTTTCAGTTTCTAGAACAAGAGTTCTGTAAAGATGTGGAAGTAAATATTTTATCACCCTTTTTCTCTCTGATTAGTTGATGTGCACAATCATAATGAAGTACTTCAAATTTATAAATTTTATTCAAAAATTTTCCATTTCTTCACTGGTTTTGGAATTTAACTTGTGCAGAGATCTTGTAGAGTTCATTAGCCGCTTTACCTGAGTTTGTACGGGATCAGCTTGCACCAAAATTAGTTACCGAAGCACAACTCATATTTGTTCTTCGACTTGTTGTACCGATTTTGCAGCGTTTATATGATGCTAAAGAAAGAAGCAAGCAAATACAAGACGTGAGTTAAATTGCTACTTTCAATCAGTATTTTTTGGTCTTTATGTCAAATGATCTCATACATCTTTTATTAGAGTAATATGCATCATTCGTATTTTAAAATTCAATAAGGTACATTTATTTTAGCTTGCAGTGGACGTTTACAAGATGACTGTAAAAGTGAATGAACGAGTAGGTATATTAAAGTACGAAGATTCTATATGCGATTTTCTTTATCATATGAAATACATGTATGTTGGTGATTTCGTGAAGAATGAAGCAGAGCAGGCAATACAGCGTTTGTCACCATCTATGCGGGATAAACTGCAATATATCTCACATTCCCAAGCAAATGTTACTGGTGATCTTCCATATAAACTTGATCCTGGTCCATCCAGTCTTTTTTAAATATTTTCACGGGTACTTTGTATTTATTTTGATGTGTTATTGATTTTATAATAATGTACAGTATCATAATAAACTGGTTTTTTGAGACCTCCTGCATTACATAATTGTATTTCAACTTATTATTTTTGTTGTAAACAAGCAAATTTAATTCTAACTCTGAATAAAAATTCGTAAACACGTTAATTGTGTGTTTTTTTGAAACATGTCTTCAGAATAGAAGTTTTCTGATGTAGTTCTGATTTACTGGCGTTTCTTTGAAGCACATTGAAAGTACAGTGTGTAGATGGAGCATGGCGACGTCGATCTGTCATTTTCTGAAAGAATGAAAGTGGTCAGACAGGTATGTCCATCGTTGATTATGGAGTGCATTGTGTATTTTTGTGTCATTGGTATTTTGAAGAGTACATGGTACTGGGGAAATATGTCCTGGAGAGATGCCGAGAAAGTGTTGATAAATCAATTACCTGGAACTTATCTCGTTCGTGATTCAGCTAGTGACCGTCATATTTTCACTATATCTTATCGAACTGAGAGTTCAGTTCATCATACGCGTGTATCTCAGTATGGAGGGAATTACTGTCTCGGAGGTTACGTATTTCTATTTATTAAAGTATCTGTTATATTGGTAATTCAAGCATAGAGTCTCTTGTTTTTGATTTTGATTGCAAGTAATTCAACAACCATTTATAATAAAACTGCTGTTTAACTTTTTTTTCAACAATAATTTTCTAACTGCCTTTATAACATTACTATCTAACTTAATATTTAACGCCTTAAATGGCTTTAAAATCTTGTAAAGTAAAAATAGTTTCATAAAATTTTATTCTAATCTTCTTTTAAGTTTATGAATACTTTCTAGCTGTGCAAAATTTTAAAAAGTATTTAATCAAAAAATTCTATGAAATATTTAAAATGCGAATGCAATTTCGTTTAAAAACTATTTAATCAGGACCGAATTCGTTGCTTAAATCAAAGTCGTTGGTTTCTTTCATCGAACATGCCTTGCAAAATTATGGCAAGAGAAAGTTTTCCATGTTGATGCATTCAAAAAGTGACCACACAGGAATAGAACTACTCGAACTGAATCATTTGCTGCATCGTCATGAACTTCTGCCATCCTTGAAATATTTGTGTCGAGTAGTGATACGGAATTATGTTGACAAAGATCTACTTTCGTATTTACCTCTGCCACCAAATATGATCCGATATTTACAGGATGCAAAATATTTTGTCCCTTCATGGTTAAACTGATGAGTTTTCGAAGCTTTTCCAGTTCATAGTTTTCTTATTTCCCTTTTATTTTTTCTCAAAACTCATATTTGCTACACTCTGTATAAATCACAGTATGCCACTCTTTTTCTATATATTACATTTCTTTCAAGCAATTTCTCTGGCTACTTAAAGAGTAAAAATTTTGTGGCTTAATTTAGTGCCATAGTACTTAGCGGTGTATGTGCTCATTTTTTAAATTCAACTTTTGTATCTGCTGATTGGTGTTTCAATTGGCTGCATGATTTATTTCATATTTCCTTTTCATAATAAGGGGAGACGTGGATTACTATACCTAATTTAATTTGACATAATATCTATGTATTAATTTAAGACAATTCTTTGATATTAGCGGTACAATGGTTTAATCCTTCATCCGTATCTCACCTGGTTTGTTTAATTTGAAGATGTTGCACAACGTATCACTGTAATTTAATTTTTATATTGTTTAAAGACCTTTAATAATACCGTATATCATCACATCTACCAGAATTAGATCAAAGTTATATCATGTAAATTATTGTGTAGTTCTTTGTTTCAATGTTTCCACAAACGCTGAGAATTAATGTAAGGTGTTTGATCGTAAACCTGCTTCTACTGTTTGAAACTGGAATATCAACAAATTAATTTATCAAACATCTTTGTGCGCAAGATGTATCGTTGCTTTTTAGTAATAAAAAAGTCAAGTGCTGTTGTCACAGTTATGATTCTGAAAAATGAAGTGTTTTATTTGTTTGTTCTTATTTAATGCCCCCAAATTCATAAAGCTATCATTGTCAAATGTAATTTTCAAGCGAAGAGTTATGGATTAATTGGTTCATGCTTAGTTCAGAACTAAGTTTTGATTAGATGTACGATTAAAATATTTTAGATCTTAAAACAACGGTTCAGTTTGATGTAATACTGTGTCTGTAATCAAACTTTTTTAGTATCAATGGTCAATCCAATGGTTATGACTTTTGAAGTGTTGAAGTGCTTAAAACGGTCTTGTTCTATATTTGCCTTAAGTTCGGGTGCGCTTCCTGCAGCCATATCAATTATCAGAGTTTCCGGTATTTCTTAGTTCTTGATTCAAGTTCTGGGAAAAACTTGTTTTCTGGGAATTGATCATGTCAAGTCTAAAATAGGAAAAGAAAGTCGATACTGTCTTGAAGAACTTACTGGTAACAGGAAGATTTCACCGAGACGGTTATTCTTCGCAAATATTCGGTGGGAAGGCGAGTTAATCGATCAAGGCATGGCAGTTTTCCTGAAAGGTTTTCATTATTAACGTAATTTATTTCAGTTTGTTACCGGCATAGAGATCATTGCGGCTTTTCAAATCACTTTCAGAGTTGATGTATCTTAGTGTAGAAAACTACATTTGGAAACTGCTGACTGATATTATCTATACTGTATGTATGGCAATCTATAGTCTAGTCATGATGTATTATCTTATAGGGTGTGGTCTTTATTAACTGGGATTCATGAGTTTATTATTATTCAGGTCCAAAAACAGCAACCGGTGAGGATATGGCTGAGTTTTATGTACACGGTAGTCCAGCAGTTGTCGATTGCTTATTGAATACATTAGCAAAGTTTGATAACTTACGACCTGCAAAAGCAGGAGAATTCACAAGAAGGTACATGCACCTAATGAATTTGGTTTATTTTTTCTATTTTATTTTTTCCTTCTCTGATATATAGCATAAAAGTTTTTATGCTCGTTATTTATTATATGATTTTTCTTTAATTTTAAAAATGTGTGTTTTATCAGGGCATTTTTCAACGGAAAGATGACTTTACACGATGTACAATCGCTGAGACATCTTTTGGCTGCACGAACTCAGCGACAACGACGTTTGGCTTTACATGCGAATAGTATAGGTGAGAATTGAGTTATTCAATATTACTAATATAATTAGCATGTTCTGATGATTACAGATGAAGATTATAGATGAAGCAATGGAAAAAGTTCGGAAACGACTTGTCGAAATACGTTCTGTTGTTGAAGCATTTATTGATTTTGGAGATGATGTCGAGTTTGATTGGAAAAATATTCGTTCTTCTATCCATTTACTCATCAGTGATTTGAGTAGTATGGAGAAAGGATTATACCGAGGAACCTTGGTTATTAATGGCTTAAGTATCGTTATTTTAGGACATACAAATGTTGGAAAAAGCAGTTTATTCAACCGGCTAGGTGATTTTCAGTATTTTGTTACACAAAATAATTAAAGATTTATGCAGCAAATAAACATATTTATAGTGAATCGAGACGTAGCTATAGTATCTGATATCGAGGGGACAACTCGCGATGCGCTCGAGGCAACACTTCACCTTTCTTCCCTTCCCGTTACAATTGTTGATACAGCTGGAATCCGTAAAACTCCATTAGATGCCATCGAAGCTGCAGGCATTCAAAGAACCTTGCAAAGGTAGCGTACTTCTAATTTACTGCAATCTTTAGTTTCTAGACAAAATTCAAAATTATTTGCTTCAGAGAAAAAATTAAAAATTCTGAAACCATATACTTTCCATTCTTCTCTCTGGTTATTGATATAATGCTGCATTACTTTTTTTTGCATTACCGGTACTAGCATTACTTTTCACTTAGTCACCAACCTATATAACTACTGGAAGTAGTATAATAACCCTTTCGAGTTTAAATAACATTTGCATTAGCACTTCTTGCAATTTTAAAGACTGCTATGATATTCAAATTAAACTTCATAATTAGTTTAGTGTAATAATTTTACTACCATTTTTTTTATTTTTAGAGCAGCCGAAGCTGATATTGTAATTGTAGTCCTTGATAGCAGTGCATGTGGAAATGTGGAAGTTGAGGTGCGCTCAGTGCTTTTGCATTGTCAGTTAAAAAAAGATGTATCTGTGATTGTAGTATTAAATAAATGCGATCTAAATACTGTCCCAATAAACTCACACCTTTCTTGGCGCATCGTTCGTACTTCTTGTACTTCTGATGTAGGCATCGATTCTTTGGTTAGCTTCTATTTCTTCATAATTATTTTCAATAACTGATTTCATAATGTAGAATATTTTACACTTTGAGTCTTTTGAAGCATGAAGCTTAATTAGAACTTACTTTTTAACCTATTATAACTCATATCGACCCAGACAATTTTAGTTTGATGCAGTATGTGAAACGATTGACGAACTCTGTCCATCAGCTAATGACCACGTCTTTCTAAGCAGCCAACAACATCAACTATTAATCAACAAAATTCACCGTACACTTTCAGAGGTTGCTACTGCTTCACACATTTTGACTTTTATTGAAAGCTCAAGAAATTTATACATGCATCCCCAGCTGTTTACGTTTATTTATAGGTACAGTAATTATAACTACTGTTCATTATGAAAATTTTCTTTCAGGCATTAAAAGTGGAAGATATTGCCATTATTGCAGAGTTGTTACGTGATGCCTCAGATTATGTAGGCGAGATTTCAAATTTAGTAGTTAATGAAGAAATATTGGACCAGATATTTTCATCATTTTGTATTGGCAAGTGAGATAGTCTGCATTTGATTTAATGTCATTTAAAATTGACCAAATATTATTCCTTGCGATAGATAAGGTTACATCGAGAACCTACACATCAACATAAAAAACAAATTGACTGATTCATTCAGTGTTCAATAAATATACAAGTCCATTGCAAATCAGTAAAATTTCTGCAGCATTAAAATAGCCCGCACTTGCCGTGTGCCTTACGATATAAAGTTCCAGTTTATAATGAGATCCTAATTTTATTGTATTTGTACATATAGCAAATCAGTGTTTTCAAAATTTTAAAAATTTAGATGTAAAAAAAGCAAAAAATGATTTTAAAATCAAGAGTTGACAGGTTGATGCAATGATAATCTCATGATTTTTTTAAAAAGCTAGGTTTTTTCTTTCGCACATTTGCATTTTGTTTTCCAAAGCGCAGTTCGTGTGATGTCGTCTTCAGTGTTTTTGTTATTTCATTCATTTCATGCAATATCTGATTGCACAAAGCTTCTGAATTCGGCTGCAATCACTTTTATTTCAGCTTTTTGAAAAATTTAAATCCTTGACAATTAAAATTTTTGTGTACGAAATTTTTTCTAAATAAATCAGCAATTGAGAAAGCAGTGAACAAAAATAACACTTACTATTTTGTTTATTTTCTTATGAAGTTGTTCCAATGATAAATTCGCATTATTCAATAACATACGGAGCCTGCTATTCTCTGACTGAAGATCCCCAAAGTTGACTTTTTCAGATTCATCTTCGATAGCCTGATAAATAAACGAGAATTCTATATAAGGTAAGTATATCGTGAAGCACTATATGTAGTTACTGTTTTTATTAGCTATGAAAAAAATTACAGGACAAGTATTCTCTTTCGTCTTTTCCTGCAATTGTTTGCGACACAGACCGATTTGGGATCTTAACGATCTCATCTCTGTTAGTAAAATATCTGTCACTTCCAGTACATCCGTCATTCCCACATTATTCTACAAAAAAATATTTTTGGGATAAGATATAGTGAGAAAGTAGAGAAAACAAATCAGAAAAACTTGCCGAATCATTGGAAATTTGTTTCAACTTTTGAACAATTTGGTCAGCGCCTTGAAACAATTCTTGCAGAATAGCCAATACTTGTTCTATAAGATAAATGCGTAGAATTAAACATATATATATTAAGCATGAGAAAGCACAGAAATCTCACCACTCTTTATGTCATTTCCATTTCTGTAGGAAAGTTCGTATGAACTCTTATCGCTGTTTGTTTCGACACTTCCCGTTCTAGAATTAGTAACGGAAATAGAGAGGTGAAAAAGGCATAATAATGGAAATTGTTCAATCATCTAGAATGGACGCTTTCACTGGCTACTACCAACATAATTTTCGGTAGATATATTAAAATCTCATAAAATGTACCTCATCGGAATATTAGAAGAATGTATGAAACTGAATATGAAATAACTTACTGGCGATCACTATATTGCTTGTCCGATGTGACTGGTTCTTCTTTACCAGAAATAATAGACTGCACTTTAGAATTCTGTGCAATTACTACATTCTTCAGCTTAATCAGTTCGTTTGAAAAGCGCGTTAAGATCCGAAAAAAATGTTGGTAGAGAAGATCCAAGTCAGCTGACTTGAGCGAGACACTAAATTATTTTATGCTATGAAATGATCTCCAAAACCCCATTCTCAAATCATAAATAAGCTTTGTACATTAATGATTTATATTCCACTGACAATGGTTAACGTTCTCTAAAAGTTAATTAGACGAAACTCTGAATTCTCATATCATATCACACATTTTATTTGCTATGTACAAAGTTTTATTTTCCGTGATATGGTTAAATTATAAAACTCAGGAATACAAATTATTACGGAGACTCGATTTCAGCATTTTTATCTTTATTCCACGTGGCAGCGAGAGAAAACATCCGCGATGCAAAATCAGTGAATATTTCTTTTTTTTCCACTAATTCAATAAGATCTTGAGCAGATAAGGAAGTCATGGTGCCAACTCCCTGAAATTCGCAGCTGCTAAACCGTGAGCACGCACAATCATTTCTAGTCAATCCATCATTTTCTTCCACAATGAGCATGTGGTCACTACAGAAAACACTTAGGTTATCAAGACACAAGAATTTCGGGATCTAATTTTCTTACCACTGTTTGATTTTTCGGATACTTGTTCAAAAATAAATGGTCGCTCTGTTTCACAACCAGCTGGTCGTACTTAGCTTCAAGATCCCACATCGTTTTTACTAACCTATCATTCTGAAGAAGAATTAAAAAATGAGTAGTTATTTCGTGATTGAGCCAAAAAAATGTACAAAAACTGTAAACAAGCAGAATACGTAGCTCACATTCTCTTTAACGGAACAGTTTTCGGTTTGCAAATTCTGGAAAGTTAGATTCAGTTCTTCGATTGATTCTCTATATTTGTGTATTTGATCCTGAAGGTTCAATATTTCCTGATTCATTTCATTACATTCAGCCTAAAATGGTAAGAATATATGTAACAAAAAGACTGAATTCTGAGCATAAATGCATTTTGTAACAGAAATCGGAAAAAAAAACGATGTACTGCTTTATCAGAACAAGAGTTTCTTACCTCCAAAATTGTGTTACGATGGCCCAAAACCTTGCATTTCTGATTTATATCATCGTTACTTTGTTTTGATTTATCAAAATTCTTTTTTAGTGTGACTAACTGTTCCTCCAAATCAGAAACATACGGAATAATCCTAGACAACTGATTCACATTATTCGTGATGTGTAGGAGCTGTAAGTAGAAAATTTAGAAATCACTACGCATTTAAAATCAGCTATGTAAGAGCAATAAGGCCATCCTGCCATCGTAAGAATATATATAAGACTAAAAATCAATTAATAAATAAGATAGTTACCCGGGCTAAAGTTGATTTTTCTTCATTCATCATCCTCATCGTCATATCATCAGCCTGCTCATTAGATATGTGCAACTTTTCCTCTGCATCAGTTACCACTTTACATATTTCATTATCCAAATTAGAAATAGCCTATAACATGCAATCTGAGATATTCGCAATTGATGCAAAAAAGAGCTTTAGAAAGAATAACTTACATTTTTATAATGAGTTAATTTCTTGGTCACCGACAATAGTTTTTCATCACTACTTTTGATGTCCGTTAAAAGTTTCTGAAAAATCCAAATGGTCAAGTAGATCGGGTTTCAAAAATGCAATGAATTATTATTTGTGACAAACTGAAACCCCTATTTGCAATTTTTCTGTTTCTAAAAAAACTAACTTTGCACCATCCTAAATCTTTATACATTAAAAGAAGAGGATGTAGGTCATATTCACAACACAGTTGTCTCAACATTAACATTCAGTACAAAAGTAAGAGGAAATACTTCTCCCAAATCGTGGAAGGAAAAAAAGGAAAAAGTAGAACCAAAGTGGAAGATCAAGCTATACCTCTATATAATCATCTCTCATTTTGATGATCTTGCTTAATTCTACAACTTCTATTTCCAAATCTCGACATTTCAGTGATTGTTTATCTATCATACATTGCATCTCGGTCTTTTTTTCCGCAGCAATAGTTTCTCTTTCTTCCATTACTAGCTGCAAGTTCTGCCACTCCTCATGCAGTGCTTCATATTCTTGACTCTTGTTCTTCAACTGAGCTTCTAAATCTTTCATTGCCTGTAGTATCTCATCCTGTTTATTTTCCATATTTACTTTCATATCGTTTATCTGTTCAATTAGCATTTGCCGCACATTTTCCAGATCATCAATTTGCAATTGCAGCTTGTTATTTCTTTCCGTCAATTCATTTGTCCTCATCTTTTCGCTTGCCAATACTACATTTTGGTACATTTCATGCGAGCATGAAGGGACTACTACGCTCTGTAAAATGCATTGCTTTTCATCTCAGAAATATAAATATATAAAATATAAGTAACAAAATTTATTAATAAACATATAACCTCAATTTGATCAGAAAGAACAGATGATATATTTAATGATCGCTGCAAATGAGAAGAGAAATCCCCCATACTTTCTTCAGCGGCTAAAAAACGATATAGAGATAAATTTGCAGGCATTTTAAAAGTATTAAAACATAGCGTAATTGTTTTATTGCCGCATTTATGATGATTTACTAATACCTTCAACATTACGACTGATACTGAGAGCTGTCTTCAATGACTGATCAAGATCGATGCGAAATGACTCTATTTCTGCCAGCAATGCTCTGCCCCGTTCCGGAACTCCCAATTCGTCAAGAAGACCCTGGATATTTGACATAATACCAGACGATAGCAAATAGAAAAAACATCTTATTCAGTTCTGATAGAAACTGACAACACTCCAATGTTATAAAGGGAGCGCCAAATTGTTTAATCTGTACTGAGCCATTTATTGATAAAGAATAATGAAAATACCAAGAAAAATGAGCAGAATCTTATCGACTTACTTGCAAAAAATTAGCTGTCCCACGCAATTTTTCGAAAAGACGTGAGGAAGCTGACTGGAAAATCTTGAGTTTCTTTTTAATCTCTATAAGATCTTCTGTTACTGTCAAAGATTTGTTCAAAAGATCACCAGCCGAAGTAATATTTAGCTGAAAATTAAAGATGCTTAAAAACAAAATACTACACTTAGAAAACATTTTAATCTAAACAGTGATCAAAGATAAGTACCAGTTCAGTAGCGTTTTTGCTTTGCATTGCACCTTCTAGAACTTCTGAATCTCTGTCTGAAAAGCTTCTGACAGCATCGAACAAGACAAGCTTTTTTTCCATTTCTTCCTTGTCTGAATCATCAGGAATAGGTCGATTTTCGGCTAAGAGTGCTGCCAATTTTTCGTTCTGAATCACATTATCAAATATATAAGTATACGAAACTTTTTTGCGGTAACCACATCAAAATATTCCACATGTTCATATAAAAAGAAATAAAATTTTTTGTTTCAAAATACTTTAACCCTCTTACCTCATGATCGCAGCGATCAGTGTCCCATAAACGTTCCTCAGTCATTAACGACGTCTTACTACGACCACTTTCTGACGTAAAGTCAATCCCTAGAGCACCCAATTGTAATACTTCTTTCCGAATTGCATCATTCTCGGTAGAAAACTACAAACTCCATTCAGTGAGCTTCACTAATCTACTAGATTAAAAAATATAAAATTTCAAAAAGTGTGGAAATAAGATCCACAGAATGATACCCATCTACTTTTCTCGTCATGATAGTATATTACCTCATCGATTTGATGCAGCAATTGTTTAACATAAGGATTCAAATCTTGCGTGATACTTTGAGGTGTGTCTAGATCGATATTTTCCTAAACAGTAGAAATTAATGACAATTAGTGACAGTCATACGAAAATTTTTGACTTACAATCTCCGAGGATGGAGGTGTCGCAGCAGCGTTTAACTTAATTTTTCTTAACAATATACGTATAGTACGATCTCGCTTATTCAAGGCAACATTATGAGCATCTTGAGCTTGCTCTAGTTCCTGTCTGAATTTCTGAAAAAGTGATTTGATTTTTCTAATGTTCCAAATCTATCTTTTTAATTTTCATTCATTTTCTACATATATAATGTTGAAAAGGAATAAAAACCAAATAATCGCACATCAGAAATAATAATAAATACATCATTGGCAATCTGAAATTGTAGAGTAAACTGAAACAAACCTTTTGTTGATCTTCTACCTGTTGTATTGCATCTTCAGCAGACTGTCGGAGTGCTAATATTTCATCTTTTAACGATTCGCAACGTATCTTTTCTTTTCTTAGATAATCCCCTTGTGCAGAAAGATCATCTTGAGCATGTTTCAACTTGTTTTGAAGTTCGGTTATTTCTGTTTCCATCTTCATTCGCAACTTTTTCTCATTAATATTTGACTGGAACACTGCCGAACGTAGTTTCTGGATCTCCCTGAAATGCAATAACAAAGAATTCCGTAACAGTTAACAAGAACTTGCAGGAGAAATGTTTTCCAAATTATTTCAAGTGAAAGATAAGACTGCAGAAGTCGTATAAATATGATAAAAAAACAGTAAAAACATTGAAAATTGTATTTTAAAACTTACATGTCCCTATCGGAAGTTATGGAGATGGTGCTAAGTGAACTACCAACCTGGCTTTCGTTACCGTCATCATTTTCAAGATGTTTTTCTTGATGGTAAAACTGAAATTGAATATATTGAATTAAAAATTCAAAACTTGAAAAGTTGGGAAAGATAATAAGAAGTCAGAGCAACCTCTTTCAACTGAGTTTCAAGTTCTTCTTTAGTCGAAAGAAGTTGCTGACATCTTTTCTGAATCTCGTTTTTTTCTTCCTCCCATTTCGTTCTCTCCTCAATATATTTCTGTTCCAGAGAGTTCCATTTTTCTTTACACTCTACGTTGCGAAGCTTTTCATCAAGAAGATCTTTTTGAAGTTCTTCAAGCTATAAAACGAGACGTAAAATTTAAAGCTTAAATTATTGCATTTGTGGATATTTTACACCTAGTTTTGAAATACAATGAGACGTATGATCAAAATGATACAAAATCAATATTCTTCCTAACGCATCTTTTGTAAAAAATATATGACGCAGGTAAGATGTATGAATTATAAAGTGATGCAAATTAGCACTAGTTACTTCCTGTGTTGCATCCTTTCTTTTAATGCCATTTTGCTTTGAAGAAAACAATTGTAATCTCAAATCATATACTTCAGCCTTGAGCCTTTTGTTTTCTTCTTTCGTTTCACCAATGTTCAGATAGGAACGGCGATGTGGCAATACGAGTGAATCTATAATTTTGGATGACTTAATCTATATTTATAAATACTAATGACTAAATGAAAAATTCTAGAAGCTTGAGCAAAAATTAACCTTTTGTAGGAGACGCTGTAACAAGTATTGTGTCTGTTGAAACACTTCTGGAATATTTTTCATGGTAAAAGCAGATGTATTCAAGTATTTATAATGATAGCGTAAAATATAAATTAAAGAAAAACCTCGCAAGTGTAGGTGGAATGAAAACTGAATTAGTACTTTGATGCTTTTGAGATGAGAGAATAGTCTCAACAGAATCTATCTGAAATCGATTCAACTATTATAATACAATGATTTTGATAAATAATTTGTTCTAACAACAAATTTACCCGCTTTTGCACATGACCACTGAGTATTTCCTTCGCTTCTTCAGCTAGTGATTCCTCGGTAATGTTATTATATTCGCTTTGATTATCAATTTCATAAGATGAGTCGTATTCATTTTCTAACATCTTCTGCTCCGATGTCATAGCTGAAGTCAGTGCTTTTATGCACATATGTAACTTTCAAATTCTCTTGCACATCATTATTTAGAAGAATTTTTAAACAATCTTTTCAAAATCAATTCCTAACTATAAGCAAAATTATAGGACCTTTCTACGAACTGGACCTTATTTGCAACTTGGCGATAATTCTGAGGAAAAACAGAAAGTTCCTTGAAGTGAACAAGTTGACTGTATAAATTCTAGGCAACCGTATTCAGCCGTAGTGCAAAACTACAGTGATTGAATTTCAGCTTTATTCCTCTTACAATATGTTCAAATAACGCTTAATATGAAAAGTAACTCTAATACAAAAAAGAGCACACTATCAAAAATAATGTAAATAATGTCCAAAATGCATAATGATGCTGAAGTAGACAAAAAAGGCGTAAATGACAGAAAAATGAGCGCCAACCGAAAATTGTACCAAGCCCCACTTTTTAACTGACTGTAAAGGCTTAAGGCATCAAAAGACCATGAAAATACGTAAAATGACGTATTACTTGGAAATGTCATGGCTTGCAGTTTAATGAATTATATAATACGATTACATAATCATAGTCACAATCATTTGTGGAAGTTTCAGTGACTAACTAATTCATAATTCTTGTTATGACTGAGGTCAGTGTTACTTCTATTAGCAATATTTGCTAAAACTGTTAGGATGCGACAGACTGATATCACCGTAGCATAACTGAACAATTAGACGTAAGTATTTTTGTAAAACACGAAAAAGAACCACTGAAGTGGGAAACCGCAACGTTTGAAATTCAGCTCTATTGATAGAAACTACTGCGACAATAAGAACAAGAGGTAAGTAATGTGAGTAAGTCTGATCGCTGTTATGATGTAATTTTATCTAACTGCTTACTTACGCTACGAAACCCTAACATAACTGAACAATTAGACGTAAGTATTCTTCTAAAACACGAAAAAGAATGATTTGCATAGTACAGAAAATAAGCGTGTACACATCTTGATCCATATGCAAAAGAGTTCTATAAAAGTGTAATTTAAATTACACTTGCAAATGTCCCTCCACCACACGCGGCATGCATGAACTCCCACCCATGTTCCACAAATAAAAATTGTGCTAGCAGCAAACCTTTGACCACGTATTTCTGCCGCCTCAAATTTAAGCAGTTGTAGAGTGTAACAGCGCAAAAGCATATTGAACAACAAACGTAATTTTTTTTGGACACACACGACTACTTTTGAAGTGTTTGTATCACGTCTTCACGTAGGTCTGTGGTTTGCATTATGTTCTGTCGATTTTTTTCGTAATTGGAGTTTTGAAATCGATGGATTTGCAGGTGCATGAATTTAAGTTTATCTTGTTTGATTCATGTCACATGGAACACGTTCTCTCACCATCGTTTGCTTACGTTGGCTACGTTGGCTTGGGATGCACTTACAGAATATCTTGTTTCGTGCTTGAATATACAGTATTGTATTTAAATTATCATCTTTGTCTCATTTTTTCAGGCTTTTATCTTTAGTTCTTGAGTAAAATGCATGGGATAATTGTGAATTGTTGCCAGGCAGCATTTTCGATTTTTGTTGTAAGTAAGGTGAATTAGTATTAATATGAGAATCTGATAAGAGTCTCAGAGTGTTACTCATTTAATAAGTTTTACTGAAAAATGATTAACTTTCAGTATTTGATTTCTTTCGTAAAAGTCTTGTGATTTTTGCTTTTCAATCTTGACAATTTGGCGTAATTTGAAGATGTCATTTACTTTAAGTGAAGAAATTCTTAAACCTTATTTACTCATAAAATTTTTATTTCACTGTATGATTCTGACGTATTCTGTTCTCTCCCTCAATTTTTATTATTCATTAAAAGCATTAAACGCAAAACTTTGCTTTCAGCATATATTACTTGTATATTGCATTCATCTGATATGCTCTTAATATCTGCTTCTACACTAATATGAATTTGCATTTGTAAGAACATTTTTAATGATAATTTGGATGCATATTTTAATTCTTATTCCTTTATTTTCATTTTTTTTATTAATTCCATTTTTTTCTCTCAAAACATTCGATAGTTTATGCAAGCATACATAGCAATCTTAAAAATTATAATTAAAATTCTGTTTTAAGTGCATAATATAGTGAATTTACGTAGTTGCATTTACTTTGAGAGTGTATATAGAAGCGATGTATTCATGAACAGTGCAAGTAAGTGATTTATTTGTTTGCAGCACTAATGGAAACAGCAAAATAAGGGAGTATTAGGAAAGAGGAAGGACGTTGGCATAATGCAGTGAACAGGAGCAAAGCAGGTCTGTTTAACCGTTTTCTATTCAGTTAACTTGCATTTGCGAGCAACGTGTATTTACATCCAATTACGTCAATGCAACGATACAATTTTGTTCCGTAACACTCATACGGATTTTTCAGTATGTTCGATTGATTATTATGCTTATAAATACTGTTATTGCGTATCAGTACGTATTGACTATGCATAGACTTTTATTTATGTAATTGTAATATTGCAGTGCTCTTTTTTATTTTTTAGTAAGTTTTGCTGATTCTTATTTCTTTTTTTTTGCTTTTTTTTGTTTTCTTTAAAGATTAAATCTTGATGCTCTTAGTGCTGTGCTATATTTTCCACTTGAAGCGACGTCCCATATTTTATTTTCAAGGATTTTACATTCCCATACTTGTTCATCTTGAAACAGTTTATTATTAATAAATTGAGAAATTTTGGTCTCAAATGTGTTTTTCAAATGATAAAATCGCTTTTTAGATTTTGATCAATTATTTTTTAATAGATTAGTTCCAACTAATCAACAAAAATGCTTTTGAATGTTTTAGTTGCAATTACTCTAAAGATGGAAAATTTAAACGTTCATATTTTAATATTGTTGTTTTCTACGTAATTGAACTGGCCGCGGAATGAAAGCGCGAAATATTCTTCGGGTTACTGATTCATTTATGTTTTAGCTTGTTGTAGGAGAACTGGAATTTATTCGCGTTCATGACGCAGAATGTCAAGTGAGGTCAATCGAGGAACAGTATCGGTTCCAGGAACGATGATGACGCAGTCATTGAATGCATGGCCGCAAAATGTGTAAGGTTTTCGTCTTGTTTACGTTTCATTTTGTAGGAATTTTTTTAAAGGGTTTTCGTTATTATAGGAGAATCATAAAAGTTTCATTATTAGATAAACATGTGTATAGCTTTGTTTAAAGAATGGAAAATGGAGATTTGCATGGGTCAGTTACAAAATATGCACGAATGGATACTAGACTAGGAGTAGAGGGTGACGATCCTGGATCAGACAGTAAAGAACGCTTTGCTAGGGAAAATCACAGTGAGATCGAGCGACGAAGACGAAATAAAATGACACATTACATTAATGAACTCGCAGAGATGGTGCCACAGTGTGCTGCTCTTGGTCGTAAACCAGATAAGCTAACTATTTTACGAATGGCTGTTTCTCACATGAAGGTTATTTATTTTTTAACAATTCTGAATTCTTTCACCTTACTGTATTTACTCTCTTTTTTTACAATATTTTAATATACGTTTAAAAGTCTATCATTTACAGGTTTTCGAATTTGAAAATAATGTCAATATGATTAAATAAAGTCACTTTTCATAAGCTCTAGGCAATTCGAGGTGGCTCTCAAAACGAAATATGCTATAAACCGTCCTTTCTAACAGATCAGGAGTTGAAGCATTTAATATTAGAAGCTGCTAATGGTTTTTTATTTGTTGTTTGCTGCAACACGGGAAGAGTTCTGTATGTTGCAGATTCAATTGTTCCTGTTCTTAATATGCGTCAGGTATAAAAATCTGTAATTTCATGGCACTAATATAATGAAGTATTAGAAAGTTATTTTATGGACTATAATGAACAGTTGATAAACCTAGTTTTTTTCAAAAAAAATTAAAAGCTTGATCAACATATTTGACTGATAGAAAGGCATATGTATAACTCTTGTTCGAAAGCATCAACAAATTGAAGTAGGTAAGTTTTGAATAGCATGTTTATTTTCTTATTTGATTACTTGCATGTTTTTTAAATTAAAAATTCTTTAGACTATGAATTGAGAAAGACGGACTCAAAAAGTATTTTTATATCTACTTATTGTCGATATTTGAGGAAGAATGGTATGATCATGCTATTTATGACCTAATACATCCTGATGATGTAGAAAAAGTGAAAGATCAATTATGCGAAGACTTGTCTAATGTGAATCGAGTACTTGATCTTAAAACAGGTGCCGTAAAGAAAGAACAAAATACATTCCGCATTCATATGAGTTGTCGTCGTGGATTTATTTGCAGGTAAAAACAATTATTAGTTTTACGTTTACAGTGAAACTTTATTGAAGATTAATATTTTCAAGATAGGTAAAGATTTTGAACATTGATCTTTATGTGAATGATTTGTTGCGTCAAATAGAAAATGCTGGTATATTTGTGACTTATGAAAGTTATTAGCAAATTCAATAAGCACTGCAGCATGAATTATATTATAGAATTTTGAGAGCGCTACATTATTTAGAGGTCACCAACTTTTTTTTCATCCGTAGTTTAAATATTATTTAACTGCTACTATTTTTATTGTATAGGATGCGATTGGGTCCTTTGGAGCCTCTTCATAGACTTTGTAATCGGAGACCTATTTTCATTCATAACGGATATAATTATGTGGTGGTACATTGTACTGGTTATATAAAAAATTCGCCACCAAATGGTCTCGAACTTAATTCTCCACCATCAAGTTGCCTTGTTGCAATTGCTCGATTACAAGTTGCCAGTATGCCAGCCACTGTGGAGCAGAACCCTGCATCACAGTTTGCAGTAAGACTTGCTGACGATGGAAAGGTATTCCTCGTTACCAGATAGCACTCTGATTGAAATACTTAAAAATTTTATTCTATGTGATCTTTAATATAGTTTTCAGAAATTTCCTTCATTTATATTTAGATAACGTTTGTGGAACAAAGGGCTGCCATTATCTTGTCGCTCCCAACTGAGCAAATTCTTGGACGGTATTGGTGGCAAATTGTGCACCCAGCAGATGAGCAAACTGTGCAAGATGCTTTTATTCGCATTTTTCAAGTATGAATTTTATGTTAATAAGACGACAACTTTTTGTGTAAAATATTTAAATTTTCAGCCCAAAATATGCTGTATAATATGAATTAATTTGAAATTTTTTAAATTACATATTCTCTTGAAATGTGAGTACCTTTGGTCTTTCAAATATGTTTCCAACATATTTCACATACTAATTCATTTGGCACTATTACACATCAATATCGCACAAAGCCATTTTGAAGAAATCTCAGTCCCTGATTTCTTTTCAACAAATGTTATTGTTTCTTAGGATCGAGGAACGCAAATATCAGTGCGATTAAGATCACAAGCAGATTTTGTTTCTTGCACAGTCACTGCCCATAAATTTGTAAATCCATATTCAGAACAGTTTGAATATGTGGTGGCTACACATGTGCTAATTCCAAATGATAATGAAAGTTGGCAAGCTGGTATTCAGGTTAATCATTCAGATTAGTCTCAAACTAAATATGAAATATACGCATGATCGGGACTGAAAAATCATAACTATAATATATTTCGATTCAGCAGTACATACAACTGCGATGCACTATATGATTGCAGGGATACCCGGTCATACCATCCGAACTTGATCTAACATCAGGAAGTGAGTGCTCATACCCAACTCATTATGGGTCAGATGGGACTAGAAGACAAATGTGGATTACAGAACAGTGGGAGCAATATGCTCAGCGCTAATGGATAAAGTCGTTATTATGGACTGCAACGTAAATCTAATAAGACAGTAATTTATCTTCATTATAACTGCATATAATTTTTGCAAGAATGTATCTAAAAACATGTACCATGATAATGCTGATGGTTAAAACATATTTGATAAATATTAAATAACATAAAAGACAAAAAATATATTCTAACACTCAATGCTATCGTGATACTCGCGTACAGTATGTAGCTACTAATGAATAATCTTTAACAATCCGAGTTACAGCGAAAATGATATTAAATTAATCTCTTAGATCCATCAATTATGAATTGGTACAAAAACTTCATATGCTCTGCTTAAGATTAAGATAAAATATTTAGGCAGGGGAAGAAAATGAAGTCGTTTAAATTTATAGATAGTAATGTAGCCTTTCAATAATAAAAACAAACATGCTCACCGAGAGTCTGAGATATTTTCACTCACCAGTGATGCAACATATTCCGTAGCTGACGGCTTTGCACTGCGATGGCGAGAGAATTTTTGATTTGGAAATTGGGAAAGATTTAATTCAGAACTGACATTGTACATGGGGTTCCACATTCCTTGCACTGAGTTTACTTGAGCAGATTGTCGTGAGACTAAATCAACTACTGGAAGACCACTTCGGGTACGTAAAAGATTTAAATGTCTTTCTACTTGTTCAGCATCGAAATTTTTCAAAACAATTTGGATAATACGGCCATTTCCATATTCTGCTCTAACAAGAGGGATATTTTGCCTGAAAACAGTACTGTTTTTAATGCTAAATATGTGTAGTCATCTTCAAATGTTCCAAAAGGTTCTGGTGATAAGCACTGGACAAGTTCACGACGACATTGTCTCGAGAAACACACTGCGCTAGTTCTGTCGATTCCAACCTCATCTCATTCTCATGTAATATATCAAGAGAATGAAATGAGGTCCAGATGCTGCAAACATGGTTTTCAAGCTAATATGGAGTGATGGCTCATACATGAATGAAAGGAGCGAAACAGGTTAGGGTAACACGAACACGAACCTGACAGGTTGAACATAAACTACAACGGATGGATTTTGTAATGCAAAGGCCGTCACCAATCCTTTTGCAATAAAATCTCGTACTCCTGAACTGCATTCATTCTTACGACAGAATCGAAGTGTAATTCGATGCAGCTGAGATGTATAATTTATAACGGCGTTGTTGAATGTTGTACTTGGATAACCACTAACACGCCATCCAAAATTTAAATGCATCGCTGCTGTATAACATATTTTGATTCTATCTACACGTGGTTGAGAAGGCATTTTTACCTAAAAATAAATTGTTATTGCTCGTTTGAGAATAAGCTAAAATAAAATCTTTATGCTATGCTCATACGCTACATGATCACAATCTCAACTTTTGATGTTTAAAATACGAGTAAATTTTCCAAGCAAAAAATGTGCAAATTTACTCCTATTAATCAAGTATTGAAAAATGGGAGCAGATGGTGGCACAATTCCAAGTCCAATCAGGAACACAAAAACAGTAAACAAATAACTTTAATACTTCACACATATAGATGCTATGGTGAATGTATCCAAGCATTTACAATTGTTTAAAAAGGTGCATGAACGCCATGAAACACGCAGTTGCATTATGGACATAAATAAGTGGCCGTATAAGAGTATGCTTTCATAAGTAGTGGTTTTTTTAAACTAGTGCGGACAATATCTGATTCCGGTGTTATTTGAGATTTAGATTAAGGCATGTGGTGACAAGGCGTCTCTACATACGGTGTATATTGTGTGTAGTATTTTAATATTTCATACGGTGTAAAAAAAATCCAGATGAAATCATATGATGTATATTGTATGTAGTATTTTATACTGTTGTAAAAGATCAGAATTTTTAGCATATCTAAATGATCATTTAGATTTTGGTCGTGTGCAAATTTACTCTTATTAATCAAGTATTGAAAAATGGGAGCAGATGGTGGCACAATTCCAAAACGATGTGAGCTTGTAAAGAAGAAGAAAACGAAGGAAAAAGTCGACAAAAATGTGACAAATGCTACACGCTGGAAGTTGTGTCGATCAAGTCAGGAACCGCTTAGGCGACCCATTGTGGCATGCAAATTGGGCAAGTATGCATCTTCAATCCTTATTTTAGCTCCATATTACTAATTAAATGTTAAAAAAATCTTATGAATTCGCATATCCTTGTTATTTTTTGATATTCTCGTGATAATTCACAAGCATATTTCGTGAGTGTGATTTTTTTTTGGATCTGCTTTTACTTTATCAGCAGAAAATCTTGGTTTTCTGTAAAAAAGTAAGATGCAGTAACTCAGTGATTTGTGAAATTCTTCTTGCGACGCTTGCACTTTCCACAATAACCTTGAATTTCAGTTTATATAATAAAGAAGAAATTATCAAGCTGATTTTGACTAAAGTTATTGGTGAATATCCTGCTACAAGACATATCAAAGGTATGAAAGATATTAAGGAGCTGAAATTGACCGACAACAAAGAATATAAAGAAAGCGTTGCTGACAAGGGAGATTTATATAAAGATCATAATGTTGCACCATTCTGTTGTCCAGTAACTGGAATTTCTATGAACGGCATCCATTCGTATGTTTTTTCAAGCTTAAATTAAACTATAAAAATTTATGGAGACCACTCATTTTAACCATTTGTTTCTCTCATTTTTCTCGAATTAATATTTAGTCTCAATCATTTTTCAAAATTTTCAAGATATGTAATAATGACTGTACGTGTTTACTCTTAGTAATGAAAGAACATTACTTTTTTCTTTTTCCACATCAGCTTAGATGAACTTTCAAGTTTTGTGTGATACCTTTATCTTTTCTGTCATGCTTGCATATATAATGAAAGCAACCAAATAACCAAATAATTAGTTTTGCCATGTGCAAAGTCGTTACCATTGTAAATAGCATTCCATTTAGATTCACAGTTAATTGGCAATGTGGTTGCGTCATTTCGGAGAAGGCAATTGAAGAAGTGAAGTCAGACGTGTGTCTTGGTTGTGGCGGCTCATTCAACAAGAATTACCTTATCATGCTGAATCCTCCTGAAGAGATTCGCGAAATCTATGAGAAGAAATTGGAGGAAGATTGTTTGCAAAGAAAATCTACCAAAGCATCAAGTTTGGCTCGCTTTAATTAATGACGTTAATAGTTACTAAGCTGCATGTTCATTAGTATTTTGTTTACTTCTTACTGGAAAAATAAAAGCAGAGAAAGGGCATATCAACCCTCATTATAAGTCATTAGGCATTGATCATGATCATTATAAAATGTATGAAAGATATTAAAAATTACTGCAGGAAGAAGAGATGATAAGGCCAGTACATCATCCAAGCTGAAGTCTGTATCCACCGTTAACAGTGTGAAATCGAATGAAGTTTTGAAAAAACCAGCAGATCACTCAAATCCAAATCCGAAGCAATTAATCAGAAAAGCAGAGAAACGGAAAGCACCGACGGATGGCAATTCCCTTTCAATTCAAAATTCAAATGCATCACTGGCATACAAGTCATTGTTTACAACATGTGAAGAGGCCAAACATAAACCAGAACCACACTGGATAACACATAATCCATTGTTCTATTAATTATTGTAGTATAACAGTAAATAAAATTTTTATTAGAAAAAGGTGTATGTTATGTGCTCATCAAACAAGCAAATTATGTTACACTTTCCACCATTACTCTGGACTACGTATATAAATAAGTAAATTCGTGTCTTGAAGGAAGTTAGATACGTCACGAAGTCGAAATGGGAAAAAGAGTGACTGCGTGGATAAGAAAGCTACAGGAAAAGTGCTTACTATGGTCAGTTTATATATAACTCGGAGGTAGCGTAGAAAAGATCAGGTGGCGGAATATGGGTTCGGACTGTATGTTATGCGGGCAGACTTAGTTTGCGAAGTAGGGTTACCACTCGTTTTCCGTTTTCCTGCTCTTTTCTTGGAACCGATGTAGAGTTGCTGGAAAATTTGCGAAAAAAAATATCAACATTGTAAGAAAGTAGTAGTAATTCATAATCCAGAAGTATCTATTCACTCGTTAGGAGGTAGTTACTTTAAATCAAAACAGGATGTAAAGTTTGTTAAAAATTGAGAAAATTTTCGTACTTTACAAAATGAAATTGGTTCAGTCTTCACATCATAATCAGGAAATTCCTTAACAGCTGACGCGATTACTGGCTGCAAACGTTTGCAGAGACGCTCAGCATTATTTCTAAAACAAAAATCATTCAGTGATTCTTAGACAGAAGCACATATTATTTTATCGAGCGGTTTCGGGAAGCTTCATTTTTTTAGTTTTCGAAACGAAAATAAAAATTTAGACAAAAACTGTAGTTAACATCGATTTAAAACCTTTCAGCATATTGATAAAGATCATAAATAGAGCAGAGAAGATGACTATTTACTGCCTGGTTCTTGATTTTATACCGTATACAGCTGTATAACTTGATCAATGCTTTTCGGTAAAGCATAATCAGATCACGTTTCATCAAATAATCACTGAGAACAAAAACATTAAACGACCTTCAATTACAGTTAAACAAACAAGTGAATATAATTGACATTTATTAAAGCTATGGGAATTTTACTCAACTTTTAAATGAAAAGCAAATTATTTCTGGAACAGTGATTTGCGGATTTTTTCTTTGCCAAATTTGGGTCAAATCATTTCAGCCATTCATGTCAAACCAAAAAAATTTATTGACAACTTAAAATGAGAAAATTAAAATGAATAATTGGGTTTTGAAATTATTTTAGTTCTTGTAACTTTTTCCTATAAGTTGGTAAAAATTACGTGTTGTTACAAAAATCCAGCGTGCAAAACGTATGGATTATTGTGATCAAAGCGTCGAAGTCATTCAATGAAGCAGCTATATTTATTGCTAACGCCGCCAAGCGCGAAAGATGATATTGTAATGCGTCACCTCTATCAATGTCTTTGCAAGAAATCGATACCACACTCTGAAGTAGACTGCAGCCAGTAATCTAGCCTTATATTTAAAATATTGATAATGAGAAACCTTGTCATTTGAATTTGATAACTTGTGATAATAGAATATTACTTACCAATATTTAAGCATTATAATACATCCATGCTTTAAAATAGCAACATAGTCACCTCAAATATATTATCTGGATTGAAATTGGCTTTTTTTTTCAGCAAAAAACGTCCAAACAAATAATTAAAAGCTTCTAGAATGTCACCTCGATATAATGCCAATTGCGACAACCGATAGTATGACTTGAAGTGTGGGAATCTGGAATTAAAATGTGATCAGTCAGTTGCAGTGAAGGACACTAGAGTGGAAGCAGAAATCATATCCCGGTTTTTATCGAAAAGCTTTATTTAAAGGCTCAGTGAACTGGAGAACAAATACAAATAACAAAACAGAAATACAGAAAAAAGAAACAAACCTTAGTATACAAATCTTGAAAGCCTCTTCGCAGGAAAGCAGAATTTCTGTTTTAAGTGCAATACGTTCAACTAAGTCCTCCATTAAATCTTGAATTGGATCATTAGATTCCCTAGCGTTGTCAATCAAGTGAATGAGAGTTGCTTTAACTTGTGGACATTGTGTGAATTCGTCTCCATCCTTCTGTTTGCAGACTCCATGACTCCTACAAATACTTTCGATAACAACAACTTCATGTTAATTTTAAATTTTGGTCTTGGAATGTTTAAATCAGGTACCGAAAACAAAGAGCAAAAGACTGCATTAATAAAAGATCTTCTCGACTCCATTCTGTTTGTCTTTCTAGTAAGTACTTAGTCAGGGATGCGTATGCACGATAATGGATCTGAAATAGATGAACAGAAGTTGAAGAGAAAATGAAACAAAAATGAATCATTCCAGCTAAGACCAACATTTAATCCCTTTTAATAAAAAAACACTGAAGCAATAAAAACCTCGATTGCTTCTGCATGCTCTTGTTTTTTCGTATTAATTCGATTCGGATACTGAATTCCTGCAGCCTTTAGCTGGACAGCTGATTGATGATAATGGTGAAATACCTAAAATGAAATAAATTTAATTTGGTTAAGTCATAATCAATAGGATAAATTGAAACAAGAAATGCCGAGTACAAATTCAATAGCGTCTCCACATTTTTCGGAAATTTTCGCCAAAAAATAGTGACATCGCCATTTATCTACATCACCATCCGACAAAAGTGGTATGCAAATCTCAAATTGACGTCGACTTTCTTCTAATAAGCCATTAATACGTCGGTCAGCCAACTGATATCGGATATCATCCACAGCAAGCTGGAATAATTTATTGATTCATTCCAATTTTGAAACCAGATAACAATTTATAGTTTCAATATTGTGAAGAACCTTATCTCTATATCGACGTATCCGAGAATTAATCTGATACAAAGCACTACCAAAATTGAAAATCACATATCGATCTGATGGGTCAAAAAACAAGGCCATCCGAAAAGCAAATACGCTAGCATCAAAATGTTTGAACATTTCATCCTCTTCCACATGAAAATAAAGAACAGAATATCATTAGAATATTAACTGAATCATTTCAATTTTTCTGACCAGAAAGAAGAACAATTTCTCTAAAACAATCTCTAAACTTAATGCTTACGTCTGTAATTTTAAAACAGCGATTAATTACAAAGACATTTATTTGATGAAATGGACACAAAGTATTTACTGTGGTAAGTTTGGAATTAAATGAAACAAATATAACTCATCACTAAAAAATGAACTGACAGTGAAGAAAACTGTGGTAGCAGCCAAAGCTAAAACAGTCCAATCCCAAAAGAACACTTGAATGCACTGCTCAGTAGGAGCAGTAATGAGAAATAATTTAGCGTAGTACACTGCATCATCCACTTTATGATTACGATAAGAATGCAGAGCCAACTGATAAAAAACTCCCGAGCGCAATCGAGAACTCTCCATACATCGAGGCCAATCAGTGCTTATTTTAGCCTGCACAATGAAGTGATCTAATGCCAACAGCTGTAAATTAAAATGATCCAAATTTATAACACGAATTGATATATGTAATAATTTTTTAAAATTATATTAAGTGAACGATGATTAATAGTTTTAGACAATGTAATCTCGTGGTTTCACTTCAAAAATAATTATATCATTTATAATTTTAACGGATAGACTCTTTTTTGAAACCCTAAGTTTCCTTTCATACTTCAATAACAAATAATTAGCCAGATATATTAAGGAATAAGTCAATTCCAATACCTTTGCCTTTTCATCAGAAGTTGGTTCTAAAAATGATGAGGCCTTTTTTTGAACGAATTCGATTAAATCAGTAGAGTAACTACCATCATATGGTGGGACCTTGGTCGGTAGCAACAGCAATAAGACATTTTCAATATCTTTTAAACATGGCTCATGATTATGTGAACCTCCATGTTCCTCCAATTGTCTCTTACGTCTTGAAGGACATCTGAATAAGAAAGTGTGTTAAATACATCAAAACAAAATCGAGTATAAACTTCCTAAATAAAACACTTTACCGTAACATACCCATATAAACAAAATAAACATTGGTGAACTTCATCTATGAAAGCTCGATTTTGTTCCACATATTCTCGTGAAGAAAGAGTCTCTATTACTGCATGGTGAGTTCGGATTTTCGAAAATTCATTAAGCACAAACAACGGGAAACTATGCTTGAAACATTAGAGCAATTACTTTACTACTCTTGAATTACAAAAAGTGAAGATTTCATAACAAGCACAAAACCCCTAGTAGAAATCTGAAGGCTTAGAAATACCTAGGTTACATTAAATAAAAATTTGTTATTGCTCAATCAGATCTCATTTATATACAGTTAATCCACTAATGCCTGCCTTGACAACTATCAGTAAACATTACCATAAATAAAAACATATCTAGTCAAAAATCAAAAACCAAAGAAAAATTCTATAAACTGTATTTTTAATTCTTCATTTGAAACATTAAAAAAACTAGCAAAAAAAATACATCATCAATGTAGCATTTGTCGTGTTTGGCAATTTTTTCATGAGCCGTAACCAATACATTCAATGCGGAAGTAAGCATCTGGCACCCATCTTCATATAAGGAAGATAGTGCTTTAGCTGTAAGTTCTCCTTCTAAACGAAAAGCACAGTGGTACAATATGAGCCACAAATCAGTATCCTAAACATTTTCCATTAAAAATCATCAAATTCAAGTCATCTTAATTGAACTTGAGCTTTGCAAAGCTAGAAATGACACATACTGATTCATATCCACCAAGTACAAGAAGCGGCACAATGCAGTGAACCAAATTAGAGATGCTTTCTGAACTGATGTTTTCAATAACAATTCGCTTTACCCTCATTATCACTTTTTCCGTTCCAGCAAGTCCACCAGTGAAATCTAACAATCTATAACTTCTGGTTTGAAAGCAAAATGCATTGACAATTAGTTCAGAATTATTATAACTTCGAAAGAAATACCTGCAACTCCAGATAGATGCATTCTCCATATCATTTAATTCTATGTAAGAATCGATCAGAATCAGTGCTGTTGAAAGAAGCGCACTTCTATCGACATCATTCCAATTTAAAAAGTCAATGATAATGCCAATAACCTTAAAAAATTGTAAATGTTGAAAACAATGTGAAATTACAAATAGAAAAAAAAATGCAAAACATGTAGTTCTGACTAAGAGGAGATTGATAAACAAAAAATATGGCTCTTGAAAAACTTTTCTGAATGCTCACATTTCAAATAGTAGAATACATTTTAAAAAACTTCATGCAATATACATTTTTAACAATAAACACCTTATCAAACTGACGCTCTTTGAAAAATCGCTGAATTGCTTCAAAACTTTCTTTACGCTCAATCTGAGCAATTAAAGTTTGGACGGTTTCTATGCTGATTATTTCATGGCCTGTAATCAGGGACTGATACTTGACTTCTGGGTCATCACCAGATTTCAGAACGGCCAATAACTTCCACAAATGATTTGTACAAACCTTAAATACACAATATACAATGTGAGCGCTAAATTACAGAATAAGAGAACCAGGAAATCTTTAATTCTATTTTTTTTTTCATGCTTGTAGCAATGAAACTGAGTCATACGTGAGGAGAGAAAGTGTCTCGACCATTTATTGCTATTAACCAAAGCATTCGAGCTTTCATTTCATGCTCTGAACAATCAGAAAGCGAGGAGTAGCAAACAAATAAAGCTTCAGTAGAACCAAATTCAGCTAACATTGCGTGAATTGGTAAAAATTCATCCCCACGAATCATTGATGCATTTCCAAAATTAGTAACCCATCGTGCATAACAACCAATAATGACCTGCATGAATTAGATTGATATTTTCAGATTATAAAATTCAGTAGTTTACATTTTTAGTATTAAGAAGCCAAAATGGTCCACTGTGAAGTACTTAAATACTCCAAGTCTGAAAAACTCAAAGAGAGTTTGATTTACACTGAGCACCATTATTTTCCACACATTTGATAAAAATAAGGCAAGAAGCTCTTCAATACAATATATCTACAGAATTAGAATAAAAGTCCATTACTTAATATATCTCACAACTTTAAAATATTTACTATGATTACAAATAAATCTCATCTTCTTTCTTCGTTTCAAAATGAATGCAAATTCAAAAAAACACTGCTTTCAAGATTAAAAAGTGCTTTCAAGATTAAAAATATTGCTTTCAAGATTAAAAAGTGATCCATAACTCCGTGACTCAGGCAAAAACCGTCTAAATTTTCAATTTTTAAGCTTGAATTGCAAACTGCAAAAATATACCTCTCGTAAACGATCAGTAATTTCAATGTAGAAGCAATTTTTCGAATACCAAAAAAGTAATGTCTCTAAAATGTCGAAAATCCGACCATTTCCGTTTGCAAATTTGTTTGTCAGACATATTACACATTTAAGTACCAATATTCCATCACTTACAGATGTCAATAATGCAATCTTCTTAGAAGGAGATAAAGAAGGTAATGGTGTAGGTTTTATGGATATAAGTGGTACGATAGTAGGTTTACGAACACATGAATAGTTAAGCAGCTGAAAAATAGGAAGAAGTAACTCATAATAAACTTTATTAATAAAGCATATAAAAACGTATGGAAAAATAATATTAAAAAATTAGCTATTTAACATACTGAATTAATCAACAGCTTTTCATCATTCGAACCTTCCGAATCGTCAACATTAAATTCTGCACGAAAACGGACGGATCGTCGTCTCCAATCCAAACAAGGATCTAACTGTTTTTGAATTCGTGTAATTCCATGAAAATTAAACTCTTGTATAACAGTATTGAGAAGACTCTTTCAAAATCTGATAATTTAAACAAATATCCTTTCAGAAAAAATTTTGAGTACTAAAAAAACACTACGGAAACGACAAGAAACTTTTATAGATAGGCTAAGGGATTAAGATTTTCGTGAATGAACAATATTTTTTTCCAAATGAAATATAACTTGTAATGCCACGCTTAATAGTAGGTTTCAATTTTACTAGATTTACTTTGATATAAAGGAGGAATATGTTCAAATAAAATTTTACGATGTTAGAACTAAGATGAATGGTTTCTTCAGTTACAATTTTGCAAATGATATCCTGAACGACATCTATACAATCCATCAGATCATCGGAAAAACCTCTGAAAATTTTTTCCAATTCACCGACAGTTTGTCCTCCAGATACCATAATAGTCTGCGTTGAAAACTACAAACAAAATTAAAGACGGCTCTTCACGAGTATTGTGATGAAAATGACTAACATTTTGTTCAGTTCCGAATGTATTTCGAATGACATTAAAAAAATTTTTCTTAAGCAGTCAAAAGAGAATCTACAAAATACAAATGAAGTAGTGCATAAAATGAGACATACACTTGAGAATGCTTCGATGCGATCATATAAATCACAGAAATGAATTCCTATTTCAACCAAGCTAAAAATACAATTTAAAAACTATTTTTTGAAATTAAATATACATCTAGCCAACTATTGAAAACAACAATCACAAACCTCAGACATAAACTCAAATCAATCACCACCTGTTTCAGTACTGGTTCAAATGAAACAATGAAATTTTCTGTTTTTGTAATTTCTTTTAGGACCTGGAAATAATTTTAAACTGATACCAGTTTTACTGCATTTAAAAAATACCAGCGAATTTTAGTTTCCAATATGACAGAAATTTTTAATTCCTGTTAAATGCACTCTATTCTTTAAAAGTTTCAGTTTTAAATGTGTTAAATCATAGCATACAAAACTGCACTTTGACCAAATTTCTTTAATATTCATATTACCAATCAGTTCTTAAATGAAAAGTGACTTTTTCATCACCAGTTTTATATGTTATAAAAAAACTTGACGAAAACTCAAATCAGAACAAGTGTCAAATTTGATGACAAAGTGTCTTAATTTGCTTTAAAAGGTTAATAACGAAGCATACCAGTTTTTTATCATTCGTGGTGATTTTAGAACAGCTTTCGTCTGATACGTAAACAGAATCTTCGCCAAATATCTGACGACATTTCATTTCCCAAAAAGAATTCGTTTCTCTGATAATTTCTTTGAGAACACGTCCCAAAAAATATGTTTTATCTCGTTCCAGCACTGATTTTATTTTTAGAAGACAATCTGCAGTGATCACAAATTTATTGCCATAAATTTCCACCTAACTCGTTATCAAAATTACATTATGAAAATATTAATACGAAACAAATGTCAAAGCAAAGGCAAATGCTTTGCTGTTATAATAGAAAGAAATATCAAAAAGGTATATCCCTGATTCCAATCAGATTAATTTTAAATTCATTCTTGGATATAAATTATATGGCAATAGCAAATTTAGATCTTTTAATTGCAATTGTTAGATTGTGAAACGAGTTAAAGTATGTAACTTCAAATTTACTTCACGATAAATATTTCCAATTCATTCACATTTAATCCAGGTAAATGCCGATGTATCGGCATTTACCTGGATTAAATGTGCCAATTTTCGCTTTAAACTGATAACAAGTTGAACAAAATTAGAAAGTTAATTACAACAAATTATTTTAAATTACAAAGCCCATCCTAAGACAACAAATTCAACCATATTAGATGAAAATAGGAAAAAAGAAACTTCAAAACCTTCAAAAAGATTTGAGTTGTATAAAGCAATCAGAATTCCACGGATCACAATCATGTTTGAAGAGCAATTTCTGAATGCAAACAATGCCATGGGCCAATCTTTTGCTTTTAAACACTCGTCCCCAACAGATTTCCATAAATAATCATCATTTGGATATACAGTCAATGCCTAAAACTTGAAAAAATGAAATAAATAAATCAGTAAGACAAACTTGACGTAATTACTTGCAACGTAACTTCAAAAAAATTAAAACTGGATAAAAACAATAGGAAAGAGTTTATGAAGAAGTATAAGCTTTACCACCAACAATGTGATAAAAGAATTGATGTTAAAATGGAACTAACGCTTAAAAAATGCTCTATTGGATCATTTAAAAGTCGTCCAATATTGAAATGTAAGGATGAGAAAAGACGAGCCATGGCAGATACACGAGAATGATTCTGACGATCTTGTTCCCTAGCTTCATCCCAATTGAATAAATTGATATTTACCTACAAATGAGGTAAAGTCAATAAATTTTAATGACTCAGAATATGATGTAAATTCTGATTTGCAAAAAGATTCTAGCTGTGAATTATATACAATGATAAAAACAAACAGTGCAAAAAACAATTTGTTTCTGCATAAGTGCATCAACGATAATTCCTTACCTACTTGAAGCAATACACAAAGAAAAAATAAAATATTAAAAACACAAGAAGAAATGTCGATTCTGTGTATGAATGATACAAGTTTCAGTAACTTACTTCAAACTTTACCAGTATTGGATGCTGTAGAAGTTTTTCCATCATTCTGAGTGCTTTTTGTTTCTGCCCACTCAAAACGAGATTCAGAGCTTTGGTATAGTCCGTTTGAAGTGAAGCTTCCTTCAATCCTTTTGCGTCATTTACATACGGCATTTTAATGTTTTGAAATATCATAAACTTCAAATATGCAAAAATACTATTATTCATGAAATACGGATTCAGACTACACTAATTATAGAATTGGGCAACTTACCACAGCCTCCTCCGTCTGAGCGCCATCATCGCTGAAGTCCCAAACATTGATATCGTCATTTTCGTCCTCTTCGCTACTTTGCTGCTCGCTCTCATCCTCACTGCAACTTTCATCAGAAGTACTTTCATCGCTACCGCTACAGCTCTCATCATCATCTTCTTCTTCTTCATCATAACCGCTAGAGTTTTCAACATCGTCTACTCTCACGGCGTCACCTGGTTCTGCCATCAACAAAGCTGGAACTCAACAATTTAATTACTAACAATCAATATAACCATTCACCAACTCATTCCAAAACAAGCTTTCTTCCGAATCTCTCAACATCCTACCTGAAAAATACTACCTACCGCTTCAGTATACTAGAAGTGAACAGCCTCAATAAAATCTCTCCTGCTGTCATTCACATACCACTCTACCAGGCACTACTTTTTTTTCGCAAAGAATTAATAATCACTACGACCCGTAACTCAAACGATGATGTAACCGAAGGTCGAAAACTTGAAATTTAATCATGACGCATTATCAACATAAAACAATTATTAAAGATGTTCTTTGTAAAACAGAACGAAGAAAACTTTTATTAAGAGCAAATTCAAACATTTATCATACATTTATCTACAACGATAAGCAAGACGATCACGATGATAATAATCTGCCATGAAACGGTAGACATGAGAAGGCATAAAAGTAGAAGTAGGTGAAATGTATTGTAATATAAGTTCTCCAGGAATTAAATCATACATGGGATTAACAATTTGTGCGTCTTCCATGTCTTCTGCTTCCACTAATGGTAACACATTAGCAGCACAACCGAAGCATTGCACACGATCAACATCCGAAACGAAAAAAGGAGCGAATTTATAGAAACTAGCGCAAACACAAACAGGTACTCCATGTCTTTTAGCTGCTAAGCACATCATCAAGCACCCTATAAACTATTGTACTGAAGGTTGAAAACTAATAGTTAACAACGCTCTGATGAGATAATCTAGAGAGAATAGCATCGACTTCCTAAAACTGTCTTAAAATTTTAAATGTCTCAAACATATTGGAAACATTTTTGTTTAAACCAGACACTTACCAGCAGGTGCTAAACAAGATCCATCTGGAAATACAACCACAGCAGCGATAAAAACTCGTGTAGCACGTTGCATTGCGGTCAGAATATCTACTGATAACAAATAGTCAGCAAAATCAGTTTCCTCATCAACTACCAACAGACGAAAACTTTTATGAATTTTGCGAGCAGTATTGAAAAAAGCAGTAAGTGTGGATGATAATGATAATGCATGAGTTATAATGACGTCTGTGGTACAAATATGATCCTTTGCCTGTAATGAAATACCAATCAGACATTAGTCTTGCACATCTATTTCTGAAATTAAATTTGACGCGAACAAAACAGATAATTTGAGTCGGCTTTAAAAAAATCAGGACAATGCTTTTTAGCAATATCAAATGAGAAAGGGAGCCAATTCAATAACAATTAATTTTTTTAACAACAATCCAAACAAACTCTGCTGGTGATATTTAGTACAAAAGAAGGTTCATTCACTGGAATAAGGGAATAGGATTTAAGCCCGTATTTAAAAACGAAGAATAAAATGAAACTTGATCCCCAGTGATCTTTTGAGCAATTCAAACAACTTTTTTACAAGAAATCTTTACTTGTGCAGATATATTTTCGATGCATGTATCGATTTCTGTCGCCAATTCACTGACAGCAGCAAGAACTGATCGACGAAGTTCTCTTGGGTTTAATATTTTTTTATTGCTTGCAGATGGTTTCCATAGCTCCTGAAATAAACATGAAATATGCATCTGAGGAAGAAGAATCCCAAAAATTAAAGAACGCTGATGTTTATAGCAACAACAAATGAATTGCAAACAGCACAAAATACCAAATTTCCATAACGAGAGGAAGTACGGCCATTTTCTTCTTCGACAATCTTAATTATGCACAATATGATATTTGACACAACGAACTGATAAGGTAACATTTGTTCTATAAGTTTACGCTCTGTTTCCAACAAGTTTATAAGGTCTCTGAAAAACGAACAAAAAACTGTTAATAAATTGAAAAAGATAGAATTATTCTTGAGTTCTTAAACTGAAGATCCACAGAATCAATTTTTCATAGAAAATTAACATGAAAACCTATCAAAACTGGAGAAAGTATACAGTCAAAATCAGATCTTTTTAAAAGTTGACTTGAAGTTATTTAGTTCACAGAACAAGAAAAATTCTACATCATTTATTTTTTATGAGATACAGAAATATATAATAGACTTGCTTAGTACTATCGTATTTTCCAGATCCTATAATTCTTCTTACATAGTTTAAAGCATCCAAGGCTATTTTTTGAGACGTCGTTCTCTGCATACTGAAATAATAACACCTTAAGTCCACAAATTGATTTGGATATGTCAAACGTTCAATCGAACAAAAGGAACATGAATGTTATGGTGAATTTCCAAGTCCCTTCTAATTTGTGCAATTTACTCTCGTCATCAAGTTAATTTCATCCACACTTAATTCTTGATGACAAAAAAAAACCTTATTCTTTGCTGATGAATAAAAATACGTCGGGCAATTTCTTGTTTGTCTTCATGGACTTCATCATCGTCTTCCGTAAAATCCATCATTTAATATTGATAACTGTATTCAAATAATCTTTTGTTAGTAGAGTTTTGAGTTGGACGATTTTCTGGAATCGTTCAATAAATATAAAGTGCATTCAATAGATAAATATAAGTTTATTTGCATTCATTACAACTATCTTAATCTCTTTTTTGTATTTTATTTTTAAACAAAACTTTTAATGCTATTAACGACAACTAAGAAATGATGTAATCTGAAATTCGAGTTTTTTCTGAAACAGCCAACATAGGTGAAGGCATTTTACTTGTACAGCAAAAACTGAAACAAATTAATTCACAGACATACGAATATGGAAAATAGAACAGTATTTAGTTAGGCTAATTATAGTAAACCAGAATTTCTGTAATTTATATTAATATATGCTTCAATTTTTCATCTAAGCCCTTTCTAACTCAAGACATGACGGAAAGAAAATCGATGCATATTAATCAAGTTTAATAAGTTAAGTTCAATAAATAAACCCTACTAAAGAAACAGGCAAAGAGACCAACCATACAACAACAAAGGTCTAGTAAACTTCGATTCTTTTTTGCCGGACATGTTAACAAATATTTTACGGCCGGTGGTTGCTATTATGAAAAGCACTTATTTCACCACAAGAACACGTATATTGTGACAACAGGTGTGGTCTGTATTTGCTCAACTTTCTGTAAGGTATATAAATTAAATCAAAGGTTTAATTTGATTCTATATCGGACATTATTTCTAGTCCCATGGTATTATTCGATTGAACAGTGAACAGTTTGATTTTTCTACCGTATTAGTTTAGGATTTTGAAGAAGAATCTGTACGCGACAATTTGTTTTATAATTCTCTGTATTATAATTCAATACATATTTTGCAGCAAAAAAAAAATCGTATTATATTTTTCCTAATATTATATTTTAACATTTTTATAGTATAGCATTTTTATTGTGAATCCGATTTTAACGTAATTACTTTCAGGTTGCTTTTCATGGTGTCGGTGTTACTTTTCTATCTGTACTGAACAGGAAAGAAGTCATGTCTTGTTCTGCCATTTTTATTCTTGACCTGAAAGGAAATGCAAGTTTTTGCTTAAATTGCTTTTCATTCAGGTTTAAAAGTTATATTAAATATTTATTGTAATTAATCTTTTCTGAAATTTCAAAAAAATTAGTGAAATGCATAAAAAAATATTGCCAAATTATTGTTATTTATTAGTATTATGACGTACTACGTTGATAAATTTTGCTTAATTTAGGTGATAATGTCAAGGAATTATCGCGGTGACATAGAAACTTCAGTGATTGATTCTTTTATGCCATTAATGATGGAGAAAGAAGATGAAGGTCATCTAGCTCCAGTTTTACAGAAGAACGATATCAACTATGTTTATGTCAAGCATCTTAATATTTTTAGTCTGATTTTAATGCTTCATTGTTTTTTTTTTGATTTTTCACATTCAGTCGTAAACAATGGTATTCGCAAAAACGTTTCAGATCTCATTTTGCAAAATTTATGAGTTATTTTGCACAATTAATTGTTTGAACCGTTTATTCTCATTTATTCTTATACAGAGGCAGAACTTCTAAGTAATGCTTAATTTGCTTTCAGTTGTGGCCATATCAAAAAAGAATGTTAATGTTGCAATGGTATTCACTTTTTTATATAAATGTATCGAAGTATTCAGTGAATATTTTAAGGTTCATAATTTCTTTTTAAATTTTTTTTATCAGCCTATTCATTCGATCTTAGCAGTGAACAGTTTAATTTGTCTGCTTATCAGTTTAGGATTTTGAAGAAGAATCTGTACGCGACAATTTTGTTGTTTTTTATGAACTTCTAGATGAGATGATGGATTTTGGATATCCTCAAACAACAGAAAGTCGCATTTTGCAAGAGTAAATTATTTATTTAATGATGATAAAAATATTGGTTACCAAAAAAATTTATTGTAACAAAAATAAGGAAATTTTAAAATATGGTTTTTTATCGAGCGTTTTTGAGATATATTACACAAGAACGATATATGCTCGATGTTGCTCCGAGACCACCAATGGCTGTAACTAATGCGGTATCGTGGCGTCCGGATGGTCTGAAATATCGCAAAAATGAAGTTTTTCTTGATGTCATTGAATCAGTTAATATGCTGGTAAGGGTAGATGAAATTTTAGTGCAAACGATAGCTGATCTACTATATTCAAGACAATTTTAAATAAAAATAGTACATGATAACACTTTTTTTCGGTTTTCAAAGGAAAACTCAAAGTTACTTTTTCCTTCCGATATAGGAATGAAAAAAGTGTTAATAGCTAACAGAACAATTTTATTTCTATAAGATTGTAGCTTTTATGAGTTTGCTGTATAATGCAATGCGAAGATGCTGCAGACATCCCGAATAATTTCAAAAGATAGGAATATTTGTTAGTTTCATTTTGATGCTCCTTTTTTTCCAAATTGCTATAGGCTAATGCTTCTGGTTCGGTACTGCGCAGCGAAATTGTTGGAACTATCAAAATGCGAGTGCTACTATCTGGTATGCCTGAGTTACGTCTCGGACTTAATGATAAAGTGTTATTCCAAACGTGTTCAAGTATGAATTTTTGAGATCTCATTTTCTATTCAGCTGCTTTTCGATATTTGCTATCATAGAATTTCTCACTGTATTACTTGGGTGTTAAATACTTTCTGAAACTTTTTGATGTTGAGGAGGACGTGGAAAAGCTGTGGAATTGGAGGATGTCAAATTTCATCAATGTGTTCGGCTATCTCGATTCGAAAACGATCGTACCATAAGTTTTGTGCCTCCGGATGGAGAGTTTGAACTGATGAACTATCGCTTAACAACGACTGTGAAGCCGTTGATATGGGTGGAAGCTTGCATGGAAAAACACGCGCATTCTAGGATCGAATATATGGTGAAGGTAATTGATCTTTATTCATGCAGTGCTCGAATATTCCATTTCTAACAGATGCTGAGCACTTGTTTGATTTATTCAGGCAAAGTCTCAGTTCAAGCGACAATCCATCGCAAATCATGTCGAAATTATCATACCGGTGCCTAGTGACGCAGATTCCCCCAAATTCAAAACCTCTGTTGGCTCAGTGAAATACGTTCCTGAGTTAAGCGCTTTTGTGTGGATGGTCCGAAGTTTTCCAGGTTTATTTTCTTTCAGTGCTGTATTCATTAATCACGCACGTATATTCCCCAAACATACCTAAATCCTGATTGATTTGCAATGTTTTTCTAGTTAAAAACGGTATTTAAGTAAACAAGTAAAAGTTATATGGAATGATTTTTAGGTGGTCGTGAGTATTTGATGAGAGCTCATTTCTCTCTCCCTTCAATCGTGAGCGATGAGTCAGAAGGAAAACCTCCAATTTCAGTTAAATTTGAAATACCATACTTCACAACAAGTGGTCTTCAAGTGAGCTTTTTTCACTTCGCATTTGGTATTGTCTTTTTGCTGCGTTGTTATAAAGAATATTACTTGAATTTCATTTTAATAGCAATTGTTAAGGTTCGGTATTTGAAAATTATTGAAAAGAGTGGATATCAAGCTTTACCATGGGTTCGTTACGTTACACAAAATGGCGACTATTTGTTACGGATGCAGTGATGGATTTTTTGCTTTCTGAGTTGTAAACAAAACCTGAGCGTATTTAGTTGCCATTATTAGTTGCAATTTTTACGTTTAGATTTTTCTGGTGTTTATCGTTTAGGCATGTCTAATTTTTCTTTGTTACCTTATTGTCCCCTTTATAAAATTAACGATACGTATTTGAAACAGTAGTCGATAACATTCTTGTCCAATAGCAATTGTATATTCGTTGAAAGTTTATCAAGAAAAAAAAATGCTTTCCAGAGAGTGCTTTCAAAAAACCGCGCATTCTTTTTTACTTTGTTTTGTGATGTTCTATTTGCCTTATGTTTTTGTTGTTGTGACTATTTTCTAACTGGCGGACTGTGATACTTTTATGTGTGCCTTTTTTCCATCGTATCGGTGATATTGGACATTCGTTTAGCTCATTCCATTTTTGTGGTTGATGACACTCACTTATTAAATAAACTTTTTTTCAAAAAAATGATTTATAGCAATACATAAATGAACTTAATTTTCTAGATACTTCAGGATGAAAGTCAAAAACTAAATATAGAGTGAAGTGAGACATTGAAATCCTCTCACAATTTTTTAGATCATTTTCGTCCTTTGAAATTTTCCATCAGTCTGTTTGCGCACAAATAATCCTCGATAATGCGAGTCGCACTTGTTGGTAGAATGCTACAAAAAATATTCTTATTACTAATTTGATCGGATAAAGTTAGTGAATTTTCCAAGTTTTTATGAATATTAAGTAAGTTTTGTTCTGCAAATTATTGACTATTGTGTGAATAATCTCTGAGAATTTTGAAGCATATCATACTCGATTATTTCAGTTATAATGAATGTTCAATGAGAAAAAACAGATGAGTTTTAGTAAAAAGAACTGAATAGAATAGTATGCATTATTTGCCTTTGCAAAGCCAAAAGAACAGAGCAAATTTTCGGCAAATGTACGATTTCCTTACTGGTTACTATTGCTTCCATAATTTCGTCTACAACATATTGTGGAGATAAAATGGGTAAAATGAGTGGAGCACTGAAATAACACTTTTATACACTTCTTAAATATTAGCTGCAATTAATCGTAATTTTATTTGACTGATTCTATTATAATCAAACAATCAATCAATTCATTTGGGATCAATTAAAAATTAAGCAAAATTCTAATTTGCTATGTAAAAATCGAAATTGAACTAAGATCACTTTAAGATTTGAAAGTTATTTACTATTAATAAGGTACAATAAAGAAGAAATTAATTAACTTAGATGAATATGTAATATTAGAATGAAAGCCAAGAATGAGATTTACCAAAAAGAGGCAATGAGAAGATTTTTGCATAAAGATGGTATAAAAATATTAAATGTAAAAATTAAATATTGTAAATTTTAGCAATTTCATACAATGTTTTAACTCCTGCAAACATTCCTGTGTCAATAAAGAATGGACATATTGTAGTAACGTGTACTCCATCAACTTGCATAGATCGTAATTCTGCTGCGAGTGAGGAAGCAAATCCAACAACAGCATGCTTACTAGCACAATAATCTGTAAGTGATGGCATACCGTACTTGCCTGCCATAGAGGATATTTCAATAATATGACCATGATTTGCTCTTATCATTGATTCAAGAAAAGCCTTTGTTATCTGTAATACAAACTCATTACAGTGTTTTCTTTTTTTAACAAGCAAATTTAATCTATAAAATAATTGCATCATAAAAAAAGCAAATTTAAAATTATTATTGTAAATTAAATTAAAAATTAATCTAACTTCATACTGCTTAAGATTAATTCTTGCAAGCATTACTAAATAACATCCTAAATGAATATAAATAGTAGCAGAAGTAGGTAATTAAAAATCATATCTGAGATAATTTTGGACAAATTATTAGAGCAAATTTTGATAAAATGATATGATTGATTATATATTTTGATTGCAGTTTCTGGGTGAAAATTTTATAAACAAATATAAAAGCTTTTTAGCTTTTATTTCTAAACAATTTATATATTAACATTCACGTGAATAAACTCACGTAAAAATGTGACAAAATGTTAACGTTCATAGTTTTCTCAATTTCTTCATCCGAAATCTTTAATATGTTCTCACCGCAAACGATGCCTGCATTGTTTACTAATATGTTGATATTACCAACAACTTGTTTCACTTCTTCTGCAGTTCGATATATTTCTTCCTTCTTATTCAAGTCTACTGTATAAGCGAAAACCTTGAATTTAAGCAAATTAAAGATTCTTTTTTCTGCACGAAATTAATTCTCAATCGGATTCAGTAATTCTCAATCAGATTCATTCAAGTGTCATCGTTGAAAGCTCTAGAGTAGCTGAGTACATTTTCGATTAGCCCTATGTTAGCATCTTTTGCCTTTCCACTGCTTTAATTTTATTAAGTATAAATGTGAACATAAATATGATATATCAAGAAAATTTGATTAATAATGAAAAAACTTATTTTCTATGCATAGTTAGAGAACGTACAATCAAGCAGTTCTTGCTATCAGCAAATGAAAACAAACTTAGCTTTCTTTTTATTTCTTACAAAAATAATAACAATAAAAACAGCTGCATAAATATGAAAAAAGTTTTCAAGGTTTCTACGTGATACTAATTAATTTCAGCTGCTCTTCACAGCAAAATACACACTCTAATATTTTTATTTCTTATAAATATTAATACTAGCAATAGCAATAAAAACAATTATTAAACTATTCTTAATATTTTACTATTAATGAAAAAAAATTCTCAAGTGAAGTAAAAAAATTAATAATAATGATATGATGTTAATACTAATATTCTACTAATAATATTGATGTTGAATTGTATTAATAACTGTTCTGTGAGTAATTAGTAGTGCTGTTGTTGTTATTGTTATGCATACAGCATATGTAATAATTTGATAATAAAACTACTCTTAATCATAAAAGTACTACGAATAAGGTAAGGTAAGGTAAAGTAAGGTAAGGTAAGGTAAGGTAAGGTAAGTAATTATTGTAAAAAAAGTATACTTCAGCTCCAATTTCTTCAATTTTCTTTTTTGTTTCAGCATTGCTTTTCTCATTAATATCCCAAAGTACCAATCGAGCACCAATTTTAGCAAACTGAAAAACTTTTTTGTACTTTTTATAATTACTTTCACGATAAAACTTTTGTGTACAGTCTGAAGACCAACTCAAACATCAAACACACTCTATCTTTTTGAAATAATTCAAATCAGATATTTCAAATCAAGTATGATTCAAAAATAAATTGCATACTATAAGAATGGCTGCATTATTAATCAAATATGCTTAATAAAAGCTTACTTAATCAGATTAAAAGAAACAAAACAACTATGCATATTATCATTATAATTATAATTTGAATTATTATTGAATAGTAAACCCGCAGTGCAAGTAGTCGACCAATTCCACTACCAGATCCAGTAATCAATACATTTTCACCAGAAATATTTTTGCGAACCAAAAATGAATTTGGCAAAAAAAATGCAGTAATTTGCCATAAAATCATTTTTGAAAATTGAAATAAAGTTTTGATAGTCCAAATAACATCTTGCTTCTTTTCATTTGCTAAAATACTTTTTTCATCTTTTTTAATTTTCAAATTTTTTACTTCAACTATTGATTTTTTATAATAAATTGAAATCAGATCAGAAAAAAAAACTTTTTATTAATAATACTAACTGAAAATTATACAGTGAATAAATTGACAAAAGTTATACAATTAAATATGAGAATATTCCAATCGCATGCATGCTAAACATAACAACATTTTTGATTCAATAAAATAAAAATTCTTACCGTAATTCATGATTGAAAGATTCTCACTGTAATCCATATTTGATATGATTAAAGATGATGATACACATTATAAAGTAAACGATCTACAACTTTATACGTAATAATCTCAGCAAGGTCACGTAACTAACTTTCCTTTCGTCACGTAATTTAGAAAAGAACATTCCTTTCAACTACACTTTCAATGTTTACTTTTCACTAAATAACATACAACACGTGCACTCTGTCTGCTTCGAATCTATATTTATTGTTGTTTTTATATTTATTGTTGTTTGCTCTTTCAATTACCTAATTATTAATTCCCGATAAATTTATAAATTATCATTATTTTTAATTATGCAAAAAAATAATGCTATTTTTGTTCGCGTAACATTATATATCGATTACGTGTTATTGCACTGTACTGTTCCTATGCCAAATATAAGTACAATTTTTTTTTACAGTACACTTTACTTTATTTACATAGTTATTATTTTTTTCCAATATCAGCCGAGAATTAACTCTTTGATGTAATGAAAAAATTAGTAGAGAGTAATCAATAAACGATAATTAGCATCATTTGCTTGGCTGTGTATCTGGCACATTTCTCTATGCTTCTTTTTCAACACGCAATCGATAATGGTTTTGTCACTTTGATAGTTTGTTTGTTATGAACGCATAATTTGAATACTTTTATTCATAATCTTTTTTTCTTTATTAATCCAATAAGTATTAATAAAAGTATACTTAACTACGTTTTAATTCAAATACTTCTTTCAAAGTTCTACGCAGCTGTTTGCCAGTTTGTAATCGTTCTCGCGTTCGCCAATGTGAATCTCTAAGTTTCATCAGTGTAATCGTATTATACCATTCCTGTAAGTGATTCAGTAATTATAATAATTATATTAAATAATTATGATAATTGTATTAAATAATTATGAAAATTTATTTTTTTCTTTAACCAATGCACAATTATTCATTATTTTTTATATACAATGAAAATATAAATGAACTAACTAACTTCTCGTAATATCTTTTCACTTCTAGCATAGTGCTTTTTTACCGCTTCTTTTTGCAAGTACTTTCTATTTTTTGCTAAATAGTTTGTATTCAAATTTGTGACCCTTTTTGATGACATTAAATAGCTAATCATTTTAACATCAACTACTGGTCGTATCTTCCACGCTGTAATTTTCTGAAATTATTCATTGAACGATAAATAATTTTGTATGCAAAATTTGCACATTTCAATTTTAGTTATTAATTTTTAAATATTTTTTAATATAATTTTGTGAAATGATTAATTAATACAAAATAAGTATGTGCACAAAAAGGGGGAAAGACAAACTTAGACAAATTATGCTCGTTTCAAACAATATGTTTGTATATACTAATGTAATACTTAAAGTCAAATTGATTTGATATTCAATTAAAAATTTTTAATATTCAATAAAATAATCTGTCAAACAAAAGAGCTGTTTTACCTTTAATCTCTCAGTTAAGCAAACTTTTCATCGAAAGTTGACAACATTTGAATGTATGAAATTGTTTACTAATAATTTGTAATTGAATTTTTAACGCTAATAGCTTAAAGTTATTATTAAATTGTTAAGTAATTATTTTTAAGTACAAAATAAAGAAAGAAAATGCATGAACTTCTTGCATATTTTTGAACGAATTCCGTTGAAAATGTTGCACTTTAAACGAAGAAACTATTCCCGAATGCATATAATAAATAGAAGTTAGAAGCTCAGTCAGATCGCCCTGGAATAGTTTAGCAGTGAGAACGTTAACGAGAAACGTCATTATGAACTGAATCGCCGCGTTGATGTCTATTTTAAGCTCTTGAAACGGAAGCTGCTGATATTCAAGACGATCTGGGGGTTCCAAGCATTTCGTCCTGAACGTATTTAAAATAATCACTGCAAGGATTATTCTTTTATTATTTTACTTTTTTTTATAACATCTATCTATTTTTGTTATTAATTTTATTCGAAATATATACATGAATGAGAATGGAAAATATTCCTCACGACTTGGCATATAATTTTTAATAAATTTATTGTTAACTGTTAGCTAACAGTTATTGATAATAATAATAATAATAAATGATTGTTTTTGAAATAACTACAGTAGCATAAATTAATTTGTGTTAATTGCAAACAACACTCAAACTGTAATGAATTTTTTTCGAATCTTTCTTATTATTATTACTTATTGGACTGTTATGATTATTATTATTTAATTCATTATTATTTACTATTATAAATGCTGATCACTATTGTTGTGACTATTGCAGCTTTCATTACTTATCAGTTGCTTAAATAGATAATAATTGAAGAAGTAAAACTGCACGATTAATGAGCAAGCCCAACTTCATGATGCAGTAAGTAAAGAAATAGCCAATTTAGAACTATATCCCTACAAAACTACCATTTAAATTCGCGATCGAAGCAAAAAGTATTCAGACTAACCCAAAACAGCAACAGAACTGATGCAATACTTTGCCTTCTGAATCTTTATAGTATTGACATGATTTTTCACGTTCTGGCATTAATGCACAACTAATTTCTTTACTGAAATCTAATTTACATGTGTAAATTTTTTCACTCCCAGATAGATATATGTTTTTTATCAGTAACGTGTGCTTAGCAATAATTGCCCAATTAGAGCTGAAAATTGTGAGACACTTGGAAAAGCTGACTTATTTGGGGGACAACTGACGTTGACAATATTACTTTCATGTTCCGTAAGCACTCGAGTCATACTACACTGACTTGAACTTGTGGTCCTTCCCGTACAATGCATACTCCGATAGTACTGTATGAAAAATGTAATATCGTATATCGAGGGTTATTTTATCTTTTTTATCCATGTGCTTGAATATACGTTTCATTCTAAGCTTAAATGGCGTACACTGCTTACTTTTTGATATTACTTGTTAGTATTTATTATAGTCTTCCGCGCGCTAGTCTTAAGAAATATAATTAATAAATCATTAAGGAATGTTTTGATTTGATACTAAGCTAGCAACAATGATAACGATGATAAACATTATCGTTATCATTGCAAAAAAATGCGGGAAATAATGCCGCTGAGAATGAAAATGAAAGCGTACCGGTTTGAGCGCGAGATAGTTCTCATTGATTGCTATTTCTCCCTGGCAACGTTTAGAACAATAAACTAGTGTAGAATGAATTAAAATTAAAATAATCAGAGAGAGAAGAAAAGTTTGACACGACCGCTTACAGCAAATTGCATACATTTTAGTGCTTTAATTTTGTTTTGGTAAAAAGTAAACGCTGATAAGTTTTTGATAGCGTGACGTCACGTAACTGTCGTACTTATTCTAAGAGATATTGAAGCAGCAGTTTGAGGAAGCGTAATCATTTCACTATGTTTGTTCATTGACAAATTTGCCAGGTGTATCGACGCTACGTGTTATTTTTGTTGACATTTCGAAGTAGTAATTTAAATACGAGAACGTTACGACAATTATTTTAATTATTACATGAAAATGGAAATCTATGATACACTAACTTATTCTTGCCTTACCTTTTTTTAATTTCATTTTTATCTTATTGAAATTTTTTCGAATTTATTCCATAGCTAATTCTAAAATCAAACCATTTCACACTAAGTAATCAAATCTTACAAAATAATAAGTGCAAATTTTAGATAAGTCATATTAGTGTGAAAGAATTATATGAACATGACGAATTATTCTTTCATTTTAATTAAACTCGCTGTTCAAACATATCTCGTGATAAAAAGACTTGCGTGATAGCCAATACCCAAGTCTTTCGTTTAACGTCTTGTAAAACTTTTTTTGATCTGTGATTATCACAGAAATAGATCAAACTTTTAAGCTTATCAGATATCTGACCAATTAACTTTAGTTTTTGTGACCTTTTAATTTTCTAAAGGTTCTTTACCTTCATAAAATGGTATCATTTTATTCATTATTATGCCAACCTCATTATGTGTTATCAATAGTGGGAATGAAATTTGCATAGGGGGCGTGATTCATATTAAGCTCGTTATCGGTTGGATGAACTTTATGGCCTTAATGCTGGTATAAATCACATAACCCATGATGGTCTAGGTCACATTATTCCTGATTGACGTTTTTATTGTTTGTTTTCTTTATTTACTATGATTTATTACGGATGAATGCTGTCAAAATCAGAGTTTTAGACAGTGAGCTGCAATTAACAAAAAAATGTAGGCATATACGCACGCGCACGCGTACGCGCGTTGTGCAGAATGTAATGCAAAGAGTGGCATCTGGTTTTTTCATTTAGTGTATTGTAATATCTTATCCATAATGTATTTTGGAGATTTTTCCAAAGTAGCCTACGAGCCTTTTGTATTTAGTTTAGAGAGCTGTCTTCGATTGGTCATTCATGCAATCGATAAATACTTTCATTCAAATTGTGTTTTTTAGTTGTCGGTATTCATAGTTGGGATGGTACCATTCATTGTGATGCATTTGATTATCCCTTTTTGGTCACTTTTCTGAGTAAGGAACGCTGCTTTTTGTGACCTGTAGTACTTTAGTCTCTCTATTGATTTAGGATAATGGTCCTTTGACCTAGATCTATAGTACATTAGTTTCATAAAGACATCATCAGCGGGCAGTACATTGTCAGGTTCCTACTTCCCGTTACTCAAATACGCATGAAGTATCATCGTAGTTTCGTTGTCTTATATTACACGTTTCTCAATATACAAGAATATTAATATTTTTACACTCATTTTTTGCAATATTTTTACTACTCCTCTTGATTTTTTTGTCATATGTTGTGACCTAATGGTACCGTAGTACCATGCGTGTCTTTGTGCTACAAACCTATTATATTATATATTTTGATTTGTTTTTTCAGAACATCAATACAATGTCAGCGTCGAAACAGAAGCGTACGACTTCTACGCGCTCATCTGCTTCAGTATCAAGCCGTATCATAACTGCTGATTGTCCTATTCCTGAAGAGAGTGGTGCAGATGACAGTATATCTTCTTTTAAGTGTGTTGTGTTCTAAAAATTCATTCTTATGAAAAGGAGATACCCATTATAACTTCTGTCATTTTGTCTCATCGAGTATCAAATGCCTCGATAACTGGTTTGCCTATTGTGAATCATACAGCGATTCCTTAGATTCTTCAAGAGTTATTTATTTCAGCAAACAGTCTTTTAACCGAAGTTTTTTTGAAACATGAGTCTTACAATCTACCAGGAATTCTAAAATTGTAGATTATCTAATTATGATTGCTGTTTAGTGTTTCGATCTCACCAAGTCGCCGGACTCGACAACACGAAAAGGATACTCTGTCAAATCTTAATGATCGGCTCGCAGTTTACATCGATGTGAGTTTGCAAAGCTTTTTCATTTTTTAGCGATTTATATTTCGTCTGTATCAGGAGGCAGTGCTTATTGTTTTCTAGTCATTTTTTTGGTATCAGAAAATTTTTTGAATTGATGTGCCATTAATTATGTGGAAAGATTTTACAAGTTGCAGTAGAGGACTTCACTGTTTCCGTTTTTAAGAGAGTGCGCCATCTTGAACTTGAGAATGAGAGATTAAATGTTCGAATTAATGAAAGCGAAGTGGTTGAAAAAAAGGAACGGCATGATCTGGTATCTCGTTATGAAGCTAAAATCAAAGAGCTTCGTGATTTGATTGATGATGCGTTGAAAGAAAAAACTCGTGTTAACATAGATGCAAAATCGGCTTTAGCAGAGCGTGACAATCTTCGTACTAAGGCAAATGTTTTATTCATTTACTTGTAAAAGGTTAAATTTAACCGAATTTGTTAAAAATGTCAGATTTACGTAATCAATATTTCATGATCAAATAAAACTCTAGATCTTGCTTTTATTTCATTGATGCATATCATTTTTTGTGAATTATAGAAATCATTCGTATTTTTTCTTATTCAAATCATTTAAAATGTCATCATGTTTGGCATTTTTAGATTGCAAAGCTGGACAAGGAATTAAAACACTCGGAGAAGCTTCGTCTTAGTAATGATAGTCTTATACAAGATCTTCAGGCACGACTGAACACTGCTGATAATATGAGAAAACATTTGGAAGATGAAAATAAGGTAGATATTTCTTTACTTAAAATGTTAACTTTCTATATTCAGTTAAAATATTAAACGTGCATTTTCAGGGTTATGTTATTGAAAATGAGGACCTGAAGCAGCAGTTAGATATTTTGCGAAAGCAAGTCGAGGATGAAGCGCTTGCAAACACTGCACTTCATAATCAAAATCAATCGTTAAAGGAAGATTATGAGTTTCTAAAAAAGACTCATGAAGGGGTGAACTTGACAGTCTTTATTAGATTATGTTTTAGAATAAATTTAGAAATAGAGAAGTTCTGAAGAATTGCAATCATTAGAACTTGTAATATTTATGCTTTGCACACTAAATTAGCATCTCTGGTTATGAAAAATTTCTTGTGCATGGACTTAGCTTGACCAAATAGGAGAATTTGTTTCAGCAGTTAGAAGAAATACATAGAAAGAGACAAGTTGAATTAACAACAACTGCTCGTGAAATGGAGCGTACGTATGAATCGCGCTTGCAAGAACAACTTCAGGCAATGCGCTCAGAATTTGATGAACGATTAAATAGAAATAGACGAGATATAGATGAGACTTATAAGGTTAGTGCCCTAATTAAATTAGGAAAAAGATTCAAAGGGGAAAAAAAACCTCTATAATGTTCTTGTATTGTAAGTATTAGTGACTAGTTTCTTATTAAGCCAAAAATGTTCCATGTTGTTCCAGAACAAGCTTAATGAAGCAAATGAAGCTCGTCAGCAAATGAACCTTGCTAAAGAAGAAGCGGCACGGCAGCGACTTCGTGTTCATGAACTAGAGAAAGCTGGAAGTACTTACGAAAGTCAAATAGAAGCTCTTAATAGAAAAGTCATAGATTTGGAGAGTCAGGTTCGCTAGTGTTTAATTACACTTAAAATTTATTTTTATCGAATTAGTTTATATTTATTGACTATGAGTACTTTAGCTTCGCTTCACGCGTGACGACTGTGATGTTCGCATCAGTCAACGTGACAAGCGAATTATTGAACTGCAAGAGGAAATAGATCGCTTATTAAATGAGTATCAAGATCTTTTTGATTTGAAAGTTCAGTTGGATACGGAACTAAAGGCTTACCAAAATTTATTGGAAGGGGAAGAATCTCGGTTTGACTTTCATTTAATTTGTTGCAGTACTCCATATTTCCGTTATAAAAGTATTTAGTGGTTGTTTCGTCATATTCTTTGTGATGTATCATTTTCACTGTTCAATTTTGTTCACTGCCCAAAGTTGCTATTTAGATTAAATATATCGCAGCAGTCTTCTCCGCTGTCTTCAACAGATTCACCTTCTGGTGCTGGCAGTCGTTATAGCGTGTCTTACACCGATTCAGGTCATCGTCGTGCTGTTAAAAGAAAGCGATTCAATGCATCAGATGATAGTCTTTATTATCGAGATACTGCAAAAACATACAAAGTTTGTGTCTCATTAGTTCTGTAAATTTTTGGAAGTCCAAATTTTGCTTCTGATTTAGTATTGTTTTTAATTCTGTAGTACAGAAAAATTAGTGAACGACTACAGAACATAAATAATTCATTGTTTCAACTTATTTTAGACTACATCTAATTCTGATTGTGATATCGAAATAGAAGAGCATGATACAGGTGGAAAATTCATCAAGCTAGTCAATAAAGGTGAAGAAACTATTTCGATTGGACAGTGGGCGATTAAAAGTATTGCTAGTGACAAAGAAACTATTTACAAATTTCATTCAAGGCAAACAATGAAACCCGGTGACACTATTGCCGTATGTTTATCTCACATATCAATTCAGTTTTATTGCATTTATGACTTCTAGCGTTATTTATCCAAATAAATCGTAGGTATGGAGCGCAGATAGTGGTGAAAAACATACACCACCATCTCAGCTGGTGATGAAAAATCAGCTATGGCCTTCTGGTGATCGGGTAAAGACAACTCTTGTTGATGCAGACGGTATTGAAATGGCAACTAGAGAAAGCGTAGCAGAAATGCAATATGGGCATTTTGTTAATGTTGATGGTGAGGACCCGGACCAGCGTTGTGCTGTCATGTAAAAGTGACTGCATTAATCATCAAGAATTTTAATGGTCTCGTGATAAGCTTTTTGTATTGGCAAATTGTTAAAAAATTAGGTGGAAGGCAAATTGTTAAGAATTAACTGGAAGGCAAATTGTTAAGAAATTAGGTGGGAGGCAAATTATGAATACTATCAAGAAACAATTACTGTATTATAAGTGGAAGAAATTTTAAAGAGAGAAAGCCAAAAGTTAGCGCCTAGTTAAGCATATTGAAGTCGACTCGAAATATCATGGGTCCATAATGTTGTGTGGTTTGCTGCACTGCCCATTTCCTTCTGGTTTATTTTAAAATACAAGTCTTGTTGTTATTGTATACTCTTCTTTTGTATTAATGGCATCATTTTTTAATAATTGTCACTTCTCTTAGCAAATTCGAACCCGAATGTGGACATATCGAGAGTAATGTGAATTTCCAACCGATTTTTAATAACGTTCAATTAATGATTACTATTGATAAACAAATATTCTCATCAGTACGGAGTTGGGGCTGCGTTACTTTTTTATTTTCAATTAATTTATCTCAAAATATTGTATGTGCTAGAATGCCCCATTAAGTTTTGCGGTACCTCTCTTTCGTTACCTAAAAGATAAATTTGTTTGGATTGTCTGTTTACTTCAAATGTTTGAGTTCTGAAATGTTTGTTTGTTTGTCTGAATTGATTTATTTCATGGATTGTTCATATTGAAGAAGCCAATAAATTTGTCTTTGCTGTTGTTTATGTCGTAGGCGTGATGTTATGAAATGGTGGACGTCCGGTTCAGAAGTTTTGATATAACACAAGTGTCATCTGAAAGTGCAGTGTCATAATTGTTGGCGTCTCTTCTGCTTTTAGACTTTCAAGATGAGGGATGCCGTTTGGTAGATTTTTCCTTGAGACTTTATTTCGGCTTTCATTGCGCAGTGTGTTGCGTAATTGTGATTTTAAATTTAATTTTGGCGTTTCCACTTGGAGTAATAGCTGTAGCGTGGTGTTCTCTGTAATTAGGCAAATGACAATTTGTATGGTGGGCGAAGGCGTGGCGGTATTATGATGTATTACGTAATAGTGAATTTTCAGTGGTGAGAGAGGTGCAAAGTATGTTATTTGGAAAAATATTTGACATCGATGCATTGTTCACGTTTCTACTACTACTGTCGCAGAATAGAAATTCGTTTGCAGCTTTAAATATAACCGATTATAACAAGACACTCACGGAAAGGTTTAGATATTTTATCCATCAATTATTTCATTACCCTTACAGTGCATTTTGTTAGTGAAGAAGTTAAATTTGGCTGTGAATCACTGCATCATTAGTCATATTCTGATATATCTCTGAAAATGATCAATGAAAAAAGAATCATTTTATCAGAAAAATTATTCGTCGGTTATTTCAGTAATAATTTTCATTTTGTATTGTTGAGAAGGAACTGAAATTAAGCAATGGTAGACTAACTTCATAAGCTGTTAAAAGTTGTAATATTACTCTGAAAATATATCAAATTTTAATAGAAATAATTTGCCGTTTTTACTACGTGAAAAGAAACATCGGTTTTTCATCCTTATTGCAGTACTCATAAATATGTGATTAGAAAGCTTGTACGTTTCTTAATGCCAGCAAGGTCAATCTACAAATCTTTAATAATGACTTAAATACGATATCGAATGTCTTTGAAAGTATTTCCTGAAGATTCACTTAATTTTTTTACAGTAATTTTGTTAGAAATGAGTCAACAAAACAACCAATACTGTACATTGATGAACATACGGAAAATGTGCAAGAAAAAAAAAGTTCACTCGTAAGCGTTTTTTTATGTTATTTTTCTCAAAGCAAACAATGAACAGCGATCCTGATTTGGATTTTTAAGCTTACATTTCAAATTGTTTGTTTCAATTGTTCATTCTTTTTTCAGGCCATTTTTTTCATACTTTTGGTGATCGTCGCTGCAACTTTGGTTGTGCATGTGCTGATCATTTCAAAGTTATATTTCATTCCAGAAAGCTTAGCTATTGTCATATTAGGTGAGTTTTCATAGCATTTTTGTTTATTATTATTTTCTCTTTGTATTTGTAATTACTTTTTTCTCTTAATTATTAGTATTGCGTAACAAAGTTATGTAAATGATAAGTTAAAACAGTTAACTTAAAGTTATTAAAATAGCAGAGTATTTCTTCTTATTCGTTCTGATTATCATTGATACTTGGGATTTTTGCAAGAATGAAATATATCAGCAAATTCATCAGTTCAATATTAGAATGCAAGTTAAATGAGTATCATTTTTCAGGTGCATCAATTGGCTTAGGTTTATCATATAGTAAAAGAGACTGGACAGAAGTGGAAACTTTCAGTCCTAATATATTTTTTCTTGTGCTTCTCCCACCAATCATATTTGAAAGTGGTTATAATCTTCATAAAGTAAATGCCAAAAAAGAATTCAATGATATGAAAGCAGTTCTTTTTTAATTTATATATTTGTGAAGAATTCTGTAGATGGTGCATTTCCAAACTGCATGCAAATAATCATTTTTGGTGCTTGGCTTTTCTTCAAAAATTTGTTTGAAAAATATTCGTTAAAATATTCCAGGGTGATTTTTTCACAAATATGTTTCCGATTCTATCATTTGCTATACTCGGAACGGTAATATCTGCTTTAACTATTGGGTCCTCGCTTTATATTCTTGGACAGGTGCACTCGTTTAAATTTTGAATTCAAACATCTTTTGATTATCTTCTATATATAAAAAATTACAGTAAGTATTATGCAAATAAGACACATATTGCGTAATAATTTCAACCACAAGTCTTACTATTAAATATTTTTATTAATTCCAGTGAATGCTGTCATTTTAATTGAATTTTTGGTCATTTTCCATTTTCATACAGGCAGATTTAATATATAAATTGACGGCGGAAGAAAGTTTCACATTCGGTTCCATGATTTCTGCTGTAGATCCAGTTGCTACACTTGCTATCTTTCAAGCACTAAATGTAAGCTTAATATTTTTTTTTGTTGAAAATTGTCGCAGATATAAAGTTGGTTCTTTCTTAGATATTGCACTTGTTTCAGAAGATGTTCAATGTCATTAAATTGCACTATATAAAGCAACAATTTCCATGTTTATGTAATTATATTTAATGTTTTTGATCGAGCTCAGGAAGTATTTTTAGGTGGAACGAATGTTATATATGTTAGTTTTTGGAGAATCAATGCTTAATGATGCAGTTGCAATTGTTCTCACATCAACTTGTCAGCAAATGTCCCGTGAAACTATTTCATCCTCCAATTTTGAAAGCTTGTTTTTTGCTGTGATTTCGAGATTTACCTACGTCTTTTTCGTGTCTGCTCTCGTTGGTGCTTTTGTGGGATTTATATCTGCTTTGGTATTTTTTCCAGTATTTCGTTATTTGTGTTTGTAGCAAGTATCTCTTTAAACTGCTTTCATTTAAGCTCTTCAAGCATGTTGATTTGCGAAAAACGCCAAGTCTAGAGTTTGCCCTATTACTTATATTCGCATATCTACCATATGGTCTTGCAGAAGCCATTTCGCTCTCAGGTTTTTTGCGAAGATAATGCAATTTTTAATTTAAATGTTTTCTACTCAATGCGTTATTCACATTGTTTACTTATTAATTTATTAATTATCTCAGGCATAATGGCAATTTTATCGTGTTCGATAACAATGTCTCAATATACTCATTTCAATATTTCGCCTATTACACAAATTACCATGCAACAAACATTTAGAACTTTGGCATTTGTCGCAGGTAAATTTTTCCCAAGTAAAGGTGAATTATATTAAATATTAAAAAATATTTTATATTAAATATATTTCTAGAATTGACTTCTTTATTACATTTCAAGTAATTTTTCAGAAACTTGCACATTCGCATATCTTGGATTGGCCTTGTTTACAATTAAACTTCAGTTCCAGCCTATGTTGATTTCATGGAGCATAGTAAGAGCTTCCTGTTCCAAGTTTTTGAATAATAGAACTTTCAGTTTTTATATTTTCATGTGTCTTCAATTGAATTTGATTAGATTGTGAATAGAATCTATTCAGATTGAGAAAGACTATATTTTTTAGCTTCTTTGTTTCATCGGTCGCGCATTAAATGTGTTTCCTCTTGCATATGTAGTTAACAAATGCCGTCATGCTCAAATTTCTATCAAAAATCAGTTCATCATGTGCTATAGTGGTATGCTTCCTGTTGTTGTATCAACTTTTAATGTACTGCTTGCTCATAAAGCAAAGAAATTGTTTATCGCAGTAGATCAGGTAACGAAGTTCTCGCTTCATCTTCTTGATTTTTTTCTTTGATTTTATCAGTTTGTTTTGCATTTTTCGAGCCATATACTTGAATTTTCAATTTTTGTTGGCAAATGCAAGCTTATTGGTAAAATCGAAGCGCATACCTTGTTATCTCAGAACCAAGCACAGCTTTGTTCGCTACTACGAAATTAAATTAGTATTTAATTAACATTTTTTTTAGAGAACTAGGAGTCATGTTAAAGCTATGGAATCAGTGACTGCTGTACATTTATAAATTTTTTTTTGTTCAATCTTATTTCAAGTGATAATTTGTTATATTTCTAATTTTTCAACACTTCGCAAGATAACCAAAGTTTTTTTCTGAAATATTGCTTTGATTTTTAATCATAAAGAACTCATTTTAGATTCGTATTGCTAGTGAATTCTAATATGAATCTGAACGTAATATTAATATTCATAAAAGTTTGCTGTATGTCAGGTATGAGAGGAGCCGTGGCGTTTGCATTGTCTCTGCATATTTCTGTAGAAAATGAAGAAACAAAAAGAATTCTGCTGACGGCAACTCTTGTTATTGTATTGTTTACGATTATATTTCTTGGTGGTACTACTTTGCCTGTGTTGCGAGTGAGCTCTTGCATTATATTAATTTCATGTTTAACACTGTCGCTAATGTTTGTTTAGTGTGAATGCACTTCTCAGTGTTCAGTGTTTTAGAAAAAACTTTAGCTATCCTACTAAAATAATGTCACCTATGTTTCTTTGTCATATTTGCATCTATAATGAGTTTCAGTTTAAAGTTATTAAGTGGAGCTTGATAATTCTGTTGAAATCTGAATTATAAATTTGGTTGTTCAGATTTTGAGTTATTTATTCCCAGAGCGAAAACGCAGAAAATATGGATTACGATCTGCCAGTAATCGAAGCAGATCTGCTGTGTTACTGAGTAAAACACAAGAAATGGTTCAATTTTTATTATTTTTTTCAATCACTAAAGTTAAAATTTGCCAAGATTGCAGAACCCAATTATTGAATTACTTTATTAATTATTGTGTTATTCCTTTTGTCCGACATCAGTATATACATGAAACTTATCTAGATGCTCCAACATTTAAATGTGTCAGTTTAAACCAGTAAGTTTGTAGAACTTCAAGTATTTCGAACTCCATGTTTCAATTTTTTTCACTAGTCACGTTCTACTGTAAAGTTTTTAAGGTAATATTTGATCAGTCAGAATACCTAACTTCTGATGTGGAAGAAAACTTCAAGTTAAGGAGACATACAGTTGAAACCTTAAACGCGTTGTCTAGATTCAGTGAATTTGTTATCAAGCCGTTATTTGTTCGGAAATACACAATTCAAGTATGTATCGTGTTCTTGGTGAAATTATAACAGCGTTAATATTAAATATTTTATTTAATACATCTTGTTCTTTTTTTAAAAATTTATATAAGTTCCTAAAATTTATGTCATAAAGTTCAATACTTGTGTCTGTTTGCTCAATAAGTAAACAGAGATAAATATCTCTTGATGGAATTTTGTCGAAACATGGTAAAAGTAGTACAAAGAAGGTTTCTTCTGTGTGGTTTTTGAGAAGTTTGGGAGACATAGATAAAAGATATCATTTTACTACACAAATTTTGCAGGAACGGTTGGAGAATCGAATGAATATGCATCGAATCACGAATGAAATTCTTAATAAAAATCATGCTGACATGATCCGGCAATTTTCTGACGATGAAGTAACCAACAGTTCAACTTCAACAGTACATCCTTTGATATGATCTCAGATTTTTCCTTGGTTGTTTGTCAGTTGTCTGAAAGTGAATTGTAGCTTCTATGCTATTCTTAAGAAGTTTTCTTTCATTGTGAAATGTATAAAATGTACATCTTCCAATTTTTGTTCATAGTCGAAGATGTTTCTGATGACTGTTTGCTTGATAAAAATTGTTTCTTGTTCTTTTATGTTCTTTATTTATTTATGAATACTTAAATGCACTATTTATTTCATCTTAATATTTTTGCATATTATCATCATAAGTGATAGGTTAAAATTTTTCCTTCAATTACTGAATGACTGCGCATAAATAATTATGTCATTATCCAATGTTTGCATATTTGCCAAGCGCAGGTGTATCAACTACTCCATTTCCTCCGATTAAGCGTTCACTTCGAGTTTTTGTATGCATTCCAAAGGTGTCACCGCCTCTCCATTCATTAGGTAACTTCATGACTGAGTTGTATTCATCTCTTGAAATATCACAAATAGATACAGAATACTTTGAAAGATCCAAAAGTCCCTCGACTTGGAGAGGATATGTCGTAAGTGAAACTCTAGTAAGCTGGTGAAATTACTGAAGATTCAGAAGGAAGATAGAAAGTTTACAAGAAGTTAGAACGAAAATAAATTTAAAGTTTCAAGAGGGAATCAATGTGAAAGTGGTGTAGTGATTGCTGCTGATCCCATTTAAGCTTGTAGTAAAACCTAACGGAATTGGTTTACTGTAGCAAGTATTTGATGATTATGAAAGTTACCACGGAAACAAACCTCTGCTTTCCTTGCGTATATATGGCAGTATTAAGAGCAGGTAATGTTGGATCTAGTGATGGAATCACAAAACGCCCCCCTGCTCCGGGAATTTCCTTTTCAGTGGCACCTGTAAATCGAATACGGGTATGTCTTCCTCTCGGGATGAAAAGAGGCGGTGGGATTGGTCGTTCCTCCACAATCTTAAATAGCACATATTTAATATTTTTTTGTAAATGATTCTTGTCAAGTCAATTGAATTACTTCTGGTGTAAACAGTTTGAAAAATTTCCTGTAATTCTGATGCACTGTATTTCTAGTCAATTTGTAGTCCTTGATGCAATTTATAACAAGCTGTACTAACATGATACTCAAGAAGAGTTCTTTTTCTTGCTTGTTAAAAATAAAGTAATATAATAACAGAGCAAAATTTGATAAACTGACCTGTTTAACTTTATAATCAATTGGTTTTAATGGTGGTGCGTTACGTGTTCGAGCAGCAGCTAAACGTGGATATGTTGTGATAAAATTTCCTCGTGTGGCAGTTCCAGCACGTTGAGCAGCATTAAGTACCGAAGGTCTACTAAGTCTTTCGACCAATGCTTTATTATCGAAAATTCCCGCCAGTGAGGGATTATTGCGTAAGTTATCCAAAACACGGGAATTGCTTACTTCGGAATTTCTTTGCATCTTTACTCGCTTCCTTCCTAATGTCTTTATTTCATATTTATGTGTTTGATTATTACAGTAATTTGTGGAGAAAATATAATATAAGTTAATTATCGAATGTCGATTTTATGAAATTTTTTAATCTTCACCACTGCAGTGGTAATTGAATAAAAAAGTCACCGGGATGTAATCGTCGATTCTTTAATGCTTTATTGAGAGCGAAAGGTTCAGGAATATTGAACTCTCGTACGTTATCTTCTCTGCTCTCTTCAACTCCGATCGTTAATGGAAGCATAATTCGCGGTCTGAAGTACTTTTCATCATTATGACCAAAATAATAACCAAGTGATATTGATCATTGTTTATAAAATATATAAGTCAAAAAATAAAAGAATAACAACCGTTGAGGTATTGGTCTTGGGATTGCATAACCAAAAGATGGCTCAGAAATGCCAATAAATTGTTTTGGTTGCGCGATTTTTTCAATCTCTGCATTTTTTGAACTTCTATAATTGGCTTTTTTCCTTCTGTACTCCAAGCTTCGCTTAACATTTTCTGCTACTTTTGCTTGCATTAATCGTCGATTCGTTATCTAATTCAATATAAATGCTTTAGTTTATCTAATTTTGGTTTTACAAAAGCAAAATAATTACAACTTTTTAAATGTTGACAAATTTCAGTCCTAATAAATTGCTCTAATTTGAATAACTCTACTCTTTTTCATTACTGCTTTAACTTTATAAAAGAAAAATTAAAGTCAATTAGCCGTATGAAAGTGTTGACAAATTTATTCTCGTGAAAGACATAAATACGTGTATTGCAAGATAATATTGCAACTTTAATAAGTTGCAAAGTAAATATCCTTTAAGCATTTGCTTTTGTTGGCTTGTTTGTTTTCTAGCAAGCAAAAATATATGGCTGACAACAGCCTTCTGTAACAATCTACTACTTAAGAACTGCATTTTTATGCAAAAAAATACATGAAAATGTGGTGATAATGCTGTAAAGTTTATTACGATTAGTACAAAGATATAAGTTATTCTTATAAAAAATTTGTTTGTCATTTTTATCTATAAATTTATATTTAATATTAATTCTATTACTGTTATTTAATTTAGTGTAACAAAAATAATGTTACACATATTATTATCAAAATTAGTTATCAATCTAGGATTTATATAATCAAGACTTTGAACAATTTATGTAATACAAAGTGTTAAGATTTATTTCGCCTGGGATGATTAATAGATACATCTTTCCATCTAGCAGTCCAATGTTTGTGTCGATTTGGAAGTTTTGTACTGCTACGAGATGAATATTCGGGAGATCCCAGAGCTAAGTACTCTTTTGCAGGCAATTTTTTGTTTTGGTTCTTCACTAAATTTCTATATTTATCTGCAAAAAGATATTGTTACACGAAAAGAATCAATTTAATAATTACTAATCATTTATGTTTAGAAAATGTATAATTTATATATGTTTCATATTTAAAAATTAAATATAAATACTTGATGTGGTTATTTGTAATTAATTTTTTAATATACTTTTAAGTTCTAATTAATATTAACAAAATGAAAATATGGTCATTATTGAAATACGGTAGAGTGACTAATAGGATAGAATGTGAATTAGTTTAGTTAGTCGTCGATTATAGCCATTAATGAATTATGAAAACAAGTAGTGGTCAGTAAAATCGTACCAACATTCACAGCTATTGGAATATCACGCTGTCGGTCATCTTCCTGACGACTAGCCTATAAACTTTTTTATCTCATTCTTGTAAAAAAATACATCTACTTTACTTACAACATTACTAAGATTTACTTCTTCATTTAGCATGTTCTGATAAACAAGAATTACCAAAAACAGTTTGCAATTTGAATACTTTTATACAATTGAAAATTAAATGACTATAGTAATATTAAAGATAGCAGTTACAGTGGTAGTAAAAAATAATGGTAATTGATAATAATAATAATAATAATAATAATAATAATAATAATAATAATAATACTACAAGAGATCTGTAAGTGCGAGTTATACCAAAGATATGGACGAGAGACTTTTTTGGTTTGCTCTCTGCTTGTTTACAACAGCTAACGGAAACTTCTTCCTCTTACGAACATGTCGCAAACTATTGCGTCGGTTCGGACGTCTACCCTTCCATCTTAATTGTTTCTGACGAAGCAAAATTGGATTCATATCATATTGTGCTGATTGCACATTAGGAACCGATAAAAAGCTTTAATTACGCATATATTATCGCAAGCAACAAATATTTATGTTACACTGTAAATGACAATTGAGAATATGTTTAACTTTGAATTACGTAAAGTAATAAAAATCAATCGATTTATTTTTTATTTAACTCATATTCAGCAGTTTTTTTTATTGCTTCTGAATTGTTTGTATTAATTATAATTTAAATATCTAATCTGTTTTCTTCATTACTTGCATAAATATTCTGAAATACATTTCGTTTATGTGACCATCTTTAACATCTTAAAATCATTCTTCTCTTGCTAAGATATATTAATTAATGAGTTCAAATTTTGTCTTAAGGAAAGTAATCGCAAAGAACTAACTTGTAATGTTGTTTGATAGTTTTTCAAAATTATTCTAAGTAGCGAAATTTTAGCTCCAGCAAGAATCTGCTGAATAAGTTCGTTCGAAATAAATCAACAAAAGGAGGAAGACTTGCTGTAAAACCTTTTTAAGTTGACGTCTTCGCAGTAAGTTTAATGCTTCTTCATGTTGCATGCGTGGCATCCGATCTTCTGCAGATGGATTCATCATTCCTTTGTGCTCAGAACCAATTAGGAAAGGATTTCTGCCCGCTATAACATTTGCTACGATACCAGGCAAAATCTGCTTCTGTACCTTTTCCAGAATCGCTTTTGCTATCTGTAAGAAATCTTTTGAGCAATTTTTTTTTGGCTGACTGTAATAAAGTTGGCAATACTGTCTTTTTGGCTGACTGTAAATAAGTTGGCAATATCTCAGCTCTTACAAAAACAAGACATCAAAATTAATTAATTAAGTTATTGTAACTTATGATTCATATATTGCTAATTGAATACTTTTGTATTTTTAAAGAATTATAGATTGCTTATCGAAATTTATCTCATTGCTACGATCTAAACAGTTGATAGATTTATAATTACAAAATTGTTGAGTTTTTGATTTCGCTGGTTTAAGTATTCAAGTTATGAAACGAATAATTAAATTAAGTAATATCTCTGAAAAAATTCTTATGAATTTAACGATAGAAATCATATATATATATAATTTATAGACTGATTAGCGTTACCTGTTCAGCAGGATCTGTATTCTCGATTTCACGTTGTGTTTTAATAGCTTGTTCAAGACCTTTCAAACTGTTTCCGATCGGAATACCATTCTCATGAAGCATATCAATTAGTTTGTTTCCTGTTTTGGGTTGTAGTTGAGCTAACTTCGCTTGCTGCATTACTGCTTCGACTGCTAATTGATCTACTGGTATTTTTTTGTATTTTTTATACTGCAATGAAAGGTTGCTTGAAAAATCGTTACGAACACCAACAATTGTTTATTATTTTCAGCAGTATTCTGTATTGGTCAGTTGGTAATATATATGGTTATTGATAGTTTTAAATTTATATTTAGTTAATTAAATAAATCTTTCTTTTAATGATTATAAATAAGTTTTGTATTTTGCTAAGTGGTAATGCCAGCAATTTAAAATTACAAATTTTTCGAATAGTTTTTAGCTTTTTAGACTTATTCCTACTTAAATAAAATATTTAAAATGATTAATAAATGAAATTGAAATACAAAATTATTAATGTCAGATTACTATTTACTTGTTCAGGCTGTACTTTCTTGATAACTTCAAGCTGAGTGTTGAAAGCACTTTTGGCCATAGCGATTTGTCCATGTTTGATGAGAGCATCTAGAAGTTTGATCACAACATCTTCAAGCGCATCAGTGCTTGGAAGTAACTTGCGCAATGATGCTTCACGTTCTCTTCTTAACGAATCTTCTGTTTTTTCTTCTTCAGCTTTCGCACTTAGCACTAAATCGTTTCAGTTGTATATGAATAAAATTTGCATACTGCATTTTTTTATTTTAAAAGCATAGTAAAAATGCTTTGTTTTCTTAACGGAATTTCAAAAAGTTATGTCACGTAAGAATTTGAAATTAATCAAGCTCTGCTCTGAGCAAATTTTTAATTATTTTTGTGAATGAATTCAACTATTTCCTACGTTTATGTTTTCTATGGTAAAATACTAACTAAGTAACTGTAATAAAAGTAAAAATTAACCTCCATAAATAATAAAGAGGACAATTAAGTCCATGTTATGACACGGTAATGATAAATTACAACATAATATTTACAGTAGTCAAAATAAGATCATCAGTTGACCTTTTTATCATACTGACATATCTTAAATCTTCATTCTTACTTATCTCCTTCATAACTAATCTATCATAATCAGAATTAATCTCTGAAGCAATTGTAAATTGTAAGTCTGTCTAGTTAAGAGATATTAAATAGCATAAAGTGATTATTTATCAACAAATTGCTTGTAATCATTAAATGTGCATCATTCTCAACTAAAAAACAAAACTGATAAGATTACCAAAAATTTATTAACCATTTTATTACATTTTAATCAAACGAAACTGTATCTTTATTCATTTATTTTGTAATGCATTTCAGTATTTGAAAAACTGTAAAAGCACTCAGTGTAGTGTATCTAATTGCTAGTTTTAACATTTATAAATACAAATTATTAAGAGTGAAACTCAGAAGTATAACTTTCATTACAAATATCCAACAATTCTGACTAAAATCATTTTTTTGTTTAAAATTTATTTCACATGCTACTTCACGAAGAACAAGCAATAATAGTGTAAAATTATTAAGGTTGTAAAATTAAATATAATTTCATCGCTTCTTAGAAGACACTAAGTGATATGCTTATTCATTATATTTAACCTTGTTTTTGGCTGCTGATAGCATTTAATGATAACAACTGACTATTAATAATGAATAAAGTATTGCTTTTCACTGACAATAAGTAATTCCTTAGTGTATCCAATGATCTGTTATTAACAGCAATTAATGGCATAATTATCGAAACATATTTTATTCAGTAATCAATCATCACAAATTTACTTCTTATCATAATGAATGCGCCAATTATTAACTCATTGGGTATGCTCTAATTTTAATTATTTCTCAAATTTCTTACAAGATTAATGCAAAATGTTTGCAAATCTTTACCTCAAATTATTATTAATTTCAATAATGTGAAAAGGAAATACTGCCAAGTTCATTCCCACTTACGAAAATAACTTTTTCGCGGCAAACAGATGCACATTTGAATGCATTACTTTTCAATTTTACTAAGATTTTGATCATTTTCTACAGTAATGAACATTTTTCAGCTGTTACGTGCTTAACAGATGATCTTTGCAAAAACCTTCGAGCATTATTATTGATAGTATTGTGTGATGACAGTCTAACTTATAGTCGTGAGACATAAAGTCCCCACTGAAGTTGACTGTCATTAATGGTTAAGAACACTTCAAGCTTCTTGACGTGATGAAGATTTCACGTTTTCATCCAGTATTAGTTAAGATTCCACAGAACTGTAAATGCTTCGAATCAGAATGTTAAATTTCACACAACTGATAACTTATCACATATATTTCTCGAAAGGAAACAAAACTTTCCGAATGATATTTGTGAAATTTTTACTTACAAACAAAATATTATTTGTACCTTGGTTTTGATTTGTACCTTGCAATTTGAAAACTGAACATAATCAAATGCTTATAATCAATTTTTCGATCCAATTACTAAAGAGAAATAGCTATTTTCAGTTGCATATGTCGATTTGCATAGAACAATATCCATGTATTTATTATCAAAATTTAAAATCGGCAACAATAACAAGTACTAACTGTTAAACAGTTTTTCCTAACAACTGCTAAAAACTTTCAAATGTTAGCTAAACAAATTGCACAATGACACCAGCAGTTAATCAATCTTGAGCATCATCTTTAGCAACCGAAAATGGAGTGTCTACAGCGACATATTCTGCTTTTGTAATTACGACATCTTTTACAGGTTTATCACCAGGTTTTTGCGTCTTCGTATTTTCTATCTTTCTCACTACTTTCATACCATCAAGAACCTACAAGAATAGAAATTAAAAATAACAAATAAATGAAGTAAAATTATAAAAATGCAGTACTTTTCCAAACACAACGTGTTTGCCATCGAGCCACTGTGTTTTTTTCAAGGTAATGAAGAACTGGGAACCATTTGAATCGGGCCCTGCGTTTGCCATACTCACCCATCCTGCACCGTAATGTTTGAGTTTGAAATTTTCATCCGCAAATTTCTCACCATAAATTGATCTACCACCGGTACCATCACCCTAAATCAATTATAATCACTTTCTTAATATTTCTGAAAAAACAAACTGATTAAAATGAAAACAGACGAGTTTAGAATTGAAAGTATTTTCATATCAAAGGAAAAATGAACAGAAAATAAATAATACCTTGGTAAAGTCTCCTCCTTGCAGCATGAAATCCTTGATGATTCGATGAAATTTGGAACCAACATAACCTTCCTGAAAATTTGGCAAATGGAAAATAACTTTTCGTTTCAATTCGTTATTTTAAGTTTGCAAATGTTAGCAAGAAACCGGATATTACATAATATTATGATGAATAATATTGCACACATTCAGTAAAAACTTACTCCCTTTGGTTTCTCAGACAATTTGATAAAATTCTGAACTGTTAGTGGTACTGTTTTCCCAAACAAACCAATAGTAATTTTTCCTACTTTTTCTTCTCCAATGCTAATCGTAAATACCACCTAAAATATCGAACGAGATAATTATGAGCCTTTTTTATTAGCATTCCAGACTTCTATACGTTCAATAATAATATTTATCTCAAAACTTTATAAAAAACGATATTCCTAGCTATAGATAACATATGCATAGTAAACTGTAACAAATATAAACAGAAACTGTATGAAACTAAAAAAGTTACTATACATATTGATTTCTAGTACATGGGGACTAAAAATGTATCTATTAATAAATTAATACGTCAACAGCGTTTCTTGATTACTACTGTTAATTCTCATTTTCTCTTCATCACCATCTTGATTTACAGCCTTCTCAACTAATGTGGGGGATATTTCTTGTTTTATTTTTAAAACTTCGCCAACTGTATGACTGCTCAAGGATTCTTATTGAATAAATTCCTTACACCAATTTTCCTTTACAATTCGAAATGAACGTAATACAGTGTAGTAAAAATTTTACTGACTGATGATTGATAGTAATGACCATTATTTATGTTAAAAATATTTTTATGGAAATGCTTAATCACTAAAACATGATTCACTACAATTTGTTCCGTACCTTATCAGTTACTTTCGGTCCTTTCGGTTTGTCATCTGGTTTTAATGTGCACGATGTGTTCATCACACATAATATCAACACTAACCATAATAACAATTCTTGTCGCCAAACCATGTCTAAAACGATTTTTTTCCCAACTTACAAGAAAATTTCAGAACGAATGTCTGCCGTGAACTTCATCAATAAAATATCACTATTATTTTACGAAAAAGATAAAAATTACAGTTAATGCCATACGTTTCAACCAAGTAAATAAGTAAAAACTATAGTACTAGCATTCAGTGACGAAGAAAAGAAATTCTACTTCAGTGGCATTAAATGCTAACAAACAAAATCCAAAAGAGAAATAATTCCAGTAAAATAAGTGGTGCAACTAAAAACAAAAGTAATCCTGGATGGGAACATATATTATCAATGTGATAAGACGAGCTATCCGTTGCAAACGAAATGTGAGCTTACTTTAACTTGATAATATTGGACCGTAGATTACTCCCTACTTCAAATATTACGGAAATTGCCGTTGATAAGTACGACATGAAAATTCGAATAACAAGTAAACGAAAAAATAAATGTACTTTATCCATGAACTTAATATAAGATAAGTCACGCTCCCATAAAGACAAATGACAAAGTGTTTTTGATATGTTTTCAGCCTTAGAATCAGAAATAGATAAGAAGTTAAAATATTTACGTAACATTCAATGATATGTCAATTGTGAATCGAAAATTAGTGATTATAACTGTATTGAGGATTTCTACAACCTCAAATTAAAATTAACTAGCAAAGATTAATTCTCACGACATGTTGATATGCGACAATTATAATTTCTTGTCCTCATATCAGTTTAAGAAGATTTTTGTAAGATGAAGAATATTTTCAATTGAATAAACCAAGAATTGCTTCTTGAATATCAAAAAAGGAAGTATTTCCGTTGAAAAACAGCGAAAATGTTATTCCTGAAACACCAATAACGATAGCAAGAAATAGAAGTGCCATTCGGAAATAGGCAAGTATACTCGTGTAGTGAGATGTTTGCAGACGTTTACAACTGATCATGATAACTGCAGTCGAGACCAGAAGTATATTAGTCTTCTAGAAATAATATTTCCATCATCTTATGCAACTAGTTTTTTCAATAAATAAAGATGTTTCAGGAAAATAAAAGAATTAATAATCTACGTATGAATTAATTGCCTAATCATTTATAAAATATCTTTCCATATTTTGCATATAATTTCTAAAAAATAGTGATCAAAAAATTAACAAAATGATGAATTCATGACCTTTGAATCACTTAAAGTTTCTTATAATACTTGAAAATTTAAAAAAAAAAAACTAAATGATAAGTTAAAAAGATTTTTCTGAATGCCACTATTTAACAATACCAATACGTTATCAGCTTGTTTACTAAAGGAATTAAGAAATTATATGGAATAAGACAGTGGTAAACAGAAAAGATACGTCATTTAATGGTTTATCAGTGATAACAAGAGCCAAATAATGCATCGTCCAAATAAGAAATGCTATCAAAGTTGTTCCAAGCAGAATGACAACTGCACTTAAAATACGCCAAATAATACTAGACGTAACGTTAATTAAGCTTAGAATAGCTGCTGAAGCGTAAACTGGAACGTATATCCACCAGTCTTCGCCATTCTGTAACCGACAGTGGATAAGTTTCACATGTTGAAATAGCTAATAATATTTGATATGCATCATGATTTTTCATAAATGTGTGTAACAAAAGAAAATGTTAGGTGAATAAATCACAAAATAGAACAAAAATTACTAGTACACATACTTTTTTATGAAAAAAAACCATAGAAGACAAGTGCTACAAGAAAAATTTTAGAAAACAATTTTGTGAGGCTCTATGTGATTTCATGCTGAATCCTTGCGTAAGTTAATCATCAGCGTGAAATTAATGAATACCTGAACCTGATGGACTGCTTTTACAAGAAGTACAGTGCATAGTGACCGCTCCATGTAACGACAAATCATTGCTATTTTGGAAGAAGATGGGAGGTTCAGAGGTATTTCGCTACATGTCATATTTGCTCCTCCCTCCTTCCTTATGCACACTTTTTTATAGTTTGATTTCCATTGACATTATGTTAGGTTATTGATTGATTGCTCAGATCATGTAGTATTAAAGATCTTATTGAAATAAATAGTGAGAACAAATCATTCTATGAATATTTATTGGAGGTTTAAGTCTGAACTAAAAAGGATCGCACATCTCCTTATCATATTAAGTTTAAATGCTTTTAGTGTTAATTTCCTCTAATTATTTGGTTCATATTTTAAAAAAGGAGCACTTTTTCTTAGCAAAGATCCGATTGTGATAATTGATAATACTCACTGCTTAATCGGCACTAGCATTCTTGGAAATGGTGCTAGATGTAATTGTGTTCAATAAATCAAGCGGAGATCAGAATCACGTTTGCGTGGATGATTTAGCCGCAGTATTTTTCGATACTTTCCTCGCCGTCATATCACCTAGTCAACATTTTCAACACTTTTATTGTATGTTAGTTAATCTCATTTTGTGTCTTTCATTCTTTAACATTTTACCGTTTATACATCAAGGAATAGCAGCTGTATCAATTATTCAGATCGAATCTCTGTCCTAAAAATTTTTACAGTGAATGACCACCAAGAATCATATATTAAGTAAGTATCAGAATATACTCGTAGATTTTTTGTTAGTTCTATTCAGCTGTCGCAGTTTGTTATCACTTTAGACTTGCTAGCATTGTTTATAAGCGTATCTGAGATGAAATTCGATATTTCCAGTGCCATTTCATCTCAGCTAAATGAGTTCAAGTTATTCAAATATCAGTTACATTTATTTTATTTTCTTCGTAGTACCTACCTTAAGTAAATATTAGTCTCAAAATGTCATATTTTTACAGTATGAAAAAAAAAAGTTTATTTTGACAAAAATAATTTACACAGTCAGTGTTGTTTAATCTTTATAACATTATTGAAATTTTCACGTTTTGTAGGCTCTAATTTTAAACAAATCAGAATTTTGATTGTACAAAACTTTAAATATTAATCCAATATAGTGCATTAAGTCATTTAGTGTTTATTGCAGATGAAGATGAGGACGGTGATCTTATAGCTGTCAGAACAAACGAAGAGCTCGCAGCTATGTTATCTTTCTCGCAATACCACCCTTTAAAAATTCATTTAAGTTAGATTTAATAATTTATGAAGTATTAATTAAATTTTGTGGTGAACTAGAGGAAAATTTTTTCTAAGCTTAAAAAATCCTGGTATTTTTAAAATTTAATAATGTGACAAATAATAATCGAAATTAGTTTCGAATGACGAGCCATTGGAAAGTAATTTACCGAGCATCGTGCCGCATATGTTAAAACGTCTTTGCCCGATCGGATCTGGTTATTCAAGCACTGTTTATAAGTTAGTCGCACAAATTTATGCATATTTGTTCCTATCAGACATTGAATTTAGATGAAGAATTGACAGTGGAAAATTTCTTTAGTAGTGCTTTTTCGTATGTGTAGAATATTTTGTAGAACAGTATTTATGTTCTAGAGCATTAGACATGGAACATGATCGGATTGTGGCATTGAAATGTATTGCTTTGGATGTTTGCAGTGAGCATCGTATTGTTGCTCGTGAGGTGCAACTTCTTAGGAAGGTCCATTTCATTTTTAATAATATGATAATAATTTTAAGATATACCATTGTTTAAAAATTATCTTTCTCGCAATGCCATTCTTTAAGAATTCTTTCAAGTTAGATTTAAAAATTTGTAAACTATTAGTTCCTTTTTGTGATAAACATTATAAAACTTTATTTTGTTTTGCACAAATGAAGTTTTATATTGTTGCTTTTCATGGCGTTGTCGTCTAATTTCATGCTTCTGGCTTTTTGTATGTATACGAAAGTTTCTATTTAAAACCAAATTATTCTAATATTTCGCTATATCCTCAAATGTTTTTGGTAGTTACTCCGTATTGAAAATGTTCAAATCTTAGAACTTATTAAAATTACGAAGTTAGTTGCACAAGTCATAAATTATAGTCAGCTGTTGACTATTTTGATTGATTTTCCGATAAATTTTTGCTTTCAACTTTATTTGATTACCTTTTCACCTGACCAAAGACTTTTAAATACGGAGTAAATACTAAAAATATTTGAAAATATACCGAAATACTGGAAAAATTTTGTTTCAAAGACAAATTTTCGTATATATACAAAAAACCAGTACTGTAAAATCATTCGAAACAAAAATTGGCCCCAAGAAAGTAAAGCAAAATACTTGAGTTGATGATGTTTGTGATTTTTCACTCATTGTTTCTTGTACAGTACTCTTGCAGTCCATATGTCGTGAATTTCATGTCTGCAGTACTAATTGATAGTGAACTGTGTTTGTGCATGGAATTTATGGATGGCGGCTCATTAGAAAGTTATGAGAAGTTACCTGTATTAGTATTGGTTCCTGTAACTGTGTCCATTATTTGTGGACTTCACTATCTCTGGATTCATAATGTGATGCACAGGGGTGAATTTTTATTTTATTATTATAAGAGTGGTCACAAAACTTGTTCTGAGTATTATAGGAAATCTGCATATATAATTACAAAAAATACTTGAACTCTTCACATAAAAAATCGTTCTCGATTCATAATTCTTTTGCATCCAATTTTTTCAGTAACGGTTGTTTTTCCGAATGTGTTATTTGCAGATATAAAGCCAAGTAATATATTAGTTAACACCCGTGGTGATGTCAAAATATCGGATTTTGGACTTTCAAGACAACTCGAAAAATCTTTTGCTTGCAGTTATGTCGGCACCAGTTTATATATGGCTCCAGAACGTATACGAGGGGATCCTTATGGGTATTCCGTGCTGTAAAATAATTTAGTTATTGATATACACACCTCATTCACCATGAGTTGTAGTTAAATTTCAAGACGCATTATTTCAAATTAAAGTTTCTTCACTAATTTTTATATAAGAATGAAATGCAGGATAGAAATCAGAGATCAAGAGTTTGGATACTTTAAATAAGAGTTAATCTCTAGATTTTCCATTGTAATTATTATAAGAATGTATTGTTTATCAGGTCACATTTTCAGAATCTGTTCAGATATTTGGAGTTTTGGTTTGACAATTTGTGAATTGGCAACTGGAACATTTCCATTAGCTGTAAATACTCAGGACAAAAATATTTCATCTAATTTTTTGTACGATGAATTAAATATTATGGATTCCATTGGTAGTGAAGACCTTCCAGTTGATCTTGTCAATGTTTTGAAAAACTGGTATTTTTCCTGGTTATTATTTTTTCACTATATCTTATCAAAGATTCAGTTATTTAATCAAGGCAGCACAAAAGTAGTTTTACTTTCTCACATGTTTTAGAATGATTATTTCATGAAAGCATGTTTTATTGAACCAAAAGTCACTACACGCTAATTGATTCTTTCCTCACTAGCCGCCTTTTTTGCGTAATTCTAGTTTAAATTTCAGTGTGATCGTGAAAGCAGCAAAACGATGGAAACATGAAGACCTTATTAGCTGCCCATTTATTATGTTAAATGTTCCTGTAGATTTACGCCCTGTAGCACAATTTGTTTGTGCAGCTTTTTGAATTATGTGCAAAAGAAAATTGTTTTTGATTAAATGTTCTCTAAAAATAAAAAAGAAATGAATGGTATTGTACAAGCGATAAATGTAATTCAATTGTCATTGGTATAGGCATTACATATTTTTCGTGTCTCGTAAAGTACTGATAAAACTGATAGAACGTTCAAATCTATAATAACCAGAAAAAGAATCCTTCAATCTTAAATTTTGTCCGTTATGTCTCATTAGCACTACTTGTCCAGTTTTTTATTGCTCTTACATTGTTAAGAGGTTACGTGGACTGATTGAAAGATAATATTAACTTCTAGATTCTGTCTATGAGGATATGCAACTCAAGCTAGTTGTAGATGTTAGTAAGTTGACTGATTATGTCTTCTTTAGATCTTTCTAGTCACGAAGTATTGGTGTTTCGAGTTATGACCCGAAAGTAGCAAAATATTGCGTAGTGTCTTTGTGTGTTAAACGTGATGAACAGTTTATTACTGTTGGTCATTGTTTCTTGTTCAGCGAGCGATTTTTTAAAGATTGATGATAAACCTCTAAAGGATGATGACTCATTGTAAGTGTTTTTGGAAGTATGGACGTGATATATTGACTTAAGGATGAGTGCTTGGTTTTGTATATTTCTGTATTTATGAGCATGGAATAGATGACTTTATTTAATTTGTCATTTTAAATTGAAAAGAAAAAATTGAATATACTTCATTTGATGGCATGAAATTTGTAACTATGTGCTTTGCTTATTAGAAACTTTTCAGCTGTGGAAAAGCTGACTGTCCTCTGTATGGTTCTTGTCTTGACTGCATATTTCCAGAATGTGAGTATGGTGCTTCGATAACATTAAATTGCACTACGAAGAGGCAGTGTGCTGGTCAGTATACTGTGCGGAAAGAAGCAAAGTGTCGATATTGTTGGCAAACAGAAAATACGGAACACCATTGTTTGCCGGTATTATTTGTGCATAGATTTTGTGGACAAAAGATGAATTATGTCAGTGTTGTTCTAGAAGTTATAAATTATGAACCTAATAAAGAGAGCTTTAGTGTCCAGTAAAAAGCATTCTCCCGCCATTTCGTTTTGCGCAAATTTTTATGCCACTATTGCGATGGATGCAATAATGAAATTATTTGATCTATTAGGTACGGAACTGTTCAACAGCAGCTGTTCGTCTATTCCGTACAACGTGTCGTGTACATCAGTGGGTCATATGCAAAGGTCGACGTGTTTTTTACAAAAACGTTAGGTGCATTTATATTAACTGGTTTGTACTCATCAATAAGAATAATGCAGTAGAGGTAGATATTACATCACTGCATATGTAGTAGTCAGTCATCTAACCTCATTAATGACTCGTATTTAAATACTTGAGAACAGTTTAAATTACGAAATAATATTTACTTCATAGCTGTTTTAAATGTATAGGTAATCATTTTACCAACTTAAAATGAGCCCTAAACCGAAAAAAATTTCTAGATGCAACTGGTCCTCAGGATATAGCTGGTGGAAAGCGATGTTTCTCTCTATAACTTTGGGAGGCTTTGGCGCTGATCGTTTTTATTTAGGAATGTGGAAAAGCGCGATAGGGAAATTGTTTAGTTTTGGGGGTTTGGGAATTTGGACTCTTATTGATGTAATTTTAATTGGTGTAGGCTACATTGGACCAGCCGATGGTTCGTTGTACATTTAGTAAATGACTTTTAGGTCAAATTTGTCATTGATCAGATATCACGAAATTTTGTCTCACAAATCTGTTTCATATTGAACAACGTATTTTTTAGATGCAATTAACTTTCAGAATATGGCTAATTGGAGATATGCACCAATTGATTTAATGTATTTATTTGTTTCTGAATTTGAGAACAGTGTGAAATTGGTGTCATTTGAACAGAGCTATTACTTAGTTGAATAATTTAGCAACTGCTTGTAATGGACACAATCTCGAAGCATTGACTGAATATTATCGAAATTTGTTGCAGCTTTTTTCATGTACTGCACTGTCCTGAATACGAATAAAATGAATAATTTATATTGAAAAAAGAAGGACATTCGCCTGCTATTTAATAGCAATTTAAAATATCCATTTGTAAATTAATCTTTAAAAAAATCTATACTTACGAAAGTACGTTGTCCAAGTCGAAACATGCTCCTTGCAGGCGAGAATTTAAATCGGCCATTACATATTTCCGATTCACAAGCGTAGGCAAAGTTTTCCCAATGTGTTCCTGTATATAATCTTAAAACATGTAAATAAACTTTATTGTTATCCTTTTCTGCACCCGCCTACAGCAGATTTCAAGAATCCACCAAGTATAGCATCTCAGTTCCGTTTTCTAATATTTCCTTTAACGGAAGTACGTCTAGGAAGTCGATATTTCCTATCTAATACTACTTTTTCTTCTAGTTTTTAGCTATCTAATTCAAATCATTTTCCGCTGCAATCAGTGGCTAGTAAATTAGTCCTGGACCAACTTTTTTTGATTTTAAAAAGACTTTAAAAAACAACATTCTTAACATCCTTCTACACCTCGTGATGCAACAGTAGTGATAGACAATGCACGAAGCAACTGACTTTAATATTTACGCAATCATAAGTCATAGTATCCTCGGAAATCAAATTTATATTCAACTTTTTAACTGCTAATTACAAATTTGTTTCACTGTATAAGGTTTAAGTAACATACATAAACTCGATAAAGAGCCAGTGACGGGTCATGATCGGTAATATGGGCACTCTCTGATAGACGTTCTGTTACTGCAAAGTATCCACAAAAGTTAAATAACAGAAAAAATGACAACGCTTGAAAAACACGAAAATAAATTGGTACGGGAAGAGTAAACATACGTATGCGGCAGCGTGTCTGCAAATCTCTTGACCCCATCAGATACAACTCAGAATCCTAAAAGAAACCGCTTCAAAACCTTAGAAACTATGTTTAGCACTAGGACTAACAGCACGACACATGCCTCCTTTCCCTCAGTACTTGTACGAAAAATAGGTGCGAACAAATGAAGCAATACTTCCGTTGTAAAAATTTTTCCGAACAACGTATAACCTTTATCATTCACAACATTTCATCAAAATAACAAACTGTATAAACTAGAAATAAAAGATCGTGTATTATGGAAACCAATATTTCAAGTAATTTAACAACGGGGTCACAGTGGTACTAAAACCTATCTGAAGGAAAGAATCTCAGTAATCGAAGACAACACTGCGAACTAGAGTAAAATTCTAGCACTGGAGACAATTTGAACTGCAGAACAGATTTTAATTTATACAAATTTAGACCAGTCAAGATGCTTTAGCATTTCTTTTAAGAAACACTTCATTGATGTATTCTTGTTCAAGATCTTCTTTACTCTTTGTTTTTCGTTGTTCAACTTTCAGAAGTTCGTCTTTCACATTCGCCATATCCTCCCATTTTGAACGATTTTCAAAGAAATTTAAGACTTCCCACTGATCGCGCAACTTTTGGCGTTCTTCATTAATTTTATTTATTTGTAGCTTCAAATCCAATTGCTCAAGCTGAAATTGATAATTGATTTTCCAAGTATGATGTGATCTTCCACAGTTGATGTCATTCATGTTTGCTATTTTACTCTCTTTATATATTTTTTAAAATACCTGAGTTTTAATAAGAGTAGCACGATTCTGGATCCAACCAGAAAAAGCAACTCTCTGTATGTTCATTAGATTCTCTTCTTCAATACACTGTATAGCCAATAAATGATTTAAAATTTTTTCTGATAAGTTCGCAGCCGTATTTACTTTTTCAACCTTTTCCAGAAGTGCCTAAAAGTAATTTTCATGATTTAGAATGAATTTAAAATGAGACGCCAATAGATGCACTTTTAATCTTTGAAATTATACTTACTTTAGCGTCACATTTAACAATATAAGAATTGAGCATTTTATTACTAATGTTCGAAAATTTTGCAAAAAAAGTGATTACTATGTCGGCTTTAAAATTTGTTGGAAAGACTGAAACATGAGAAAAACTTAAAGTGGACCATACGAACTTTTAATTCAACCATATCAATTTTGGAAGGATGTGATTCTAATTGTTCTTCAGAATCAGCTTCAACTATCCGCCTCTCTAATTTGGCCCAACAAATCTCGACAACAGATGATAAGAGGGTAGTTGTATGAAAAATTTGTTTAGCCATGAGATAATCACCAAAAAAGACAGATCCAATGAAACGAATATTGTTGGCGTCATTTTCATTCATTAAAACATTGTTACTAAACCAAAGCAAACTTTTTCCAACAAGCTGATCAGGATCAGTGAGGTCGAAGTGCATGTCGTTAAAATCATTTTTCAAGTATGGAAACTTGAAAATCCTCTGCAATTATAAATATTCAAATTATTGCAAAAACTGCCAAATACTTACAATCTTATATCAAGCTCTCAAAAAACAGTAAAAGCATGAATAGCAACGCATTTACACCACAAGTTTTCAAAATCCTAACTTTACCCAACTTTTATTTTTATATAATTTTCAAAGAAAAATGATTTCAAAACATAGAAGACCAAATATAAAATGTGAAAAAAATGAAATAACCACTTTGAAACACCTCATCTTCTTCATCTATACTTTTCGAACTATCGTCTTCGCCACTGATAAAATTTAATGAAGTAAGTTCTCTGAACACCCTTTGTTCATCAGATAATTCGATCCATTTTAAAGCACAATAAATACACATCCAGTTTAACAAAGTCGATTGGAACATTTCTTGCAGCATTACAAAACTGACTATTCTTGCAGCATCTTAAAAAATGAATTATAAAAGACACCTGTAAATGAAATTTAAAAAATATCTGCTTCCCAAAACAATCTCAGTCAATTACCTGCAATTTTTTTCGATTCCAGAAAATGATCGATGGCAAGACAAGCTGAATGTTCGTCCAGAAAAATTCCATAATTTATCTAATCAATGTACAACTGATAAAAAATCTGACGATTTTTCAATACAAAATTACTGAATTAAATAATGATGCAATAAGTTTATGAACTCGAAATTTTTTCAACAGTACGATTACAAAACAATTATTCTAGGAAAAATAAATTCAAACGAGAAATTTATAACAGTACAGACTGCTTACCGGATCAGAAAGCACAGCCAAAAGAATGTCGTCTTTCTGATGTTTCAATAGAAGTCTAATAAGGGCATATGCTGTTGAAGGAAGCATATGACTGGTCGTTTCTGTATGTCTCAGCCTATATACGATTTTTAACACATCATTTAGTTGATCAGCTTCTTCTGCCATACAAAGAGCTGCATCAACATCCACTGCACTGTAAACTGTTTTTACCAAAATGCAAGCAAACAACGATACTAATCGAAAAATTCGTGGCTACTATTTTTTGCGAGATATGCTCACAGAAGGGTTGGTATATTCACTTTTCAAAAATTAAAGCTAATAGCGAATTTCATCTATTATTCGTTGATATTATGAATATAGTCAAAATTAGAAAAGATTCACTTTTAACAACAGTCTTGAAGATAATCGTCTTCAGAATGAACAGCAATACCTTTGTTGAAAGTATATTTACGGCAGAAATATTTTCCTACTTAAACAAAAGTTAAGTTAAAAAGTCAGCTGAACAAGACCTAGCTGAACGAGAAGTTGCAAATTTTTTGTGCACAGCAACAATCCATTCATATCCACCTTCGATGCCCAATTCGCGTAGTGCATCATGCCTGACATGCCACTCCTCATTCATTGCGAATCTTTTTGTTAGTAAATTACGGGAAACTATGGATAAATGCCTCGAAATACGGCGAACTAATGATGTCTGACATCTGACCAGCATTGTCAACTTGATATATCCAGTAATACTTGGAAATTTCTCCAAACCAATGAAAATACTACAGATAAGAATTTAATTACTAGCAAATAAATGCTAGTATTACAGATCCAGTTTCTGAAAAGTTTAACTCAACACACAAATTACAGTCGCTTCACTTTAGCTTTTTCATCCAGAACTAAGCAACAAAAAAGGAACTAAATACACCCCTGCACCAGTATTACGAACTGAACTTTTATAACCGTACTACAGAGATAACTTGATATAAAATAATAGTAATATATACACATTAACAATATGTACATATTACTTTTGATTTCTGCTCTTCTAGCAAACAAATATTACCATCAGCCATCAAATTGAATCATTATTCTTCAGTACAAGAATAATGCAATCATAGATAAAAATACTATTGTAGCGAAGCTTACGAGCATTTTATCATCAATAGCAAACTTAGTGCTCATGTGATGTCAACCAACATACTCTTTAATGAATTCAATAAACACAAGGAAAGCACTTCGTATACTTTACACAATTCATATTTAAACTGCATGCTTTGCACATACTAACTGCCAAAACAAAGTCAAGGCAGAAAATGAGGATTCGACATTGTAACATTTAATCACCAGGTTATAATGCAAATATATAGCTTACACTTGATAGTTTACTATGTGTATATAACATCTTATATATAAGTATATATTCCTTAGCCAATACCATCATAAAGATTGAAAGTCATAGATATGATGACATTGTAAATTCAATAAACACTAAGAAGTGATCATGAAAGTAGCTAAGGAATAAGAATAAAGGCAGTAATATGACCAAAATAAAACTTGGTCTGAAAGAAATGCAAACAAGAAAACGTGATGACACAAAACAAAAGGAGATGAACTGTGAATGGTGATGCACTTAGGTAAGGAATGTAGAAATGATGTGCAAAGGGAGGATACCGGATGAGAGGGCAGTAGAAAATGTACTGTTTTTAAAATAAGACATAACAAAAGACAAGTACGAAAAACATGAGACTAATTACTGACAATCTTTGCAAATAATTAAAGCAGTACTTAAGTAAGTGAAAGCTTAAGAAAACTTGTCCTAGCAGAAATCCAAGTCCTATGAATCACTGCAACATGAATGAATTTAACAACTAACTCCTCGATTTGAAAACCAGTGGATCTAAAAAAAATTACTCTACCAGTTCGAAAATGAATCCCTATAAAAAATTAACATGTGGGCTGCATGAAATTTCAAAATGGGACTATTATCTTAAATTTTTCCTTGTAAGAAAATTGGTAAGGAAAATGACATACCGACAGATTAAAATGTGGATGAAGAAACTTGGGATGTACTTAAAAATTTCCTTTTCGATAAAGATAAGTGCTAGAATCATGTGCTATAGATATTTAAAAGTAGTTTTGCATAAGCGGGAACAATCTTTTCCTAAGTTTTGGAAATACAGCAATTAAAATTACCTCATATTCATCCTAAGTTTGCAGCAATTGCAATCTGAGCCACTGCATGCAGCAACAACGATTACAATTTTTAAAAAAACAAACAAAAACATTAAGATAGAAAATAAACAGAAAAAATAAAAATGAAGTATTTAGAAAAGAAATATTTAACGCTGAAAAAGAGATCTCTAAATCGATACCATTTTCTCATAGCTTTGATATTGCTCACTTGATTGTTAAATGGAATTCATCAATATTAATTTCTGCGATTTTTCGCTCTTACTTCAGCATCATTTCTTCTTCGATTTTTTCGATGCCCACGTTTGGGACCGCTTAACGCAACCGAAGATCCCGGGACAACAACTGAATAGGGTGGTGGTGGTTTGATTACCAGTACATTTGTTGGTGGTGGAGGAAGAGGAGGAGCTGAAGCTACTGGTCTGAACGCTGAACGAGAATTTCCTGTTTCTTCAATTCTTGAATGCCCCGCACTATTTCGCGCTCCAGCAGATGCATTGATCTTAAAAACAGATTCTTTTCTGTTAAGACACAGAAAGTGACTAAAAGGTGATAGAGGCAGTTAAGAAATGCACAGTTCCACTCACTTTAATGTTACCAATTATGCTGATCGTATAGACTGAAATAGATTGGTGATGGTCCGAAAATAAGTGAAATCAATTATACCTGTGCTCCAGGACCTCGCTTCCTTTGAATCAGATTCTTTGGACGTCGGAGAGTATCGTAAATGTTTAAAGCAGGAGCTTTGTTTGGATTGGTGCTTGGAGTATGAACAGCACAAATTTTAATGAAAAGAGTCATAAAAAGCAATAAACCCAGACCTCCAGCTACAACTACCCACCAGTTACCCTGGAAACATAAGTGAAAGAATTAAATGAAATAATTCCTATTGTAAACAGCATAAATTTTGTGTTTGAAAGAAGAAATAAAACAAAACATGAAATTGAATAACTTACTTGAATCCAAAATTTAACTTCATGTAAAGTTTTAGGGTTGAAAATGACATTCTTTAAGCGTGCTAAAGGCCCATCTGCATCGACTCTTCTACATTTACGGAAAATATCGCAATAACCTTCAAAATAACTATTTAACTTCGGTTTTTTTCATTGAACTATGAGAAGTAATCAGAATTAATAAATCACAAAAGATGAGAACCTTTATAATTGTTGCACGGAGATCCCGGAAGCAGAATCAACCCAGGTTTATCTTCGCGACCAGTCTGCTTATATTTGCCGACAGCAAACTGAGGTAGCACAAGACTAGACAAGCAAGCTGGAGATACACAATATTACGTAACAGCCTGTTTCATATAAATAAAATCAGTACAAACCGAAAGGAAAATAAAGTAAATAACTCACTTCCATTTTTTTCCTCACAAGCTAGATGACACAAGTGTTCCGGTGATCCCACTGTCAAGAAGCAGTCTTTTAGTCCTACCTGCAGATATTGATTGAGATAATTACTTCAAAATTTGCACATCAGTAATCATCAATCATATGCATAATCAAAAACGAAACATTATGCAGTGAAGAAAAATAATTCCTAAGAGTTCTTCAAAATGCAAGTCCTTTGTTTCAGCAAGCTAATTGTTTTTTTCCCTTAACTGTCCCAAAAAAGAAAATGTGGCAAATTTTGAGAGTGATTTAAGAATCACATCTTGAAATGGATTCCATTTGCCTTTTTGCTCAGTAAAACATGTAACACGCAGCAAGGTTATGCTGAAATTATTCCAAAGATTTTGTCAAAATATCTTTAACCCAAAATAAAATAACCTGCGCACAGATTGATCCATTACAATTACCGTCGTTACACACTTTTGTTGAATCCTGACAGGGTAATCCATTCTGCTTAGGATCAGATGGTGGGCACTCTGGGCTTTCGCTATTACACTGTTGTTGTTTCAAACATTCCGATTCCGCGCGACATGTTCTATGAGAATGATTATCACTGCATAAGCCTATACCATCTTGCATATCGACTTTCAGATTTCTTTACTTAACAAACAAATTTTCTAGCACTTTTTTTGTCATCAGTCTTTTTATTATCCTCTTCACTGGACTTTCTATCAATTATTTGTTTATAACCAATGAATTTCCTTTATTACCTATGTAAGTTACGAATTAATAAAAAACATTACTTTCTAGAAGCATAGGGTGAACAGCTAGAAGCATCGCAACATGGCCCTTCAGATGGGCTGCACTGTGTGGATGGTTTGCGTTTACATCCAGATCCCAATCCTGCTTGACGAGGATAACAACAGTTGTCTTTCATCGTCTGACAATCTTCAGCACTGTAACCACAATCGCATTCTTCTCCAGGTTCTTTCACTTGATTTCCACAAAAAGCAGATTTTGCTTCTGGAAAGGATACATCATTATTTTTAAGCAATAATAATAATTAAATTAGGTGAAAACTAGACAATTAATACCCCTAAAGCAATTTCGTTTTCCGGCTCCTATACTACTACCAAAACCCCCGATCCTTGCTGAAACTTCACTATCAGCAGGCCGCTGTTGCAACACCTGAAAAAATGTTCACAGCTTAATCCAAATATAGCAATTTTGAACTTTTCTTATAAGGCTTATTGTCTAAAAGCAGATTTTTTTTTACATGAAACAATTTTTATACATAGAGCTTATTTTTTTAAACGAGCAAATTACTTAAAAATGGCTGATAGAAGATTAAAACATCAGTAGAGTGACAAGGAAGTCATTAAAATAATTTTCTGCACAGGACATACCTCAGTAAGCACCAAAGTAATGTTTGATATTGAACAATTAGAAAATTGAGCATTGTTTTTTTTATCACCTGAAGTTGCCGAAGCAAACATAATATAATTTCCATCTGGTAAGCCCGGCTGGCACTCTAGGGGATAATCATGCTGAAGCAAATAAAATTTCTATGAAAAGAAAACAAAATTAGGAAGACATTAGAAGATGGATGTGAACAATGCTTTTACCAATTAGGATCAGTTTAAATTAATTGGATTTTTATTTACTTTACACTTCAAAAGCAATTAAATAAGAAAATACTTTCAATTTTTTATGCTTCACTTGTGAAAGCTGTAATATGGGAATAAGAAGAGAAAAGGAGGTAAAGTAAAAACAAAATTTTACAGGCGATCCAAAATTGTGGCCAATTTCATGCGCCAAAGTAAGCTGTGACACTCGATTAGGAACACGGTTACCATAATTCACCAGTGTTATTATACCCGTATTTAAAGATCGATAAACAAAATTCGATGCTTCGCTATATTTTGTATACTGCTGACAGATACCACCAGCCGTATCTAAAAATAATCATGAGGTTTCATTTTGGAACTTTTTACATTATAAGTTTTCTTTCAAATTGCTATTTCCGAACAAATTCTAGAACAAGGAAACTTTAGTAAGTGATAGTTTCAGCAACATTAACACTTACTGTGATTAGGACTGGCCACCCACGCAAGACCTAGAGTACCACCTACAAAATCGCGAAATGTGAATGCATAAGCTAAACAAAAATCAGAGTGATTCTTCCGTGAATTGAGATTCAAATAATTTGATACATCAACATTTTCTTCGCAAAACGGATTTTCTTGAGACTTTTCCCTAGGTTTACCATCTACGCAAGTGCTGGGAGTGTAAAGCTGAAAACTATAATTTCTTACTACTAAAAAACAAGACTGAATTTATTATATTAGAGTATTAAAAAATAATAACAAATGAAGATGAAAACCAGATGATGAAAAAATGATTTAAATCTTTCTATTAGAACAAACCGAGATACGTTGTATAACGAACGTAATGCCGTTAATACCTCCGAAACTTGTACTTTCATAGATCTGATTCACTGCTTTAATGTGATTGTAGAAAAGACTTGCGATTTCTTCTCTGGTCCTAAAAAAAATTATCTGAAATTTTCAGAAAAAATGCGCATGATCATAAACCATGAAGAGCCTACCTGACGTCATCCATATTTCCTTCTTTCTGATAAACATGCTGATAAAGCTTTTGATCAGCTTGGAGGTAAACGTAACAGGCCCTGAAAAAAGTCACTTTCGACAAGGTTATTATTTCAGAGCCATATAATACCAAATTTCAGAAAAAAGCTATACAGATAAACATAGTTTTATTGACCTGACTGCATAAATTTGTTTCCCGCGGATCGTTTTTGTTTTTTCAGCAGCTCGTTTAAGTCGTGATTCAAATATGTATCTTAAATAGTCTAGAATAATCAGAAATTTGTGAAATCGGCACACGAAAATTAGAATTTCATTTGGATGTGCAATACAAAATAAAATGATGATGGAACCGTTGATCAAATGCATCGCCTCGAAAAGATTGCTCATTTTTTTCATCCTCATAAATGACACTATTTTGGAACATTTCCATGTTTTGCTGCATTGAATCTCTGAGCCCACAACTATGATCCACTTCTACCACTGATCGTTTCTTTCTCAGTTTCCAAAAATTGATTGAACTATCTTAAAGGTATATAAAATCTTTTCAATAACTAGTTATACTTTAGTACCTCTTCCATATGTACCATTTCATGGTAAAAAGTAGTTTAAAAATGCAGATATACTACTTCCTTTGCAATATTTAACAATTCTGATCAAAATACAAGGTTGCGATCTGCCAATACAGAATTGGATCACCTGAATAAATAATAGAATGAAAATGTTTTGGTCTATATTTCCAGTGTAAATATCTATCCACTTTGTCTATTGTAAAAGATTCTCCATCGCTATAAATTACATGTCCATCAAATATTCCATCTCGAAAAGAGCCATATAAAGTAGATTCTGGATCATCTGAAATATGTTTCATCAACACGAAAGAAAAAAGATTGAACTCAGTGCGTAATAATTAACCAAAACACTTCGCATTCATTGTGTATTTAAGAATTAGATTTACTATACAAGGCATCTTTCAATTACCTTAAGATGCTCTCAAAATATTTTTTGAAAGGAAGCAAAAGATTTACTTTTATCATAACCATGGACCAAAAAATCTTTCATTGGTACATGTTCATCCTTCCCATCAACATCAAAAATAAAATTATCACTAAACACATTAGTATCATCGTCCAGTGAATGAAGTATCAAATGGAATGACCTAAAATAAGACTAAAAAGCAAACCTCACAAATATTTAAATATCCTTATATCATAAAACTACTGATTAATTTCATCAGTAGTAAGCATGATGCGGACAACATATCAAATAAAGAGATTCATATACCTATTATGGGAAGTGAAAAGCAGATTCACAGGTGCATACGAGCCATCAATTGATCGCTTTCTACGATCAAGTAAAGGCTCATAACTGAGTGTTTCGTACCAGTCTACGAAACTACTCAATCCATCAACTGAAAATTCAGAAAATATAAAAACGCATAAAAAACTATTTAATTTTCAAAAATTCAATTTGATATGAGATTCAAAATCTTAGATCCTTCATTCCTAAGCAAAAAAAGAAAAGAAATAACAAGTACTACAAGTGTAATTTTACATATGTATAATACTGATCACAGAATGCTAACACTAAAGATTATCACTTTTGTTATGCATTCAAATGTATAAGAAGTCTAATTACAAGAAAAATGGAATTAAAACTTGAAGAAAATAATCACAAAAAGCATATACCTAGTAATATATTACAGATGAATATTAACAAAACAAAACCCATATTGTTGGTACGGACACCCAAGTGCAATAAAAAAGCATGCAGACACACGCAGCACAACCAAGCAACAGCTTATTACGAACGCCACATTGTGCCCAACCTGTAACACTTCAACAGTAAATACTTGCAGTTTACCAGTTTTCGCTTTTAATTGCTAAATTTTTGGCGCAACGAAATTAGCTAAAACCTGATTTCCTGAATTCATAAAGAGAACGAATTCGAGATAATTAGTTTTGAATTAATTTTTTTCTTAGACTATTTGTTTTTTATCTGACAGCAATTATATCAGTTCAATTTTTGAAAATTTCTCTTATTTTTCTATGCATTAATTAATTTTTTCAAGAATCTCAAAGCAATGCTTACTATCCATTATGTGTAATAATTCAAACAACATTTTTAGGCTGATTCAGTTTTGATATCTAATATGACTCATTTTTTTGCATATTTTAATTATAATAATCAAAATAATTACTAATAACTTGCACTGTAATTGTGATTAAACTTGAAAACTACGAGCTATTCCCTCTGACAAGCCTTGCTACAGTTCACAAAAACAACAATGAGTGAACAGGTACAAAAATTATTGCATGGAAAGCAACAGTTCATGAACCGTAACAAATTCAAAGCAGTAAATAAGTCGCTGCAATAATAATTTTGACTTCTGATTGAATGAGGAAAGTGCTTCTAGTCCATAACTAATCTTAAACTTAGAACAAGTAGGCTAAGAAATCAAGTTGGAAGAACTAAATAACATGCTTGATGAACTAATTCTGCTGGGAAAATTGTAGCAAAGTGTCCTCATCAATGTGCTCTTCTGTCTACGCACTCAGAAAAGTAACAAACTGCTTTCATTGGAACGTACCAAATCGTGTCTATCAGTTGTTTTCTACGTGCGTGAAGTCATTTTAATTTGTTCGCAAGTCACTTTAAAATATTCTGAAAATGTGCATATATTCATTCTAATCAATATATCAAGTTCTGACTAATAATGAGGATTAACTAGTTTGACTGAGAAGTATGCAATTTAATTTATATTTCAGTTGTATAATCTTGTACTTTGATCAACGTTTAGTTTCAGCATTTTTTTCCGCTAATACATGCAAAGAATGCATCACTTTCATCGACATCTAAGCACAAAATAATTTTGTTAATAGCTTTTTTAGTTAGTAACTTTAATGTTTGACATGTGAACTTCAAGTGAATAGACATTTGCACGACACATCCATAAAAATTTTCTCTGACTTCTTCACAAGTAACGCTTTTAAGCTAATTCCTATCATTTTCATTCATAAAATCAGAATAATTTTCATTACTTTTCAAGAGATTAAAGCAACATTACCTTCTGACGTAATGTTGCTTTAATCTCTTGAAAAAACGTGAAAAGTATAATAACTAAATTCGCATTTGTTGATTAATTAAGTTGTTAAAGTTTTGTGTAAATTTGCACAAAATATATGACTAAATGTGGTAACAAACGTAAAAGAAGATAGAAATTATGTTGCGGTGAATAGAAATAGATGAAAAAGATTTATGCAGCTAGTGTTGATTGTCGTCTAGATACTGAGAGTGTATTGAGGTCAGGGTTAGTTTGAATTTTATTAGCAAACAATCACTTTATTTAGTAAAGACTTAAATTACGTTGTGTGAAGGATAAGTACTTGAAAGAGCGCTCTTTAATATCTCTTACAACAGTTACCAGTGAATTCTCAGTTTCGTACTGTTATTGTGTAATGTGTACTGCATTAATAAGCGATGGTCCAGTTTATATTATTGCCAACAAAATTTATCTTTTTGCAATTTATAAATAATTATTGATATTCATTTAATAACTTTGTATTTACGCATGTTTCCGAAGAAATTATAGTAGGAAAAGGTTTTGAAAAATTTTTTGTGTAAGCTGTTGATAAATCTCTTCTATCCATCACTTAGTCAAAAATTTATTGCAAAATTTTACTAACATTACTAACCTTCAGAAAATTTGATTTTGTTCAATTATAGAATTTTTGAATTTTGAAAAAAGTATGGATTTCAAAACTGAAAATGGTAGACTATTTAAAATGTAGTAATTTTGAGAGTTTCAGGTTCAGCAATGGTTGCTATAAATTTCTGTAATTTTTCGTATGTTTTAGTTGATGTATATGTGAAATGGGTTCTCGTTTATCTGTATCATTCGAGGATACAGAGGTGTCACCGCGAACAGACCGTCCTCCTACGTTTGATCCATTGTACGGCTTTCCGAAAGGTCGAAAACCTCGTGAAATGAAAGCAACATGGGAAGAAATGGATCACTGGAAATTAGAACTGGGTGATCGTGATTATTGTGCTCATCTGCTCATTAATCTTAAAAAGTGTCAGGTTTGTATTTTTTGATTTGAAACTTGGAAAAATAAGGATTGAATTAGATCAATTCAAAAGTTTATCTCTTTTCCAGGAATCTCAATATTTTTCAGTTCTATAGAGTTTTTGTGCTCGATTTCTATGACTTAAATATAACTGAATTTAGCAGTTTTTGAGCCAGTATTATAAATTTTAGCTGTAACTTTGTTGATTAATTTGCTGCTGGTGGTGGCTTGAAAGTGACAGTAATTGACTGCAGGTGTATGCATTATTGCTTTCTTATGTTTTAGCGACAACATATGCCGTTTGCCCATTATTACTGTGTTGATGATTATCACGCATGGCAGAACTGTGAATATGACGATTACATTTTAAGAATGAAAGAATTTGAACGAGAAAGACGACTTTTGAAGAGGGCACTACGCAAGAAAAATTTGCGAAAGGAGAATAATAATAACGAAAAGGATCCAGCTTAGGCGCTTTTATTTATCATGTATAGGCCTCATTGTCTTTCTTTTTTATGTGTAGAGAATAAAGTGTTATTGATGTTGATTTTTTGTCGACTATTTTCTAAGTGGTGACATGGAATCGCTATTCATATTTTAAAAAGTTTCAAAAAAATATTTTGTCTACTTATAAAGTAACATATATGAGGCTTCTTTCATTTTTTATGCTGTAATTTGGTCGGCTATTCTTTGTAAACAGTGTAATGAATTAATCGAAAAGTTTGTGGTCGTGAAAGAGTGGAAGGTTTTCTCTCTTCTTTTCTCGAATTTAAATTAGCTTCAGATCTCTCTAGTTGATTCTGATGGAGCAAAATAGAGTACAGTATGTGCTTCAAACACTCCAAAATCCAAAGAAGCTGGAGGAGAAATTATTACCACTTGTGGAGGAATGTGTGAAAATGTCGGTCTCGAATTCCCTGGGTTGGGCTTTATTAGCAAAATTGATTTATGCTTGCTCTCAAGAGATGCTGAATACTATCAAATCGAGAGTTCAGGTAATTCAGTCATTTTGTAAACATGTTATCTGGCTAATTAGAGAGTCATTCCGGTGAATAATTTGATAATCACTCCAAGTGAAATCAGAGGATTATTTGGTCACTGTCGAAAATTTGTCATAGATTTAATTCTTCCCATAACAAATGTGTGCATCCTGCAAATCTACTTACAAATACTCAAATCTACTCTATTTTTAAAAAGAATTATTTCAGAAAAGGTTAATTGCTGCTACTAAACAATCAGCTACAGTTTCTCTATTACATTTCATTCGCTCATTTTTGGTTCGCTTCCCATCGCTCAAAAACTACAATGAACAGTCATTGGCTTACCTTTGTTCTCGAGCTGTAGATTTCAGTATTGCAAACCGTTCAGAGGATATCACAAAGTATTTAACACATCTTGAAGATTTTTTCATTATAACTCTCTAAAATTTTATCTCTCTATAAGGATAGAAGCATATTCTCAATTTTTTTACTATCGGCGTGACATTTTAATAGTAATCAGATTTTATATGTTCAGAGAACTTTTGATTTACTGAAATTCATTTTAGACAAGTATTGTGTATACACTTTGTTTAGTATTATGTAATTATAGCCTTGCTTCCGATATTTATGCATTATGGACTGGTGATAAGCATGATCATGTGTTGGTGGCGGTGCTAAAGAACGTGTTTAATGATGGGATTATCGAAACTACTGTAAGTGAAAAAATGATGCTGCATTTCAATACGCCAGTAGAAGGAAATCTAGTTTTGGCTTCCACAATATTTATTTTGCATACGAGAGTTATAGAGCGATCTACACCAGGTTTCTGAACCTTAAACGCTTTGAAACTCCATGAAATATGTGTTGAATGTGTTGCATGATTATATTCTGCAAACATTTTTTGTGTTTAACGTGACCACATGTAGGGTATGTAATCCACTGGGTTTTCACATTTTTAATAGTCCTAATAACCTGGGATTTCGTTATAATTTGATACAGTTAAACATAGTAAATTAGTCTCAAGAAGTAGCTTATCTATCATAGTCTGGTAATATTCAATCTTACTTAGCATACTTATTTCAGGTAGTCCAATTGCTATAAATGAATGGTTGGATGTTGCTTGTGAAGCAGTAGCAACTGATGATAATGAATTGAAGAATTCTGTTTTCAGATGGTTGACGACATTTCTAAATAGAACTAAAAGTACTGCTCATCTTGCCGTGTGCAAAATTTCTGCATTTATCAGTGACTTTTATTATCCTAGCCGAGCTTATTACGAAACAGTAAAAGAATATGTTCGGTTGGGACCTAATTTAAGCCTTAAATCACTTTTCGAAAGACTCATCAATGATGTTTCATACCATTTGCATTCGCAGGTGAATTTTCTGTTTATTTTCATGTAACAAATACTCTTGCAATATGGCTCAGTGCTTTAGTTCCTTTCCAGCTAGTTTATTTTTTCATGGATTATTCAGGAATATGGAAAATTTTATGCGGAAGCACTAGGAACAATGTTGGAGTTGAGACCTTATCTGTTGGATGTTCGAGATGTGATACAATTGCAGCAAATAGTTTGTCAAGAAGCTTTTCAAAATAGAGACTGTAAACCAGCCCTTTCATTGCTGAATTCTTTACTCTCAATGAACCACGAATTAGCTCCATCACCTATTCAGGTGATAAATGTATTATATAACTCTGCCTAATTCTTTCTTATTTTAAAGTCTACTAATTCAATAAATTGAGTCAGTTTCAGATAGCGCAAAGTATCTTTAATAGTAGTGATAATTGGTGCGATGAAGTACGTTTGGGACGTGCGCTCTGTTCAGCTATTTCGCGACCAATGATTCATGCACTAGTTTCTAAAGAGCATTTAGTAGAGAAAACAGATATTGTGAATGGAGACCAGCGATCTTCGCACAACCGGTTATCTAGCGACAATGCAGAACAATCTTACAACGACACTGTTGAAAACATGCTGATTTCTACTAATAGCAAGGTTTGTGGTACAAAATCAGATGAAAATATTGACAGGAAACGTCATTCTTTATTGAGTGAGTTAACAGAAAAGCGATTACGAGCGGCTCTCTCTGGTGTAGACAATTCTTCGTTTATAGAGAAGACAGATTTGTACCCTTCACACTCAGATACAAGTGATATGGAACAAGTGTCAGACGATGGTATTTTAATAAATCGAGAACCTGATAATCCAGTCTTGAAAAGCGATATTTTAAAGTTAGAATCTGCATTTCGTGAAAAACGAAATTCTGATATCGACATTGAAATTTTGGAAGAAAACAGAAATGGCGAAAAATTGTCTGTTCAACAGATGATGAATGATTTTGTTCCGACTTTGAAAAACCACATGTTTCAAATTGATAAGCGATAACCGAGTATTTGAAATGGAGACTTCGTTTAGTACTTAAAGTATGGGATAAACTCCATGTTTTTGCGTTGACTTTAACCACGCTGTAAGCTCCTAATGCGTTAATAATCAGCATCCGTGAGCTTTTCATTATTTCAGATAGCAGAAAACAGCTTACAAAGAAAGCATTGTCTTCTTTGTTGCTAATCATCATTTACATGGCTCTCATTGTTTACTTCAACACCTCTACTAATCAAGTGTTTTTATCTATAATAACAATAATGTTTTTAATTGGAATGCAAGAAAGTAAACATACTGAAGGATGTTTTCATGTGCTCTCTTGATTTTCTAGATTGCTTCCTAGATTATCAATCTGTTCTAACTGCAGTTCAATTCTGCAATTGAGATAATTTTAGTGTAAGGTTTTAGTGATCATAATTTCATCCATTATTAGACTTAAATTAAGTGTTATGAACTTACTTATTTGATTCTGCTAGTAAATGGTCATACATTTTCGATATCTCTTCTGCAAGATAATCTTTAGCATTTGTTTCTGTCTCAGCAATAGCTTTTTTGATTTCTGAAAGTGTAATACTGTTATATTTTCAATAACATTTTACAAAATTGAATGTTAAAATATGACTAACTTACCTGTATTCTTGCACTGAAGCTCATCATATTCGTGTTTAAAGAGTTCAATAGTTTCATTATATTCGTTTAATCGCTTATCGAGAAAAGCGCATTGCTGTATCAAATTTTGTAATTCGCTTCGCGATTGTGAACATTGCTGGTTAGTATCTAGAATCATCAATGAAAAGACAGTGTAGATAGCAGTATAAGCAGTCATTGTGATCAAATTCGGAAATGACAGATACACATACTCTGTAATTCGTCATGCAATTTCTGGCAGTATTTCGCAATTCTTTCGATTTTCAGTTCAGGATGAATGAATTGTTTTCGTTTCTCCTTCATCTGAAGTCACTAAAGAATTTGCTCATTTGTAACAGTGGTATAAAGATGTGTTTAAATTGAAAATTGAAAAATTTTGTTAAATATTTTGGTAAATTTTTCAGTGCTTCTTCGAAACCAATGAAAAGCCTATTAAATAAGAAAAAATGGAGCATTAGCATGTTCAACAATCACTGCATCTGCAAATGCTCACTAAAGCAACCTTTCCAAAAAATGACGTCTTGAGAAACCTATTTCAGGCATACACAATCAGGCATGACCTGTTAAAATGCTCTAACTGTACTAAAAAAACTATGAATAAGATGATAGATAATCATTTTGATGTGAGGAATATGTCGCATTTAAAGTACCCAAAATGCAAGTAAATCAAGTTATGATCTGTTTGTGGATTAGATCGCCATTTACTAAAGGTACCAGGTGTGACTGAAAGGGAAAAAAGAAGGGTTCCAAAGAAGTGTCATATTATTTAAGACACTTAATTAGGCGCTTTGGAATTATGAATAATTTGTAAGAAGAGATTTATTTCAGTGTTGTGGAATTGTGTGTAGTTCTGTAAGAAAAATTGAAAAACAGTTATGAATATTTACAAACAGCCTACCTTTTCCATTTCCTTTTTGATTTCCCCTTGTGCTTGCTGAATGCAGTTGATAAGATCTGATAAGACGTACTCGTCATTGTCCATAAGAATGTTTTCATACATTTCTTCACGATCTATAATTGATAAAGTGATTAAATTATATTTTCTGGACCTGTAAATCCGTAAATTCTTAGCTAGATAATCTCGTACCATTTAGTTGATTCATCAGTTACATTTCCCTGCTAGTCGACCAGTTATTTAGTTAATATTAACATCATTAACCAGCCACTCAGTATTTAGACCAAACTATACTTCAATCAAGTGTTCTAGAATATACTAGTCAGTATGTCAGCAACTTTTGTCAATAGTAAATCAAGCTCATTTGATCTTCTCATTTATTGTATTAAAAAATTCAAGAAGCAGTGAAGATATGAGTAGATTCTGTTCTCTGACACAGGCATAATGACATTTGATCTATGTAGCATTAACACTGCGAGTAAGCAAAGGAAATAACTATCAAAATCTGATCAGCAAACTATATTTTGATATCTTTTGTGTACAATACATTTATTTACTATGCTAGTACTACTATTTGAAATGATAGCTTTATGAGACAAACCAATTTATGCACGGCGAAAATGAACAAATGTAAGAATTAGAATAGATATAATATTAATATTAAGAATTAGAACAATGCTTTATGAGACAAACCAATTTATGCACGGCGAAAATGAACAAAGTGTAAGAATTAGAATAGATATAATATTAATATTAAGAATTAGAGTAGAAATAATAATACAATAATAGTATATGTACTGTGGTGGATGACTAACAATATCAAATCATAGTGAATAGTGTTTGCTATCTGAAAAATAAAAAAAATCAGATTTGAAATTTTGGAGTGGAGATTTTGTTTTGTTGGATCTATTATGAAAACTACCGTATCAAAGTGTCACATTTGTTTTCTTGCTTTGCTGTTTGGATGTAATGTTACTTTATTTGTATCATTTGAACTGTAATTGTTTTAAGTGTTAAGATTAGCAAATACTGTACTTTTTGTTTTGTAATTTACTTTTGTTAAGTAAAGTTTGGGATTGTTTGAAATAATTTATGAGTATAGCTTAATCAATTGACATTATTGTTGTTCACATTGCATACCATATAATGTCCACTCTTAGTTCAATGTAAAGTTAGAGGCAAGATTTTAGCCTCAAACTATATTCTTAAAATCTTTACAAAATATTTGTTCACATGGTGTATACAAAATGTTTTTGTTGGTGACGTCACAGAATTACTTTTCTTTGTATGAATTATTTTTGCACTATTGAAAACTTGTTACTTGCTGGCTGGTAAAATCTGATTAAGTTTGCAAATTACTAGTAGTTTTGTTTCTTTTTGTATTGCGTGTCGAGTTTGATATCAGTACTTCACGGTGTAACGCAACATTTCTGTTTCTTTTTTCTCTGCATTTTGAGCTGATAAAATACGGAAACTTTTCTCTTTGATACGATTGTTCTGAACAAAAGTTGAAAGGTTAAATCATTTTTAAGAATAACCACTTGGGATAGTTTTTCCTTCTTCTGTCTACTGTAATCATGCGAATATTACTAACTGGAGCAGCTGGATACATCGGAAGTCATGTCGCGTTGGAATTGTTGCAAGTGGGTTATGATGTCGTATGTGTTGACAATTTCTCCAATTCCATCCAAGGTTCAATTTTATCATTTAAAAGTTCAGTTTTATGATTTGATTTTGCTGTATGAAATGTATTCATTTTTCGATATACATGAATGTACAGCATTTATGTTTTCATTCAAAAATATGCATGTTGTTTAAGGATATTTAGTTTAACGTACAAAGAAATGGATAAAATAATGACTGCATATTTTATAAGCTTGAAAATGTTTCTCGTCGATGTTTAAGAAATAAATTTGGAAAAATGTTTGAGTTGTTTAATTATGTGCTGTTTCTTAGATGCCGATGGTAATGCTGTAAGCTTAAAGCATGTATCGCGAATCATAGGCATCGAAATACCGTTTGTTTTTGCCGATTGTTGTAATGAAAGGCAGTTGGAATCTGTTTTTAAAGAAGTATTTCAGTTTAGTATATTTTCTTTTATAACCTAGTTTAATTATTTCAAATATTCTTAGTTTATGAAGAGTGGAATTGAATATGAATTCGCTACCTTCAGTTTGTTTTAATAGTATGAAATCGGCGGTGTGGTTCATTTGGCAGGTTTGAAAGCAGTTGGAGAGTCCGTTGAGAATCCTCTCAGTTATTATCACAATAATCTTGTTGCAACACTAGTGGTACTAAAGGTTGGGCTTTTAAAATTATAATAAAATGTATGCTTCAAGAGTTTAGATGCATCTATCTTCTAAGCTGTCGTTGCTCATCTGTTTAGTTTTAAAGAATGATCATTAGTTACACAAAGCACTTTTATAGTGGTGTTTCAATATTAAATTTTTTTGTCTTTGGTTATGGTGTTACCAATAAAAGAAGCTTATTCACAGCTCTGTGATAAATACAACGTCAAAAACTTTGTTTTCTCAAGCAGTGCAACTGTTTATGGATGTCCAGAAGATCTTCCCCTTAAGGAATCCCATGTAGTTGGTCTTGGAATTACTAATCCTTATGGTCACACTAAGCACATGATCGAACGGATTTTAATGGATTTAGCTATCGCTGATGAGGTACTTAATATTCCAAACCATGAAATTATGAAAATCATTATTTTAGTGATGGTTCAGTCAAGTTTATTTTGTTTAATTCTATTAAAGCAAACTATTGTTTTCAGAGCTGGAAAATAATCATTTTAAGATATTTTAATCCTGTGGGTGCTCATCCAAGTGGTCTGATCGGTGATAATCCGAAGGATATTCCTAATAATTTGATGCCATATGTCAGCCAAGTAGCTATTGGCAAATTACCTGTGCTCAAAATATTTGGAACTGATTTTGAAACGCCTGATGGTATTTTATTTATTCTATCCAAGGGTCCAAACACTGGAATTTCATAATGATTAAGAAATAATTGAAAGAGTGTAAAATATAATTCATAACTTTTCATCAATATCCATCTTAAAACTGTAAAAATTTTCAGTAATGCATGTGTAAGAGAAAATTTTTTTTACTGCCATTATTTTCAGGAACTGGTGTGCGAGATTATATTCATATCGTAGATTTGGCTCGAGGACACGTAGCTGCATTTGATTACATTAAAAGGCATCTGAAAATCGGTTGCCAAGTATATAATTTGGGAACTGGAAAAGGATATTCTGTTTTAGAGATGATCAATGCCTTCGAAAAAGTTTCCGGAAAAAAAGTACTTTCTAATAAAAAAACGAATAAAATTTATTTGAAAAAAATGATTATATTGCGAAATTAACAATTCTAACTCATCTTCAGGTAAAAACAAAGAACAGTCCTCGAAGAGCAGGTGATGTGGCTTGTGTTTATTGCGATCCATCGTTGGCTGCTAGAGATCTCGGCTGGAAATGTGAATATGGTCTTGAAGAGATGTGCCGTGATTTGTGGAACTGGCAGGTGAAAAATCCTGATGGTTATGTGAACATTAATTGCTAACATGAATGCATATGTTATAATTAATAGTTAGATAGAATTACGTTTGTTTTGCAGCTGGTGGCATGCGTTGTCGAAATTCATCCTTTGTCTTAGATCATAATTATTTTTCCTTAATTTTTGCATGTATTATATTGAAAGATGTTTAGAAAATGATTAATTTTTCATATTTATTAGAATAGAATGAATATTAACCATGTATTCTTATCCTATTTAATATTATTGCAGTGTAGAATTTCTGCATCAATTATAAAATGTGGTTATTTCTGCAATTTTTACACGAGCGATTGATTCATTTTTCAAAATAAAGGAGTAATTTCCGTAACCCGTTTATCTGCTTTTGTAAAAGCTAGGAGCTACAGTAATCCTACAGTTTTTCTATTTTCTTAATTTGAAATTCGCATCCTATTTCATTAATTTGTAATATATCATTGGTAGTTCAAGTGCCTAAACGTTATTTCGGATTTGTCAAATATCAGTTCGTGATAATTTAATAATTTTCTATGAATAAAGACGTTAGTATAAATTTCTGTGCGTTAGAGCATTTTTTTTCGTAACATTTTATCGCTTGCTCTTCTTTCATATCTTCTCTATCTTCAAAATAAGTTTTTTCCTTTAAAATAATTTGATATGTAAGTCATTGGGTCCAGGTTTCAGAGAATAAGTGATGTGAGACCTCACGTAGAGACTATTCATGAAAAGTCTTAATTGGTCTCGTGAAGATTGTGCATAGTCTGCTTACCCCAGGCACTTAAGTGGATTAATTGGTGCAGATTAATAAGCAAAATGGTATCAAGAAAGTCTCTGAATGTTGGGGTCCTGGGACATGTAGACTGTGGAAAAACTACTTTAGCTAAGGCTTTGTCGACTATGGGCTCAACAGCTGCATTTGACAAACATGCTAGTGCATCTAATCTTAGAGCTAATACCATTGATCTTGGTTATTCGACATTTTCAATTGATGACACTGTAATCGCCTTAATTGATTGTCCTGGACATGGATCTTTAATCAAGTTAGCTTGAAATTTTATTTACCTATACATTGTTAAAATTCTCAAAGATTTTCAATAATTCATCAAATGTGAGATGCCAGCTTTAATTCATTTCTGTATATTGATTACCTTTACAGATCGGTGCTTGCAGCTTCATCAGTCTTTGACTTGGGAATTGTTGTTATAAACGGTAGTAAAGGAATTGAGCAGCAAACTGCAGAACATCTTCTCCTTGTCTCGTTATTATGTCCGGATCATGTTATAATGGTTATTAACAAGGTTGTTTAACTTACAAATTACTACTACTTTTGCACATTCCATATGCTAATTGAAAGTGTCAGCAGATAAAGTATTAATGTTTCTTTCCATGAATTAATAGTCTTAACTTTGACATTGCTCTTACACTTTGATTATATATTTGATATCCTCGAAATAGTTCAAATAATTACTTAAAAAAAGTCTATATTATTTAAAAGTTTGGCCATTTCAGGTTGATCTGATAACAAAGGAAATTTTGGAAAAATTAACAAAGCATTGCAAGAAGGTGGCAAATATTTTGATGATTACCTCTAATTTGCAAATCGTTCCAGTATCTTTGATAGAAAATAAACAAGAATCTGTGCAAGCAGTATTAAGAGCTTTACGTTCAGCTCTTTATACGCCTCAGCGAGTTTCTTCGGGTCATTTTATGATGTTTGTTGATCATTGCTTCCCGGTTAAAGGTAAAGGCACCGTGATGACAGGCACTGTTGTCGATGGGATGTGCAAGTAAATTTTTGATTTTCTTATTGCATACAAGTATTTCGAGTCTATTCAAATTTTTTATGCGCTGATTTGCTACCAAAATTGTTTCATTAACTACAGTAAATATTTACTTAACAGCAGCTGGCACAGATTATATCAAATTTTATGTACATTGTTTAGACAAAATTGTCGAAGAATTCTCGCAGCTCTTTGCTTTCACTATTAATAAAAACATTTTGATTGTTACTTGGCTTATAATAAAAAAATTAGCCTTTTTGCAGTGAATCATGCCATATTTATGGTTTGTAGAAGTATTATTTGCCCAGTGCACTTAATTATTATTCGTAGTTTATTTTTAGAACTTAAATTAACTGATTTGATTGAAAACTTGATGTGTTACCGACTGAAAAATATTAGGATCTATAGTCCTGAGATAAAAATATAATTTTTACAGAGGTCATGTGGAAAGTAATCTTACTTTAATTTGTATTTCAGAGTTGGAATGGATGTAGAAATAGCAGCTTTGCGTGAAAAACGTAAAATTAAAAGTATGCAACGTTGGAAAGAAGATGTATGCAGCGCAACAATAGGAGATCGAGCAGCTCTTTTATTTCAAAATATTCCAAGCAAAAATATCGATCGTACAGTTATATTTGAACCAGAATGGTTACGTCCTGTACAGTTTTTGTTAATTGATGTGAATCGTTTTGTGTATTTTCAAGGAAATTTACATCAGTGTTCAAAATTACATATTTCAACTGGCTTCTATACTGTTATGGGACGATGTCAGTTTTTAGCACCACCGGTTTCTCAAGAAAAAAATGATTATGAAATCGTGCCAGAACTAGATGAAAATGTAAAGTTCGCTATTCTTAGTTTAGAAGGATCTATATACGTCAAAGAAGGTAGCTTTTATATCGCTTCCAAATTAGATCATCAGGGTAAAGGTTGTAGATTTGTTTTCTATGGAAAATTTTTAAAATTACTTAATGATGATAAGGAAATACGGCAGTACCGACGAAAGCAGAAAGTTGGACAGATTGAACGAGTGGAAAATAAACGGAGCGTGATTTGTAGTGGCCTTTTTAAAAAAGAAGCGAAGATTGATATTTATTTGAATATGGATGTATATCTTTCAACAGGAGAAGTAGGTTGCTTAGAATCTCCCTTTGGTAAGAAAGGAAAAGTTCGCGTAACATTCGCAGAAGACTTGTTGGAAAGTACGTTAAATGCATTTGAAAAGGGTTGCAATGTACAAGTAACATTATACATTAAGAAATTTCTGCATGATGGGAAAGTTGAATGCTGTGCGCCATTTCCAGTTCTTCAATGATTTCCTTCTGTCAAATTTGAAAAAGGTTGACGAAAATTTACTGCCTTTTAAAAGTTAATAGTTGATATTTTTGTATTATCTGAATCATGGCATTAACTGTTCATAAAGATTATATGATGATATTTGTTATTGAATACTTTGTCTTAACATACTTATATCAAATCTATCTTCAGACTGAACTTGTTATTTCAAACGTTATCAGTAATTGCTTTGTAATTTCAATGTCAGTAATTGATTTATATTTTTAGTTGTTTCCATTTCATGTGATTATTTGGGACAGGTGGAATTTAGATACGCTGTTTTGGCTGTTATCTGTGAGCGCTTTGAACTGATTTGGTATCAGCATGGAATATTTATTAAAAAGCAGTTTATATTTGGCTGCGGCTCGACGGATTTCACTATTCTGGAATTTGTCAAATCATAAAAGTGGGTATTGTTCATACTTAAGCGGTGAATCAAATAATTCAGTAAAAATGAATTCACATCAGAAAGCAAGAAGTAATCATCTAAGAAGATCAGCAGAGATAGTAGTTGGAGCATGCAGAGATTCAGTTGATGAAAACATTGTCAGACCGAAAAAAGGCTATATAGAAATTAGAAAAAATCCAAGAAATATAGAAACTCGGAAAACGCTGTCTGAGATGCAGGAGAAGGTGGAGCAGTTAGCTAAGATTGTACACAAATTGAGAGTAAATGAGAAGGAGAAAGAAGAAGATGTCAAACTCGATGCCAAAAAAGTTGAGGACTTTGATGAAGAAATTAGACTTAGCGCGGATGTAAACTGTCCTGTTGAGAGAATGTCATTCACCGTTCGTACGCCTGATCGCCGTTTGCTGCTAAAAGTATTCATAGGCAATACCAACTCAAGGTAACTTTTAGATCCTGCTTTCTAATTTCATTTTTTAACTGAGAAGAAGTTGGTAACTTTCAGAAGTTTTTCAGCAAGAAAGAATGTGCATTGTTTGTGCATGGTTATGAGATGTGCAATTTTTTCTACTGTATTCTACCATTTTATAAATGTTGATTTCTAAGCTCATAATGTCCCATTTGTATTGTTGAATATTATTGCTTGTAGAACTATTTTGGAGATGTTACGAGGGCGAAAAGTCCGTATCAATGAAGTTGTCATTTACGACTTTGCAATTGTTGTCAGTTTTTTTAAAATCTATCATTAGTAAAGTTAATTGAGAAAAGAGAAGGAATTCACCTTCCTACTTGTAAATTATACACTTTTTTCAGTCATTCAAAATGAGTTCTGTATTTACAGCTGTTTTAATTGATACAAAATATGGTTTTTATGTCTATTGTGTATTTGTATTACCTTTTTGAATCAGTTTTCTTTGTAGGGATGGAAATCTATTACTTTCAACTACTATGATAGACAACATTTGTTTCTTTGTTCTAGTGAGTTTTTTGAAATAATAAGAGTTTCAGTGCAAACCAATGGATACATTTGATATCTGGAAAGGAGAATTGGAGGAAAACCCAGCATTTGCTCGAGTAGATCGTTTTCAAATACTTCGGATGATATTATCACCTTGTTGTCAATATTATACTATACATGCTATAGCTTTGAGAGACTTTTTGGTGGAAAACTGGTTCCCATGGGAAATTTCCAAGAATTCACAAAATACATGATGAATTTCATTCATGTGCTCTTTTGCTTCAAAAACAATAGCACGTTTTTGCTAGCATTAAGATTTAATAAAGCGATACATTAGAGCATTTTAAATAAGCGGCAAATAAAAGTTTTTGAAAGTTCAATAGTGTTATTAAATTCGTCATTAGTTAACATTAAATTTTTGGCGTCATCATTTAATTGGCAACCAAACATTCAAATCACGTTCATATTCCATGGCTCGTGAAGATCGACAGGCATTTGCGATGGGTCGCTTATGCTTCAATAATCCATTTTATAACATGTTTACTCGAATACTTTCTGTGCAATTTTCAAGCTATTAAGCGAATGTTTTTTAGTATTTGAGAAGGAAAAACATAGTCCAACTATCGAAAAAATAAAACTTTTTCCTCCATTATAATGGATGATGTGTCCATTTTGAGTGAATTTATATGAATAAGTAAGTACCGTGTTTGAACTCTGTTGACATGTTAAGACTAATTAATAAAATAACATGGTGATAGTATGAATGCGGACTTGAGAGTATAATGAACTTATATGATAATGAAAGACAAAGATTCTTGGAGTAGCAATTTAGCTTCCAATGCCTTGTGCTGACTTCTAGGTCTCCTTATATATTTTGATGCTTTTAAAACTTGGGATCAAGCTTAATCGTATTATTTTGGTGAACTGCGAACTTCCGTATTCTCAGCTATGAATTTTTTGTCTTTTTCGACTACTATCAACATTTGCCTTTTTATATTTCTTTCTGTAAGTTCCTTTCATTTCATGTTTCTTTGTTATTCTGGAAATGTTCACAAACTATTTTTTTCTCATGTAATCTAACTAAAAGAAATTCTGCACGTTCCATACTTAAATTTAGAATTTTTATCTTATCAGAATTATTTCTAACAAAAATTTTAATTTTAACATTAGTTAAAGTCCTCCTCATGGCAATCAAAATAATACTGATTAATTTTTTAATTATTCAACTGCATACTTGGCGAGCTTAACAGTTGACTGCCTTTCTGTTATTTATAAAGTTCTATCACTTATTACTATTTCTTCTTTATATCAGAAGTTCACTTTAATGTTATTTACGATCATATTATTGGTTAAATTTCAATTACGTTTAAGTTCTCTAAAGCTAATTTTATATTTGTAGTTTGAAAATAAACTGAACTCAAGTCGATTCATTGTTTTTTGACTCATAAGAGAAAGTAATCATTAGTCCAAATTCTAGTGAAATGTTTCATATTTGGTTAATGATTATTAGGTTTATTCAGGTACTGCTCCCGCACTTTACTTCAGTTTTGAAGTAACGTAGACTTGCATCAGGTTGTACAGCTTAGATGTCAAATACCGAATACTGTAACGCTATCTGTATATAATAATAATTATTATTAAAGTACTTTAAAAGAAAAGAGTATGAACTTAAGCTTTATATAACAATAATTATATATAATATTTTATCAGTCAGAAAAGCGAAGTAATATAAATTGCAAGAAAAGTCAACTAGCTTCAAATGAAGTATGAAAGGCAAATGCACTGTCAAAAAATATGATAACGTTTGTTAAATTTATAATTGCTTGCAAAAGCAATATATAGTTGGAAACAGAACTGAACTGATAAACTTTTTTTAAGCAATAAGCGCAGTAGTGAGGAGCGTGTTCATGGCTTCCTTGTGAGACAAAAAAGATATTCACAATTCACTGCTTGGTTATACTTGTATTCCGATACAGAAAAATGAGTAATTTACTCACTGACAAGAAAACATTTAAGCTAATTTAACTTTATGCACACAGCAATACAAAATCCGGTATATTTACAATTGTTTGTAACTTTTGAACTTAGTATTATGTGCATTTATTTATATCAACATCCTTCAATGAAACTGTTCTTGACTTGATGAGTTGAGTTAAACAGTACGATTATTTTCAGTACGTAAAAATAGTAATGAATTTTGATAAATGAATTGCTGTATTACTGCACATCGTAAGCTACGTTAAACGTTGAATGAAATGTTATATTTAAAACAAGTTCAAAAGTTTTTTCTACAGTATTTCACTTCTCTTATACATCTGAAACATACTCTTCATCAAATAATACCTGTAATGCTAGAATTATTATACCTTGCAAACTTACTTACAAATTTGATCAGCACCAACTCAAACTTTCAAATTTTGGGATTGCTTCCGATTATAATCAATATGTAATTTATTGTATCACCAGGTTAATGGATTATCTTATTCCCAACGTCAAACACATGCGCAGCGACCAATTACAAAAATAATTCTCGATGCCCCAGATGCCTATATTATTCCAGATTTTCACAAGAGGTATTTAATCACATATTCAGCAGAGTAATCAATATTATTTCTTTCAATGAGCGTTGTTATTGACGATATTTACATTCATACTTTCAGAGTGTTTGATAAATTGAGCACTTTGGTATTTACTGGCTTCGACAAACGATCTCAAAGTTATTACTTAGCTAAGAAACGTGAAACAGAATATCTTAAATGACACTGATTCCAGCACATTTAACAATGATTCCTGCTTATCCACAAAAAGACATACTTACTAATTATGGTCATATTTTTAAATCATACTACATTGCGATTCAAATGTAAATATTTATACATAGTTTTCTAAACTATGAAATGATACTTGACGATTAAAATAAATAAATCTATATCATTTTTTCATTTCTGATTGCAAACGCTTGTGGAACATTACTCTTCCGTCAAGGAAATCAGTTTGAATTTACTCACTAAAATAAGGAAAATGTTAGTTATTAGAAACTGAAGCATTAATTTGACTTCCTAAAGGCTTAACTTTTTCCAAGCTTTTATACACTGAAAGAAACCTTTTACACGCATCAGAGCTTACTCTGAAAACTACATAACTTGTTTTTCAACTGAAATCAGCTGAAGTTACTGCAATGAAGTCGTGTGTATTTGTAGATAGATTATGTGAAATCAAGTCACTCATAATTATTACACTCTCTGACTGTTTATTTTAGTAGAAATATCATTTTTATATTGTCACAATTTGTAACGATATCTGAATGACTTTTGCAGCGGTTACAGTGTATACTTCAAATTTAAGCTTGAAAAATGCAAATAAGTGCTACAGCTTACAATTTTCACAATAAAAGAAATTGAAGAAATAAACAAAAACTCGATTCATAAATGTATTCATACAATGCAAATAATTTTAATGAAATTTCACACACCACACAAAGTTTAGCTCATTATACGCTTAATTTTATAATAATGTTCATTTACACGCAATATTAGAGTAATATTAGAATATTAGACGTACTATACGCAATATTAGACGTAATGATTGAAATTACATAAAGAAGTGTTTGACACCAATTTCGAATTCACATATTTATATTATAATTAGAAGCAAAAATTATCGTTCAGAGATAAGAAACAATTTGTGATAAATGCACAACACTAAATGAGTTAAACAAAGAAAGAAAGCGAAAAAATTTGCATAAAAATTACTCCAACTAATAGCGTTAATAATATCTGTCGATAGTTTGAATGAACAAATTTGTCTTGTAAACGTAAAACAAAGCTGCACTAAAATTATGATTAAATATAAATTATGAACGAAATGTTTTTAGAGAATTTAGTTTTGTTTTTAGAAAAAAAAGCAATCACGATGACTAATCAATAAATGATCTAGAGTTTTAATCAATAATTTATGCAATGCTTACTAAAGTCACAAAATGATCCGTTTTCACAAGTTAGCAAAATTTTATTGCTTTCAATTAATTTAGCAGACATTTGAAGTCTTTTTCATTAATTTTGTATCTGATAATGAGCAAACTGCCTTACACTGAAAAATAATGACCACACTAACTTAACAACGAACTTTTGCCATTAATGAATTGGCTACTGCTTTACTACTGCTTACTATTACCTCTCCAGTCACTGAAAAGAGTAACTCTGTGGATATGCCGATCCACTGCTTCTCACATGCTAATCTATAATTTTCAGCTGAACTGCTTACTACTATAATTAATTAGCTCATAGATAGACAGCAAATATAAGCAATCAACAACATAACTCTCAGATCTCAACTTGATAGAGTAATGTGAGTAAGTATTACACGGAAGCTAGCAGCTTAAGCAATATCATACTTTTTATCTCTTAACAACCCACACTATGCACTACTTTATTCAACCTTAAACTACCGAACTAATACTATGAGCTGTCATCTGAGGTGATCCAATGATTTGCACAATGTCTCCTCAACTCATGCCATGCTTGGCTCTCCATGCGATAGAGTGCTTTACTCACAGTATGCATCTCTTTTTTCACACACTGTCTTCTACTTCGTTTTTCTGTAACTCCTCTGTTAAACTTGTAACCTTTTAATGTCTGTACTCTCCTAAATTGAGGACATTATTGGCTCTCTACAAGCTGTGTAGCGAAAAGTTATCTCTGAACACAAAGGAACAACTTAAGAGGTGCCAGATGGATGAGAAGTTCTTCTGTGTATATGTTGAAGACAGGGTCGGCCTGATCTAGGTTACTGCTGTCAATTGCTTAGAAATATTCACAGATTTATGGGGGTATCTCTTTTTAATCTTCAGAACATGTCACTAGCATTATTGTGATTCCTAGTCGTGATTTGCACTGCTGCCTTCTTGCATTGTTTGCTTGTTTGTTTCTGTGTGCATGTGTGTGCGCGTGAGTAAGAGTGTGAGTGAGACGCTGAAGTAGTCTCCTTATGAATATTTATTGCATTGATGTCAATAATACAATTCTGATCATTAGCTCATAAATGTGTACTTTCCTGTAACATTCACGTAGTTTTCGACTTCAATATTTATCATTCAGTCTTATCTTTAAAGTGCTGTACTACTATAATATCAGTTCATATATATACGCATATTTCAGTAATTGATGAATATTAAAGCATTTTATAATTCAGCATTTTCACGTTTAGGAAGAATTATGTTAGGATAGATAAAACTGAGAAAGGTTGAGTGTAATCTTCTACTTGAATTCTTGAGTAATCTTTCAGTGTTTGCTCGTGATAGTGATTTTGATGAAAAAGGTAATGCTTCAAATGGGTGACAGAGTTCTCTAAAATATGTTGATTTATTGATTTTGTAAAACTACACCCTTTCAATAGAAATGTTAATTCACATAGTGTGTAACTGATCAATATATCATTGAATGTATACTTATCACATATATATCTTTTAATAGATACTTGGCAATGGCTGATGCAGGATTTTATCGCGGAACAAGCAGCGAGCAGGACAGTCGGTTCACTGATAAGGAACGTAAGCTGTTGAAGCAAATGCGTTTCGAAGAAGCACTCGATGAAAAGGTGACGCTTTTTAAAAAAATAGACAAATATTATAGTTATATCTTGTAGGAGTCATACGTGAAGGTATCGCTTCTATTAATTATCGGCATCCATTTGACTGTCTACATTTCACTTGATGGAAACCAAGTACTAGAAATCGTGCTTTTGCTTCATACTTTGTATCTAATCAATACATCGAAAAATCACGTTGTTTTTTAATCTTCTCCATAAGTAACACGATAAACTATGAACAAAACAAGTAAAGAGCATAGAAAATATTATGCTTTATTTCTTTATTAGTGTAAATAGGCATCTTTGATTGTTTGTAAACTAATGTTCATATTTTGAAGATATCGTTGAGTGAATTTGTGAGGTTAAGATCTGCATGGATCGAGTAAACTTGGATGTACTCAAGCCCTGGATTACTGCTAAATTAAACGAAATATTGGGATTAGAAGACGATGTCGTTATAGAATATGTATTTAGTCAGCTGGAAGAGAAGTCGTTAAATCCGAAAGTAATGCAGATTAATTTGACTGGTTTTCTTAATGCTCGTCGAGCACGAGAATTCATGGGTACGATAAAGATTTTTTTTTTTTGAGTATACTGTTTTGTTAACATTCATTTTATTTTAACGTGTATATGATAAAATTGTAGGTGAACTGTGGAATATGTTACTTGAAGCTCAAAACAATGAAAATGGCATTCCCACGTCTCTTGTAGAGAAGAAAATGAAGGAAATACAAGAAAAGGTGTTTCTTCATCTTATCTATTGGTTTATTTTTAAAGAATCAAAACAAGCTTCTTTGCTAAAATTTTTAATTACTTAATTGCACGATCGGAGGTTTTATTCGTCATTATATCGATTTAAGTCTGTTAAAATATCGAATTCTGCAGCCCCGCCGACAATTTATAGTTTTTTTCTGATTGCAACTTATGTTTGCTAGTCTTTTTGAAGTTGCCATAATCATGAAACTGCAGAATTGTATTATCTTTCTTTGACTTTGCAGTCATTTGTTATGCATTTAGACGAGAAATGTCACCGTTTCATCATCGAATGGTGTTGCGGCTGAAGTTGCTGGATCAGATTGGAAAAATCGGTATGATTCCTTGACTGGTGGACGATATGGCCATAAAGAAAGCAAGAATGGTGAAGGAGAGCGAAGCAATAAGGATGACGAACGACATAGAAGTCGTCGGGACAATGATCGGGAGATAGACAGAAGCAGAGAAGGTGGTCGCTCAAAGGAAGATGATAGTAAAATTTTTCTCTATTAAATCTGTATAAATAGCTCGCGTTTGTGTCCTTGATAGTTTAGAACTCAAAAAAATGTGAAGGACAGATTTTTTGACACTATATTTGTTTGAAAATTGCTAATTTGATCAGTTTAATATTGTGACTCAGTCTGCTTTTATTTCACTCTATTTATCCAAGTTTGCAGACAGTGATGAAATTTTCCCCACACTGATCAAATAATGATAAGCTTGTGTATACGACTTTTCGTACAGTGGTAAGTTTCAAAAAACAAATAAGATCGTGCTTCTTAGCAAGTACCAGATTTGAGTCTAGTGCTTCATATTTCTCGGGGAGTTATGCATATATAATAGTTTTTATGAGATTACGTGCTACTTCAAAGTAAATGAATTTTAATCTACGACAGGAGCTGAAAAGAAGCGTGGTGACGACAAGCACGACAAATTAAGGTCACGTAGCCGATCTCCTACGCGGCGGCACTTCCATGAAGAACGGACGGAAAGAAGAAAAGAACGACATCGTTCTCCAAATAGGTATATGTAAAGCACTTTCTGTAACTTTGAATTTCTAAAATTAATTGCATTTTCGAAAGTGTTAAATAGAGTTTACCGTATGTAGTTCAAAAGTCAAAATTCTGTGTCCCTCGAACTCATTAGTGCTGTTTATTTCATTTTTATCAGAAGAAAAAATGTGTACATAAATTAAAATACTTGATTCCAGATCTCCACCACGTCGGAAATTCACGGAAAGGAAAGATGAGTCTCGGAAACGTAGCCGAAGCACTGAACGTCGTAAAAGGTATTTTCTCAACATTTGACTGTCCCATATGCAATAATCGTCTCAAACATGTCTCCTTTTTCTTTTTTATGACTAAATTCCGAAACTGTTTGAAGACGTTATAAGAGCAAAGCAGTATAGGAGATCGTTTTTTATTGCAAAAATAATTTTCACATGTCCAGAAGGTCTTGCTATTTATGAAGTGAATTCATTGAATGTAATTTTGAACGTTTTAAGTCTACAAAGTATTTCGTGTACATTTCATCATTAACATTGAAAGCAGTTCTTTAGAGCACTGTAATTATGTGTAATTATTGTATTTAGTTTTCTTGATAATTTGCCTATAATGACTTAATATTTTCAGAAAACGATCCACATCAGCTGACAATGAGCACGATCGACAGCGGTAGATTTGTTTTTTTACTTTGCTTTTTTTTTCTCACGTTTTATGGCCATTTAATTTCGTATATCTACAAAATTAGTAACTAGAATTTTTAGAAAAAAGAAAAAAAAGCATTCGAAGAAGCATGCCAGTGATTCAGATTCTGATCATGCAAAAAGACGAAAGAGACATAAGAGAGATAAGAAACGTAGAAAGCACCACAGCTCTGATTCCGACTAAGTTTTTGTTAGTTTTTCGAAGAAAAATAATCACGATGAATTAATAATGTTTATTTCTGTTATTTAATATTCATGCTTTGGATTGTATCCGAAAATCATGTTTATGAATATAATATTTTTAACAGACTTATTATGAAACTGTTGTACATGTCTTCAAATCGAGCAGTTAAACAGTCTATCGTGTTTTGGTTGAATAGCAATAATTTGTAACGACAAAATGAGAAACTGATTCATGAATCATTTATAGTAACATGTACATTTAATTACGGAAGAAAGAATCGCATAGAGTATTGGAATAACTAAACATTTGTTCTGGCATCTCGAACTTCAGATGGAACTGTAATTTCTATGCTCGGCAAATCGTTTTTAGTTAATTTTACCTGACAACCAAGACGTGAATAATCTGTCAGATCAGGTGCAAGATCTAATAAATCTATCTCATCCTCGGTAGGCGGGGGCAATCTGAAAAAAATCAGTGAAGGTACGTTTTTCATATCTAAGTTGGGTTTGTAAGCTAGTAGTAAGATGGTGCAAGCCGTCTTTCGGTCACTTAAATCGTTAGCCGAGCGGAATTCATACAGATGCATCAGAAGTCTCCGTGGATACTTAAGATTTGAGTTGCCTTAGCATTTTCTGTGTCAAATACTCAGAATATATTTAGCACTACAAAGAGGAACCTTTTGTAGTGTTCTGGTTCAAGAATGACGTGACACGTACAACAAGCTAAAACGCCTTCACAAGCTCCAAATCCGTCGATGGGTAGATCAGCATTTATTGCTACATCGTACAGCGATTCTCCCAATTCACCCGTTGCCTCTAACATCTTCCTTCCGTTTTTGAAACGAACTTTAACTTTACTGCAATTACTTCAACAACATCAAAAAGTATTCCGAAAGGGTGTTTACTGCTCAGATATTAGGTTATCACCATAAGTGGTAGATTTTTTTCGAGTTTTTATTCATATTTTATGCAAGCCCAGTCTACTTCAATAAGTATAACAAACGATATAGTTGCGAAACCATGCTTTGAAAGCGAAGCCTGCGGGCGAACACAGAACAGCCGAGCACAGAGTCGCGCGATCATTAATAGAGACCAATTAGCGTGCTGAAACATTTTTCTAAGTTTAGACATCAAAATTTAAATTGGAAATAGTTCAGGACTAGGAGTTGTAAGTGTATGCAAGTTTCCTAACAAGACAGGGCCGGTATGGTATTTTTCAGGAATCACGTCCATGATTTATAAAGACATGCAAGAGTTTCACTAATATAATACTTAATAGAATTACACTTGGTTTATCAAGAAATATATATCGGTTAAATACACTGCAATCAACTATTGCCAAGAACCTTTCCAAATCACCGATCAGTAGCCAACCTTGCTTAACTAAAAATGGAATGCACACAAATATGGAAAGTTTGCACTGATTAATAATTTATTTGGTACAACTACGTCGCTTGACTTAATCATGAGTAGTTCACTCACATCTAACAACAATAACTCGCAATTTTGAAATGAAAAAGGCTGTAAGAGCACTAAAAGTGATAGCGGCAATTCTTGATAACGCCAGTATTTGAACGAAATTCTGATAGTAACGTACGTCAAATGATAAAGTCAGCTGTCAATAGCTTTAGCCCTCTTCTTTGGCAGTTCGACGAAGTGTTCATTAAGTTTTCAGTAGGATAATAAGCACTAAAAAAACTATCACTCGCAATACAGAAAAAATTGTGGATCCATTTAGTTTCAAAAATGATTCACACTCATTGATTTTATGAACATCAGCTAAAATGAGATATTCTACATTATCATAGACAATAGCTTGCTTTTAATATCACGTACTAAGGTTGCATGAAATGTTCAAAGTGCACATCAAAAAGTAGTCATAAAGTGTAATTTCTTTTGCTAGAAGATGCCTTCCAGTATTCAGTAAATAAACTTTGATCTATATTCATGTTTCACTGCAGCAGTAATTTAAAAAATTAACACTGATGATTTCAAAAGTACTTCAAAATCTTTATGAGACAAAAATAGAGTTCACAAGAACCCTTTCTTCAGTTAATTCCACAAAGAATAAAAAATTATCTTGAAAATGAAGCAATTGCTCTTGTAATCTCACCTTATAAGGATGATGATTGACAAGGCTGCCACAAGATTTCTTCTTTTCTAGAACAAAGTATTCATATCAACTTCAGTGCAACTTCCTTTCGTCAATATCACAAAAATAATCGTCACTATCCGGACGGTTTTTACCGTTTACTGATCTGAAAAACCATTACTTCCGACTGGTTTTATTTCTTTTACATTTGGCATGCAGCGTAAAAACCCACTTAACTGCAAACTGCAAATATCATCTCTCTGTTGATAATATTACAAGCACAAATCACAAAGAAGCAATCCCTGCAAAACTCCTCCAGCACACCAAATCACATTTCTTTCGCCATTAGAAATAAATTACACGAAAACAAGCAATTACTTGATAATAAAAGACAAAATGTAATCAAACGCTTGCTTCTGTAAGATTTATGTGGAGTAGTCCGGATCAATAACGATAGAATTTCACTATGTACTTACGAGACGATCACGTTTGCTGTTAACTGACATTATCAGAAGCAAAAGCAGCAGTATTTAGCCACTAACTTTACATCAGCTAGTATTTCATGATGAATACACAAACTTCTTATCGGCCAATGCTGACAAGACTCTAATAGAGAAGATTAACAACTAAAAAAATAAAGTGAATGAGACTCATTTATTTAAAGACAGTGTATGAGACATTTACTTATCACAACACTTCTATGATACTTTCAAAATAAAAAAGGCTAGCAAACACGCGTTTCATACGTCACGAGATTTCCCGGGAACAGATGATGACCAAAGCATGTCATTTTTCTTTTTATATTATTAATTCATACATCTCATGCACACCATACTTGCAAAAAAACGAGTGGAGTGAATTAAGTATGAGTAATAGACCAATTTGGATGACATATGTTAATAACTACTACTTCCATCCCATTGTCAAACAAGTAGGCGACTTCTTGTCATATCACTTCAAATTCTTATAATTTTCAGAAGCACAAAACCTTCTATAGTGGAAACAACGATCGTGAAATTGCTCATTAATTAGAACGAATTAGATCGTGTAATTGACTCAAATCAATCAACATGAGCTGAGGCGTTCAAAATTGACTGACGTTAAGAACTACTTTGTAATGAATACATATAAAAATCTGCGAAAACATACAAGTATTCCAGGACGTATTTCCAAGAATTAAAAAAAATCTTTTATTAGAAAAGCATCAGATTATTTTTATTATAATCACATATGAAATTGGTCCGTTGCTGATCATAGCTGACGGACAGAGTAGGGAATGAAGACATTTATTGGGCCATAATGGGCAAGGTAACTTCGCCAGTGGGAGGACCTTCTTTGAACAGAGCTGCAGCGTCACAAGCATCTGGAGCAGCTTCTTTGAACTGAATCACAAACTTGTCTTCTTTAGGTGGCCCAGCAGTACGAGTTATTTCCAGTGGAGCTGAAGCTCCCGCCTCAACAAATCCATATACCGGCTTCAAGCGATAATCATTGTTGTTTGTCGATTTCACCTCCAAATTATCAATTTTTCCAAATATTCAATTTATATAAAATTCAAAAAAAGAAAATTATGTGATCTCAGAAAATCTAGGAAACTCATAAATTTTTTGATACTACAGAAAAACTGTGGTAGTACCTTGAAAGCTAAGCGTACACCACATGGGTTGGCCACTTGATGGACAGATTGTCCACCTGAAGCAGGAACTTGAGCTGCTGGTGGGTCGATATTAAGAGTTGGTGGAACGGCTGATGGAGCACCCTCTGGAGCACCTTCTGGAGCGTCACCCATTATGTCAGGTTAAATGCCCTGCAATTTTTTCTCAAAACTCTCAAGGAGTCACATACCATACACCCTGGTTTGGACTTGTTCTTCACACTATTACCGGTTAATTAGCCCAAATCTTTCAAAATACCACCTTATTCCTTAGGCCACTCCCCCCTCCAACCTTTTGCAGTTAGCCAACCCAAAATCTAAGTAGCCAAAACAACAACCTTTGTGCGTCGTCAACCAAAGAAATAGTGATTCTCGAATGAAAAACACATCTTATATATTCCTGAAAATGACAATAATTAGGCAAATTTATCAATGCAAAATATTAGTTTTAGCATTTATGCAAAGTAGTGTCTAAAAAAATGACTATGCAAATACGAAGAGTCATTTGATGCATTTATAAATTTATACTACAATGACATTTACCATGGTGCTTACAACAAAAGATTTGGATTCGTTTCACTTACACTGCTGTTGAGAATAATAAAAATGAATTTACTTACTTGAAAATTTGACAGCACCATAATAATCTAATGTTGCGGTAAAGTCACTCGAAAAGTTAAACTAGAAGCTAGCGCTCTACTACATCCGCTCATTATTCTCGACAATACAATACATGCACTTTTGTTTCAAATATTCAAGCCAAACCTGCAACATGCTGACAATTTTCTGAGTACACGTTAATAAATACAAATTTCTGAAAGTGATAAAAAATAAATTATCCTAAATTTGTATAATGAATGCCCAAAATTTATTGAATAATAAGTGAATAAGTAACTACTTATCTAATTTCATGCAAAAAACAAGATGCCTATTTGAGCGTGTGGAAGAAAATGATTTAAAATAACTTTTCAAGACTTCGGATTGACTAACCCGTGCAAATTACGTGAGTATGGCTTTCAGATGCAATAAGCAAAAAACTCAAGAACATAATTACAATAACCCTAAGTGAACACATACATACGTCTATTTCAAACAATAAATTAAACTACAACTTTCTCCTTAACAAACTCTTCCTCTAACTATAAAAACACGAACTACTTAACGTCGGAAAATGGACACTCACTGTGCGATGATCACTTTAACGTGAATCTGTGCACCAGAGGTCCTCAACAACAGCTCGATCACTAATGTTGAGGAATATAGGCTACAAAAATAAGGATAAGTTAACAGTTTGGTCTTCATTCCGTTATCATCGCAAATCTTGTAATTCTCTAGACCTCTCCAAATTCCACACTATTATCCCTGGATCGTTTACCTACAAGATGAATGAGAGAAACCGGGAAATTACTGCTAAATCATTAAGGTAAATGATTAATTGAACTTATAAAAGTTTTCATAACAGTGTCGTTCTTTATATCGTTTTTCTCACGACGAGAATCTATCAAAGTCAAATAGTGCTACTAATCACTTACAGTTGTTAATAATTGCTAATGCTTGTGTGAAGCTTTTTTTTTTAAAAACACGTGTGATTTGCGTGTATTATGCAGATGGAAGATTACGAGAAGATTTCGGTGGTTGGACGTGGAGCGCATGGCGTTTGTTGGCTTTGTCGGCGAAAAGATGATGTATATCGACAGAAAGTGATTATCAAGACAGTGGCATTAGAAGGACTCACACAGCAAGAACAGGACGCCATTTTTGGTTTGTCATTTCTCCTTTTAGATCTTGCTATACTTAATTGATTGCTGGTACCACCACTTTTCCTACAGCTAATAATATGCAAATTTTTTCGCATTGACAATATTCACTTGTATTATTAAGTAAATAGTGAGTGCATATTTATCCTCCCAAGCTATATATATTCATATTCGTTAAAATATTCGTTCTTAATTAATAGAATATTGATTGTTTGTTAAAATATTCGTTCTTAATTAATAGAATATTGATTGTTTCAGGTGAAGTGACTTTGCTTAAGCGTCTTCATCATCCTCATATCATAGGGTATTACGAATCATTTAAGGTTATTTTAGCATTTCATGCATAAAATTTCATTATCTGTGCATGAATAAAAAATGTTTCATTAATTTGTATTGGTGTATAGTTTGACATTATTTATGTCTTATATAAATATAAACTTATTCATTGATTTCTGTTGCAGACAGAGAATGCATTTTCAATAGTGATGCAGTATGCTGAAGGTGGAACAATGGATAAAATGATATCGGACCAAAAAGGAATTAAATTTGATGAAAATGCGGTGTTAAATTACTTCACACAAGTATATTTTTGGAAAATGTTTAGAAATTAAAAAATTAAACTTTATGTACTTTTACGGTAAAATTTTTCTGCAGTTCACAGAAACACTGAAATCTCTTTATAGAAGGTGATTTTGCTAAGCATTTCAGTGTATTTTTAAATAGTTTTTCATCTTGGCATGTATTAATTTGAAAAGTTATAATTTTTGCGAAAAAAAAGTCTTTTTTTGAGAAAATTATCGAAATTCAAGAATTCTGTGTGCTTTTCTTGTTTATTTTCATTTTACTAATTAAGTAAAATTTGAAATTTTACAAATGAGCAGTATTATTTTCAGGTTGCAATTGGCCTTGAATATATGCACTCGAAGCAAATACTCCATCGAGACTTAAAAACACAAAATATTTTACTAAATAAAAAACGTACTATCGTCAAATTAAGTGATTTTGGAATCAGTAAAGAACTTTCAACGAGAAGTTTGGCTTCAACTATCATTGGAACACCTAATTATCTTTCTCCAGAAATTTGCGAAGGTATCCTCAGTTTTGATTATTCTAAATATACTGCTTCCTTTATTATATTATAGTTTTGAATAATGTATTCAGTTTTTGTTTTTGAAATGTTACAATTACTATTCTTTACATTTTGTTCATTTCTTTAAAATTATCTAGCGTGATCATATGTAATAGTGAATTGAGGAAGAGCTTACAATCAGAAAAGCGATTTATGGGCTTTGGGATGCGTATTATATGAACTTGCTGAATTGAAACGGGCATTTGACGGTGAAAATTTGCCTTCAATTGTTATGAAAATAACGAAGGTATGTAATGTGTACAGACAAAGTGTTTCTTGTTGTTTTCGTGCATGCGACGTAAATTATCCAAGTAATTCAAAATAAATTGGTAAGATTTTAGGGCAAACATAATCCAATCTCCGAACATTGGAGCAGGGATTTGAAAGAGTTGATTAATTCTATTTTGGATGTTAATGAAAACAAAAGACCTCTTCTGAAAGGTTGTGTCATGCAAATTGTGTATAAATGTAGTTCAATATTATTTATTCGAACACATGGTTCTTCAGCACGAAAAATTTTTTTTTGCTTTGGTATTCGAATATATTACTTTTCATAAACTGTTGTTCAGCTGGCATGCAAATTTACATCATTCAAACATTTGCAGCGGATTTGTAGACATTAAAAAATCAACTTGAAATATTTTTCAAAAATTTTTCGAAGTTCAATTTTCTTGTTTAATTTTCAGAAATTCTCACATGTCCACTCATTTTACCTGTATGTCTCTCAATCAACTTAGATCTTGGAGCTTTACCATCTTCACCACTAAAGAAAACACGTGAAGTGGCTTTCGCTAGTAACAGTGTATTACGTACACAACCTACGGCAGTAAAATCTGGAGTTTATTAAACATATCGTAGCAATTGAAATATCCACATCATGTACATTATATATTATCAAAACTTTATTTCGCTTGAAAACCACTTATTAATATATTATTCGTGATTTAATTCGTACGTTTTAAGCGTTTTAAAACTCTTTATTATTCATCAATTTTAAATATACTTGTACAAGTTAGTTATTAAATCATTCACTTGTTTAGATACAATTGATATCAAAAATCGAAAACTTTTAAATTTAATCATTTTTTCCGCAGATTACAAAGTTTCATACCATACTGAATTTGTGATTTGTAAGAGTTGCTTCAAGTCATGTTCTGAATGTTCAAAAATTAGTTTGCTAGTATTACTTTACTAGTTATTATTGTATTAAACGTGCCAGTTCTTTACTCAAGGGATAAAATTATAGTTAACAGCAATAGATGTTCAAAATTTATATGAAAAAATAGTCTCTTAAAATTATTGAATTACTAACTGAAAATAAATTTTGTTCAGAATTTCGTTGCCATGCATGTTAAAACGGGAAATTTATCAAATTTTATATTTTAGAGTTTCGATCACTTCATAAGCGAGTAAGATTCCGGATGAAATCATAGATGTGTAATCAGCCAGATGGTAAAACGTAGAATGTATCTCTTTTAATGTAAAATGCCCTAATATAGCCAGCAAGAAGCTTCCCATGCATGCTGCAAATTATCGTATAGTCTGTATTTTTTAAGTTTGGGATTAATTGTGTCGGAGTTTTCTTTTTTTGCATAAGTCACTTTAAGAATCAGTTTTTACGTTGTGAAAATTGGTTTAAATCTGAAAATTTTTAGACAAGAAAAAAGGAACAAAAAACTGTATTTAAATGGTGATTTTATGAGCTTGACTAGGTTTTTATTTTTGTAGATGCCGAAAAATTACTTAAGTTTCTTATCAAAGTTGTAAGTAGCAATTATTTTACAATCGAAATGCATACAACTGTATTTATCTACGAGCAGAAATTTTAAGCTAACCGAATCCGTATCTGGCTTTCATATTCCAATCATTAACACTTATCATTTGACCCAAATCAAATCGTCCATCTATGTTATAATAATGTCGATACAATGTATGACATAAATTATACAAATGGATGCTCAAAGGAACCACAAAGTACATGCCAATTCGATCTGATTCCATAAAAAGCACCACTGACTACAACAGTCTACTACTTATTTTCAATTCTTATTCGTTTGTTAACTTTTGTAATTTCCATTAGTTCAGTTATTGTCTGTTAGCTTGCTAAATGTTCTTTCTAAAGCAGACAAAAATGAGTGTAATCAACTTGAGCCTTGTACTGGTAGAAAAAAGTGGTAATAAAGTACAGTAATTTGATTGAAATGCTCTGTGAAAGGAAATACTGTCTGATTGTAACCTCAATGACCAGAGCGACACACTGAATAATACGGCACTGGTGCAAAATTTCAGGATATGAAAAACCCATTGACTCAAAGTGCGGCTAAATATTGATAACTGTGATTAGCATGGAATGCGTAAATATAAACGTAACATTTATTATAAGATTAGCTGTTTCTGCAATCAGCTTCTCTACGAGCATATTCTGCTTCTTGAAGTCAAAAAAAAAATAAATACTGGCTAAGAATAAGTACTGCAACCGCTAGACGAATAGATAATTGCTGACAATAGGTGATGGTGGCGCAGATGCAAACTCAGATATAAATTTTTTAGCTCTAATCAACATATTATTTCTTATTTTTGCATATTGTATCAGTTTTTTTGGTCTGAAGTAGTGCTTCAATTCAGAATGCAAAGTTAATTATTTCTATTTCTTGAATCCACCGCAAATTTTATCAGTGATAAATGTCACATGGTAGTGACAAATCTTCTTGCAGTGAAGATGAAAATTTACAAAAATTATCTATAATTACTCATTAAAAAAATGGTAACTACTGAATTTTAGTAATGGATAAAAGTTAAGTTAATTCTTGCAATTTATGCGATTTCCTTTCGATCAATAACTTACGACAGTAATTTTTGTAAATTTTATCCATTACTACTTCAGACCGAAAAACTTTAGATGATTTAGCGAATAATTTACAACAGTAAATTATTGATCGAAAGGAAATAAAACAATTCAAGATTGGTAATAAATTTATTATACGAATCAATGACGAGTTTGTTCAGTTCTCAAGAAAGTTTTTCGCTATGAAAAAATGAATTATGGAATGCAATTCAGAATTATCAAATGATATTCGAAATTATCAGGTGAAATCCATTCTATCTCAAGTTTCTCATTATATCAAGTAATTCATTACAGGCAAATTTCGGTATGCAATTTTGTAAATCGATTGATTGATTGTGAATTAATGATTTTGGTTGGATTGATATTATAATAATTTGCGTATTCGAACATAGATCCTTCAATCAATCGATTAGTTCACTTATATCAATCGATTAGTCCACTTTATACTTAAATAAATTGTATTGATATTTTGCGCGGTCGAATATTTCAAATTTACTATTGATTGAATTGTATGTATTTGTAGAAATTTCAGCAAATCAATAAATCGTCTAAAAGCAAACAGAATATTCTTGAGGAATTTAGTTGTAATAAAATGCATTGCAAAAAATATTACAAAAAATAGTATCTTACAAAGTTTATTAAAGAAATATTAAAAAATATTTGTACTAAAAATTTTCACGGAAAACTCTTTGCAAAAATACTCTTGCTAAATACTACTTTACTTGCATATCACGCTGAATATATGAAGCGTCACTTTGTTTCAAATTAAACGCACTAAACTGAAGTTTATTCTACACGTATACTATACACGTATGCATACACTATTAGAGGAAATTCACGAAGACTTATGAAAATTATGAGCTATTATTAAAAATGAGCGGAATCATTGCTATTCATTCATTGTTCAATATGGCTTCCACTGTACAATAATCCATCATTATTATCTTGCGTCATTGATCTAGCAAGTTTGACAATTTTAGTCGATAACTAAAATAATTTTCAATATACACACATAAACATTTTATGTTAATTTACACACTGTATTTTTTTGCATAGTTTATGTTTATTTGCATATTTTCTTCTGTACAATTTATAATTCAAATAAGCAATTCTGCAATTAATCTTCAGAAAAGTTTGAAATATTAAGAAATAATTGTAATTATTTCACTAGTAATTACCAAATGTAAAATGTATAGTACAAAACTGAAATTATATCTAGCCGACCCATACAGCTTAATTACTTGTACATAAGTTATAAGCTTAATTTATTCTTGTAATTAATAAGAAAGTTTGACCTTTGTTTGCAATGATAACTTACAAGTTTGAAACGTATAACTCTATAAATGGGCATTTATATTTTTGCTAAAGCTTTTATTTATAAAACAATAAGTAATTGGATTTGTACACGCACTTATATGTTTGAGCAACGTTGTATACGTAACAGCATGCTATCACACAATTGAACCTAAAATCAGCACCTGAATTCATTTTCACCAGAGCACTGCTTTGAGTGGTGAACAAAAATGAATTTTTTATAAAAATTTAATGAAATTAACCTAAGTTTAGGGAAATTTATTAAATACAGTAAGGTTTTTTATTTTTAAATAAAATTTTTCAAACATTTTTAACTAAAAATTATACTTTGCTAAGTCTTAACTCTATTATTTACTAAAATTTTATCACAGTATGTTATCTGAACTGCTCTGACCTCATATCACAGTATATTATCTGAACTGCTCTGACCTCATATCACAATATGTTATCTGAACTGCTCTGACCTCTTATCACAATGTGTTATCTGAACTAATTACAAATTAAACATAACTTTTAAAGAATACAGTTTTTTTAGAATACCTGAAAAAGATCAAATATTAAAACAATAATCCACCAAATAAAACTTGGAGTCCAACACACTACGAGGGCAAATACATTGATATTTAACATTCGACTTACACGTTCTGTTGCTTCAGTTATTTTCTTCTGAATTAAATCTGTATTAAAATGCAAAACTATCCTTACGTATGGTACGTGGAATATTTTTTATCTCAATTGTATTTTATAAGTACTTTAGGGCCAAAAATTTAAATTCATTCCTTTTTTGAAATTTGAAATTTTATACTCTATATTTTGATATATTCCTTATAATTTCATTCAGTTTTATCATCTTTTTGCTTTTATGAAATAAGCAGAAATATAAAATTTAATAAAATAAAAAACATAAATTTTTCCAAAATTTCTTCTACTTTTTTTTGAAATTTATTGAAAACTAATTAAGCTATTCATCCATTGCTTAATTAGTTTTTGAAAACAATAAGTAAGTTTTTAAAAGCTTATTTATTTTTGCTGAATTTATATGTGCATACATATAAGCAATTAATTACTAAAACAAATTAATTACTTAAAACTTTGTGATAGTTGACTAAATGAATAGATAATTTATATTTATATGCATTTATTAATATACATAAAAGAGAAGTAACAGAATAACAAATTAGAACAAAAATGAAAAATGTGCTTTATATAATGTTATTCGTTTATTTTTATTATAAAATTAGTAAATAAAAAAGAATAATTTAGTGTAGAGTGACTAATTCGTTCACTCAATTATTACAGAATTCAAAAAGTAAAAGGCAAAAATATCTTTTAATTTGTAAATACTTGAAAATTGCTATCAAAAATTAATATAATTTTATTAAAATTGAAATTATAAAATGAAATTTAACCTAAAAGAAAATATTTTTAAATGTTTGAAACTTAAAAGTCACACAAATTCAAAAAAAAGGTTTTGTGTGTGTGCTAAGAAGTTTAAAAGTAAGTTTCTCGTCAACAGAATATTTTCACAGAAAACAAAATCAGACATCAGCTCAGTTAGACGATAAGAGTTATTCGTTTGGATGTGACAGTCATTTTGAATAAATTTTTTTAACCTAAAAAGCTAAAATTAAACTGATAAAAACTATAATTTTCATTTTTATTTGAAAAAAAACCAAAAAAAATTTTTTTTTCACAATAATAATTGCTATCAATTTTTTAATATGTCCTCTGCCCTTTTGAAAATTTTTCAGAAATTGAAAAAATTCGAGAATTGTTCAAAAAAATATTTGTAATTTTATTTTTGATTTTTCAGATGACGTATTAGTTATTAATACTAAAAGGCAAATGCAATATTTATATGTATCAAAAAAGCCAAAAATTCTAGAAGTTTGTTTTTTTTAATTAATAAAAATTAATGATAGAATTGTTTCATTCATATAAAGTTAATTTGTAAGACTTGATGATTCTTATCTAAAATTTTAAAAATAATTTCAAATGGCTAATTCAAATTCTACCAACACACACTATAATATTAAAAGTAAAAATAGTTATAAAATCTGTCATTTATTTGCAATTAAAATTATTTGAGTAATTAAATTCCAGTACTATCACCGATACTATTAATACTTATATTATTTCAAGTAAATGTATGAGCTAAAAAGATTCAAAGTTTGCAATTTAAGTTGAAGTAATGCATTTGCGCTATTTTTTGGAATGCAAAAATAATATTAATTAATTCTAAAATAGCAATGATTTGAAATCGAATTAAAACTAAGCAAAATATTTTAATTTTAACCAAAAAAACAATGTTGTTTTTGCAGTTGTTTTTTTTGTTATTATATATTCATGAATCTTTCTAATATAAGATTGTTCTCGAACAAAACTGCTTTTTTTAAGATCTGAAATATTTATTGGAAAATGCTTAATTTCATGAAAGTTACAGTGAATTCTCATGAAGGAAAGGAAAGGGCTTGGCTATTTGAAACCGATTATTATTATTACTATCACTTTTATTCATTTTTTAAAGCTAATAATAATTATTATTATGATAATAATGACAATAATTAACCTCCCAGACTATAATAATTATTATTATCATTATTGCCATTACTATCTTCAAATATAATAGTTGTTATTAATACTATTTATGTCATCGCTGTTTTTCTGTTCAATTGAAATGAATTCGAGCTGATTTGATCAGTATTTAGCATTCATTTTTTCATATTTTGTAACTGAAGGTTTTAAATCTTGCACAACATTCAAAAATTACACTTTTTAAAAAAATTATAGGAGTTTAATAAATTGAATTTTGAACTTTGACCTTCAACCTGACAGCTAATCTCGGGATTATTATATATTTTCGCATAACTGCGTATCTATATTCAACTCATAAGAAGTCACACTGAATCATTATCTGTTTTGACCGGACTTCACTGAATTCATTAGCCTCCCAGCACAATGAAAAAAAACTTCCTTTGCTCTCTACATCCTACAAAAGTATGCGTGAGTAGCACGTGCGCCACCACTTGAGTTTCCGTCTTACTCATACGTGTACTTTACTCAAAGTGCCGACATGTCATCTGCAATACCTTTTAAAAAACAAAGTTGAGCTTTACTATCGCACTTTTATCTAATTTAGAAGACAAACAATACTTGGCATATCTAATAAATACTAAAGCATTGCTGATGCAACCATTGTAATTATATGACTAATAACAATCAGAATTAAGATTCACTGTTACTACTTTTCTAGCATATTACTATGATTAATTTCATATCCTAATTAATAGTTGATGTGATACTTGCTAGTAACTTATATTCAAAACACATAAACAATTCCCTTTATTCTAGCTTATATCATAGCCTGTCTTCAATTTAACAAGTTATTAATTAATCTTAATATGATTCACAGGCAAACTCAAAAAATATATATATCAAAAACAATATGACGAATTACACAAACTTGCTTGCTCCTCTTATGCACCGTTGTATATTACGTGTGATTCTATCATGTTATAGTAGATTAAAACTATTTCTTCTAAATTTTTGATCAATTTGCAAATTGCACTCGGAAATTGTCTAAATAATTAGTACTTGACTAATCCTAGCATTTGCGTCCAATAAGTCATTAACTCATCCAAACAGACTTCTTGACTTTTATTTTAATTTTTGATCCAAGGCATAAGAAGATAAGTTCAAGAAACAATATGAGTAGACAAAGCAAACAAATTTGCATGAATCAATATCATTCTAAGCTTCACAAACAATATGTTTCCGTTATGTACATAAAATGATCAACTACATCACTTAATTTTAATTTACCTGATTTGGAAATAATTTATTACTAGCCACTAGAAATGGTAATTTCATGTATTTCCTAGAGCACTGCTGAACCCGAGTGATTGTAAACTTTTGATCATTAATAACATAAATATCTTACATAAAAGAAATTTTATAAACATCTTTGTTTTTAGATTAAGCACTTGAAATCTAGAGTTAAATTACAATCAGATAATAAAATTATTCCAACCTTGTCTTCATCTGTAATAAAGATCTATAGTTCTATTCGGAACTGATCTTTTGACACATTTCTCTAATACTATACCCTATTAAAACAACTACATATTTCAAGCACTGACAAAGTGATAGAATATACAATGAAAACACTTAACTTTGCAAAATATGAACAAATATGTTCGTTCCAATCTTAACTATCCATTATTTTTACAGTATTAGACTTGTTCACTTCAACACTTTCAGATCTAATCCCTTCCAAGTCATTTTCCCCCTTCACAGCAGAACTTGCATTTCTGACTATAGTAGGCCGATTTTCTGGGTCGAATGGATCGGGTAAAACAAGATCTATAAGAATATTAACAAAAATAATATGTAGTTAGACAAATCAAATTCCATATAGAAGCATAATTTGTCAGTAAATAAAAAATAAACATGATAAAATTACAAAATATCACTTTTAATGAGCCATTTGCATGTTGCTAAAAAAAGCCTAACCATTTTTATTCATTGAATAATCTGTACAGAACCAGAGAAAAGTTTTCTTAAAGTATAATTCCAAAATAGCAGCATACCTGACTTAGATTCGAAGAATTTGTAACTTAAGACAACATTATCAGTATACTCCAAATCTGGATCATTTACATAATCGGGGTCGATATAAAAGAATACAGGTAAATCCACTTGTTCTCCAGGATTAAGGATTTGATCTTCAAAGCAAAAACACTGAATTTTGTTGAAATAATATGCTGCCTAAAAAGCACTGTAATAGGTGGGATTATCAATCTATTAAAATTTTCAATAATAAAAAATATTTTAAAACATAACAAGCAACACTTTAATAAAAGTCAAAATAACAAAATCATTACCTGAAATGGTGACAAATTGTAACTACTAATACCAATCATGGGTTTGTCAGTTTCATTGCGAGCACTGTAAAAAACAAGAGCAGTTTCACCAGGATAAACATAAATTTCTTTCTGCAGAGGCTTGAATTGCCATTTCAAGGCAGAATCAAGATCAGCATTGAAAGAAACACGTATCAATCGGTTTTTCACTTTTTTCATCGATGATATTCTTTCGAAGTCGTCAGCGATCTATAATACTAACTTAAAAATGAAATGTGGCACATTTACTAGCATTTTTTTTTTAAAGAAAAAAAAAAACTGTGATTACAAATGCATTTATTTTTAAGATGACATTTCATAAACAAACAAAAGTATATCAATAATGATTAAAAATTGGTACGATATAAATACATTAGTTAGCAATAAACTGAATTAATAATTAACAATGATATAAATGTAATACTTTTGTTAGTCCGGTAACGGCAGTCTTTTCACAAAATATTCGAAAGGCCGGAACTGAAAGCATTGCAAAGCTAAAAAATGCCACTCCAACACTTGCCCAGTAATACATAGTATTCTTCGAATGCTTGAAACCTTTTGTACAGTTGCCAAGTGTTCGACATACAATTACTGGTGGAACTTTCCTGTACGTTTGCAATAATTGATGACACCAAATAGTACAGCCACTTGTTCGAATGAGTGTTAACATCGTTAAAAATGGTCATGAAACGATCCTGATCCTATCAAAAACAAAATCAAATTTAATAAAGAAATACCAAAAGTAAAACAGTGGCAGTAAATCGTCACAATATTACGCGAAAGGTTCCAGTAAGTATTTTAATTCATATAAAATTCAAAATCCAAGCTTTACACGCTTCGAATGTATTGAAACTCACTGCAACTGATATTGTACCAAGCATGTAGTTTTCCTATTTTCAAGAGCCACCGACTAATGAAACAGTTAAATTTGACTTAAAACTTTCGGAACATCTATTGTGCATATCAACGATTTTCGCCACTATGTCTTCCATAGTTATCACAGTAGCAGTAGCATTGGTTTATAATGAGTACAAATCTTTCTAGTCCGGAGGAGTAGTTTCAAGTGATTCTAATCTCCTAAACTTCTTTCTAAAATACAAGAATATCTTCCTACTTGCTTTCAAAAGCAAATTTATTCCACACTTTCATCCAATTGTTATACAGCATTATATATTAAGTTTCAAAAAATGAGAATATACTATGAATTTCACAGAGTCGTACATAGAAGTATTGAATAGTAAAAAAGTGTGGAAATTTGAATACCATAACTATGGCGATAAATATTGCTACCGTTTTGTTTTTAACCTAATCACTAAGTTAGATTACCCTTTGTAAAGTCGCTAGAACGGATTTCATACATTTAAATCTTTATTAATTAGAAGATTCTAATTCTAATTACAAATATATGATAAGGAAAAATAATAATAATATATAATAAATTATGTGCAGCAGGTCAGGGGTTAATCTTTTTTTCTGTCTTCTTCATTCTCGCGTTGGATCATGTTCCAGCACTCTCGCTGTTATTGACCCGGCATTCAGGTTTGCTGGTTCCGGTACACTGGTCGAGTGCTTTCCCATGTCCTTCACGGAGCTTTCTCCAACAACCTCACTTGTTTTTGATTTGTTTTCATTTATGATTCTAGGCTCGGTTTTTTTCCCTTTTATCCTCCATTTCCTGCTGTTCTACTTTGTGACACGATCGAGTAACTGGCATCTTACACCCGCTCGGCAACTTGGCAGAACCAAGCAATTATATAATATAATAATAATAATAATAACAATAATGATAATAATGAAAACGATACTAATAATGAAAATAAGACTCGGTGAATTTAGAGAAAAGATAATGTGAAAGTGGTCACAAAGAATCATCCCTGTGATACGCGATTAATAATTCAACAAGCCGACTCTGATACAGCTAAAAACCAAACGGCAAGCACATTGACTTCAGAATCTTTCTTAGAAATTATGAAAAAATTGAAGAAAAAAAACTTTTACCAAATATCTAAGCTTTGTTTTAAAACCTCACTTTAAATGACTGATTTCAATATTTTAAAGTTGTCTGATAAATTTTCCAAATTTTATTACATATAACTTAACATTAGAAACGAACGCAGTAATCTCTACACTAGTAGAACTTCTCTCGAAAGTCTTTGTTAACAATTAATAATGACTCGAAATTTTCAATGTTACGATCCAAAATAGATATTTCCCTCATTTTATTTCAAATACAGAGTGTAAAATAATTTTATGACATTAAGTAGATAATAATTCCTCTCGTCATAAATGAAAGGAAATACCAATTTTGAACCATAAAAAAGTAAGCTAAATAAAGAGAATGCTACACAAATAAAGTTTTAGTACCTGAATTCATGTCTCCAAATACATAGTTATCCATAAAGAACAAAATTACCAGTAAAATGTCGAGAGAACAATGTACATAATATTAAGGTTGTTATTAAGATTCACATGCGACGAAGGAAGCGAGTAGATAATCTACAAATTTTCATATTTTATGCAGTAATAATAATAATAATAAAATAATACTATCATAATTATAGATACATGTACGAAAATATTGATCTCTAATATCTGAGAAGTTTGAAATGAAATTTTTTTCTAGCCTCTAGTAATTTGAAAAACTGAATAAATAATTATAGTAGAAATCTCATAATACATTTTATTTTTTGTAATGTGTAATGATACTGATCAGTTGAGCATCCTTCGTGTATATATATCCCTTTACTATTTCATCTGAAATAATCACAAAGAAAAAAGCATGTGTGCAACAATGATGAAAACTTACAAACTTTTTTTATTCTTGTAATAATTTACAAATTAAACATATAATCATAATGATAAATACTAAGAAGCAAGGTAAAAGGTTACTTACATTGATAATAGACGCCAACAAGCATTTCGATCGTCACTGCTATACATTAACTTGCAAATTAGAGTTCGTCTGCTCGCAGTGTTTTCAGTCTTTCAGCTTCCTTTTGCTCACTATTCTGATGACTCTTCTTGAGCATACTTTGCTCATATTCTAGTTCTTTTCGAAAATATTCTATCGTTTCAATCAATCCATCACGTATGGAAACTTTTGGTCTCCAATTTAACTTTCCCATAGCCTTACTAATATCTGGTTTTCGCTGTCGAGGATCATCTTGTTGTCTGGGCTTGTGTACTATACTAGAAGTACTATTCACCAAATCACGAATTAACTCTGCGAAACTATTAATTGTTTGCTCTTCAGGATTGCCAATATTGACTGGATCAGTACAATTACTTTGCATCAATTCGATCAAACCCGTCACTAAATCATCAACATACTGGAAGGATCGCGTTTGTTCTCCATCCCCATAAATAGTTATCGGATCACCACGTAATGCCTGTAGAATAAAATTACTCACAACACGTCCATCGTTCATATGCATTCGTGGTCCAAACGTGTTAAATATACGCGCAATACGAATATCAACTTTTTCTTGAATGTGGTAAGCAATCATTAAAGTTTCTGCTACACGTTTACCTTCGTCATAACATGAACGTGGCCCTACTGTATTGACTCGTCCCCAGTACGTTTCTGGTTGTGGATGTATTTCTGGATCACCATAAATTTCAGATGTTGAAGCTAATAATATTCGAGCTTTTAGTCTTTTAGCTAAACCCAGCATATTTATAGTACCAATGGTGTTTGTCTTAATAGTCTTTACTGGATTATACATATAATGTGGTGGTGAAGCAGGTGAAGCAAGATGATAAATTTCATCAACTTCTGTAAGATACGAGTTAACAACATCATGATGGACAAGCTCAAAATTTTGATGCCCAAGCCAATGCTCCACGTTACGCTTACGTCCCGTGAAGTAATTATCAAGAACAACAACCTCATGGCCATCAAGCATCAACCGATCCACCAAATGTGAACCGACAAAACCTGCGCCTCCAGTGACTAATATTCGTTTCCGATTCCAGTCATCTTGATACCTAACATTTTTGCCAAAAACTTTTTGCTCTAACAGATGCAACCTATTTTCCATTATCGCCACTTTTGCAGAAATTTCTCGAAAACGAAAACTGTCTCGATTTAATTTTTTATTCATTACTTCACAAGAAGATCCACGTAAGCACATAACAAGTAATAGTATGATGCAAATATGCATTACTTGACGGAATACTAATGTTATACGCATTGTAGACTAGAATAAATTTCAGGACAAATTGTAAAAATTAGGTGTCATTACAATAGGCAATAGATGGTGGTTGTGTACACTTTGGATGAGTAAATATGAAAGTAGAGAATAGTGAAGACTGCATGCGAAAAAAGTGCATAGATTATTCATATGAGAAATGAAATATTTTAAAAACCATAATTAAGCAAGAAAAAAGGCCAGAGTTCAAAGGTCTAAGGAACAGGCTACGAATAGCGATAACTCGCAGGCAAATGTTTAAAGCAATGAAAGAATGTGAAGATGAAGAAGTACAGAAAACACTGAAAACAAAAACAGGAAATGTCTAAGAGTTGCAGGTTTATGTGACAAAATGCAAAAAAAGTGAGAGGGGAAAGTTCAGAGGTACGTACTGATTGACCATTATGGATGGCGAATTTGAGAGGGCCGATAAAAGATAACTTTAAAGAGACTCAATACTAACTGACATCATTCACGTGGAGCTTGACGTTTCTAAAGTAGAGTTTCATTAATTTTCCACTTTATACCATTTTTTAAATTTCACCGTAGGTGTAAGAAAATCAAGCATTTATGGAGCAACCATTTAACTTGAAATTCTTGGAATCGGAATCTTTCTTCTTCTCACCGTACCTCTTTTCTGGTCTTGGCTCCTTTATTTTGTGACTTTTTCCACGAGCCTTTTTTGGCTATTTGGGGTGAGGGTATTGTAGATAATTTCCTGTCTTATATTATTGACTAGAAAAAAAATCAAAGGTCAACGAGTTGAAGCTGCAGAATGTGCTGTAATTTCTGTAAGTTATGGTGAAAAAACCCATTAATTCATAGTTCTTGGTTTGATATTGCTTGAACAAGTAAGATTTTTCTAGAAGTTTACATCTATTATCGAGTAATTTATCAAACAAAAGTTAACTTTTTAGACCAAGCTCATGTATGATGTTTCCAAGTGCCATCGGAACAAAAACAAATGAAACTACGAAGATTTGATAACCTTTCCAGATTCACGTTGCTTGCATCAGAAATCGATCTGTACTATTGTGATAAAATTATATACAAAATTTGTTTATACTTGTGATTCTGCAATTCTTTGACGTAAATTTTGATATATCCTAGAAATTTGTTCTCGTAATACATAATTTTGCTTGTTTGATTTTGAAATAATTTAAATATCTTTTACCTTTTACATTTTTCCGTGCAGAAAATTTTTTAGTGCAGGGGTGATTTAAGTATCATCATTACGTGATATCATAGTAAACGTTTAAGCGTTTAAGCTAAACGTTTAAGCTTAAATAATTTAGTTAACTTTGAACTGAAGTAGAATGGGATACGCCTCACATTTTCACTTATTGACAAAAATTGTAAGGCTGTATATACTTTCAAGGTGTTTTTGCAATGCAAATTTCGTTCTTTCACCTGCCTATAGCCATTCAGCGATCAGTCTGTCTGCACGTATTTTTTCTAGCGTTAATTGTTTGTACACGTGATGAATAAAGACGGGAATATGAATAAGAAAGTGTACTTGTTTAGATCTAACCAACACTTTATGAGGCTGACTTTACTTACACGTCTTTTTATTACTATACTTTGTATGAATTGTAAAGTGGAGCTCACCAAAAAAGAGTGATTTTTGACGTGAGATGAGTGGTGACCTTCAACCCTGAGTATAAATCTCGAAAAGGAAGTAAGTTCATTTTTCGAAATTTGCTTTGATAGGGACAACCGTCATTGTTTAGTATGACATGGCTAAGCTTTTGTTTATCTGTTATAGCAACAATACTTACTGCTTTAGGTATGGAGATCCACTCATTCTGTTTCATTACTTACCGTAGCGCACGCCATAATTTCAAAAAACTTTCCAAAAACTTACATTCTTATTCTCTTTTCTTTCATAGCTTCACATGCGTGACCTCTCGTAGAGTTCGCTTCAACGTATGCCTAATTAGCGTTTATCACTTACAAATGCACCCGGGTCAACGTATACATTCTTGTCTAAGCATTTATTTAATTCTTAAAAAGTAATATGCATGCATGGTTTATGTACATCTCGATGTGTGTGTGCGTGTGTGTGAGTGAGTGAATGAATGATTGTGAAATGGGGTATGTGAGGGGTATGATCGATAATAGTTGTATGGTAGTGGGTCAGAACTGAAACGAGCAAGGGTGGTTATAGATGTCGTATGGCTATTCTTTCATGTCATTCTCGAGTTATTGATTGCCCCGGTAGCGTCTCCGGGAGATGGATTATATTGTATGACTCATCTTGCATTATTATTATTGTTGTTATGTTCCTAGCACATGCTCATTTACCATGGTGAAATGGGATGATCGTCTCGACGACGACTGATTGATTAAACTACTCTTTGCTTGTAGTTGTACTTGTATTCCGGTGATGAACTATCATCGCTCTCGGGAGGTATCGACCAGTTATCATTATTACTATTCGGTCATGTTATTGATTGATTGCTTAATTGATTTACTAGGAATTTACTTTACTAATGCTCAGCTTTTACGTTACTTATCTATCAACATTACTCAGCTTGCAATCTTTACTAGCAAGTTCTTTCCTCACGTTTATCCCACGTTTACCTTTCTGGCTAAAACTTACAGTCATATCTGAATATCTTTGCTAATCATAAAGTGATATTTGAACTTCACCCATTGCTGTACTGTGACGTACATGGCCCCTTGTTACATGCTACTTGACTCACGTACGTCTCAGATGAGGGTCATGTATCGTTGTCATGTCCAATCAAACGTCTTTTTCATCACGTTACATTAAGACTTTCACGTTGGATTTTGTATCATATTTATCTTATATTTTCAAGTTAGACAACAATTATATTTAAAGTGATTTACGTAATCACATAAGACTTCTCTGTTCAATTCTCCTCCTCCTACGTTGGAAATGTGTATCGAATATGGCACATAAGAGGTACTCGATGTTGTTCTTTGAATGCAACAAACTTGAATTTTGCAAAGAGCTATCGACAGCTAATGTGTGCGTGTATTTCTCGTACATTATTTCATGACTGTTTGAAATCATTTTGTAAATGATAAAAGCTTTTATGAAATATTATGTTACAGAATGATTTAATAAATTATGGAAAGTAATCGTTAATGAATGTGCAATTTAAAGTTTGTCAAAGCGAAGTCGACAGAGTAAGGGGTCAGTTTGACATTATTTCTGACACGTCGCATTTTAGTCAAGTAATGATAGAATGATTGAATTAAGATTTGAAAGAAACTAATACTCAAGTGTATTTTTGTACTCACAGGGCCTCAGTACTTTTTCATCCATTCATCGTTTACTAAAATTTGCATTTTTATTCTCAGAAAATATTTAAATATTGCTGCAAAAAAAGTTTTGCATTATATGTGAATAGCGTAGTTATTGAATCCGGTTGGTTCTTTCCCGTAATTTTAGACAGTGGTTCTTTGAGCATTTCTGGTGGGGAATGAGTGAATTTTTTAAGGTGCTAGTTTTTTGATATGAAAAGCAGTTGCATTATTTTCAGTCGATTTGCTTGATGACATGGAAGGCATTGATATTTCAAGCAGTTCAGAGAGTGGCGATGATGATTTCTGCGAAAGGGGCTCTGATCGACTTATTACTTGTAGCTTTTCGATCACTTATTGATTTATATGAACTTAAAAAATTCGTGTCAGCTTCTTCTTGATACCGTTTATAGTTCTGCAAGATATCAATTTGTAGGTGGAGAATCTAGTGGTAATGTTAGCAATTTTGTGATGGAATACGATGTTGATGCTGAGCTGGACTATGATGAAGAAAATGGTTATAATGAAGCGATAGAAATGCCGGTTCGACCTCAATCTAAAGTAGTTTAGTAACAAATTTTCGCATTATTTATTCAATTGTGAAGCAATTTAAATATTGGTCAACATGTGAAAATAAACTTGAACAGTAATAAATTCTCAGAGCTAAATAGCTGGACATTTCAGGCTTCGATCGATAAAAGTGTAAAGTTAGACCGGAGTGGGCGAAAGGGTACAGAAAGAGACATGCAAGAGCATAATGATACCGGTGTTGAAAATGATCATGTGGAAAATGGAAGCAGTAATTTTGAAGTTAGTAAGCAAGATGACGTTGATCATGAATTAAGTGAAGATGGTGAAATAGATGATCTAGAAGAAGGTGAACTAAAATCAGATGAAGATAATACTTGTTCTATATTTTCGAACGAAATTTCATCTCGAAGAGAGGTTTGAATTGTCTTGAAGACAAATAGTGAAATAGGATATTAATTTGTTAAAATTAGTTTTTGTTACGGAACATATAATTGTCGATAAAAGTTTTGGTATATACATGCAAAACAAAAAACATAGTCGAGATAGGGATTTGGAAAAATTATTGTAACACTTGTAATTTTTTAAATTATAAGCTATTTACATTACTAAAAATCTTTTTTTGTTCAGACAAATATCATCCTTTTAATAAACATAAAATTTGATTAGAATTTTCAGGAAGATTATGGCTCTAAAAAGCAAGTGGAATATTTGCAACGTGGGGATTCGACACCAGTCGGTATTTGCAAATTTTTCCTTCGTGGAGCTTGCACATGGGGAGAAGACTGTAAATATTTACATATCAAAAAGGTAGCATGATTTACAGCAGTTGTTAAGATTGTTTCATTACTAAATTCATAAAGGATATAAAAAAGTATCATGTCTACTATTTAGCCACGCTGTAATGGTTCAGCAGCAGTTGAAAGCAACTCCAGCGAAAGCAACAGTTTGCATCATTCAGATACTGATAAAATACACAATAAAGTCAGAGGAATAAACAAACGTGAGGTTTCTGTAACATTTTCAATTGAACACTAGAAATAAAGAGCTATTTTATATGTGAGTGAGATGTTTGAGTCGAATAAATGAAAAAGTAAGTGGGAAATATTCGAATCATGAACGAGTTGACGTATATTCATTTTAAGCATTCAATGATTCTCACACAATTTACCCATCGAGTTCTACATCAAACGAGAACGAATCACATAATAATGAAACGGCTTGGGAGAGAGGATTGCGCCAGGCACGTGAAGTACGTAGTACTAATAATTCATATTAATTCTTTTTGATGGAAAAACGTTTGAATCTATTTTTTTTTTAAAGAATTGCATGCTTTAGTTAATGATTAGAGCAACAAGAAAACGAGAAGAAGAACCAGATTTCGATCGGAAGAGACTTGTACTTACTCCTAACGAAGATATGGATAGACCACGAACAACAGATGAAGAATCAGACGATTCTCATGGATATCATAAAATGTAAAATTTTTTATTAAATTAAATAAACTCCTGAAAATTCTTTCATTGAAGTAAATTTTCTTGTTATATTATCATATCTAATCTATATTTAGTTGTTTAAGATTTTGTAGCTCTCTTTTCAAAAGGTAATAATAACGTCATGAATTTTAAGTAAATTCATGTATCAAAAATTAATTCTGTATATCATAGTTGCATGTGTCATTAGTATTACAGAAAAAATCTTTTAAATGGTACTCGAGTGTTTACTATTATTTAGCCGAAGCCAACGAGTACCGCATTCGCCTCTATCACGAGATGGTATAAGGAGAACTAATGGCTTCTTGATGCGAACGCGTATTGATTCTTCTTTTCCCAGATTCAGAAATTACAGTAATTCAGTTCGATCGGGTCAAGTAAATGGTAAACAATTATATGTTTGTTTTTATTTATACTTCTACTTCACTTGTAGTGAGTTTTTGGCACCGATCATTTTTTTGTCAGTAAAACTTAGTACTTAATCTAATATACAGATAATTGTCATGTTGAAATAGATCGTCAGAGTGTTTATGAAAAAAATGAATTGGATAAGCCGCGAAAAATCCCATCTTTAATAGATTCAATGTTTGGAAGAGGACGTTCGGAACATTTAAAAAGTATTTTTTGAAAGTCATATGTTTTTTTAAATAGAGATAAATTCCCAAAGAAGGGTTCATGTCTGCTTTTTCGTAATTCTATCAATTTTTTTAAGGATGTGATTACGGACGGGATGGACCTGCTCGGCTACCTCCCAAAGGTTTGTTTTCACATTCATTTTAATAAGTTTTATTGTGGAAATATTGAAAAAAATAATAATGTTCAGATCTTGGTCCACAAGTGCTATATCCCAACGGAAGGCCAACACCTAGACGCTATGGAACCCTCAGACGTGAAATGTTTGTGGTTTTGATACATTGGATTAAAAACGCAAATTAGCGAATTTCCAAGCTCCAGTTTTTAATGATTTGTATAGTCCGTGAATGACCTCTTTCGTAATCGTTTTTTTTTCTTCTGTCAGGTCCCCGAGCAGTCGTTATCATGTCCAACGTCGTGAATTCTCGGCTCATGGATCTCGTTCCCCACTATCATCACGGGATTCGAGGTCGTCAAGTGTAGGTCAGTCCGTATCACCACATACTAAAAGGCGCACATCATCGTTTTCTCCAGATAGTAGACACGTTGTTAGAAAACGAAATAACATCACCTCTGTTGGTGGTCTTCTTTCTGGTTGGTTTTCCCTTTTTTTCTTTTGTACAAGCATAATATTTGAATGTTGTTTTGTTGTTTGTCCAGTGTGCTGTACTTAAAAAAGTGTATACTTTGATAGGTAATCAGATACGTGATCCATGGGAAAGAGCTCATAAGAAAGGACGAAGCAAGGATCGAGAACTAAAATCTATCACACTTGGAGCAGAGTTACAAAAAGCTCGTAGAACCAGTGATGATAAAAAACGATCTCGTCGTCAGGACATCTTTAGCTCAACAAGCAGTATTTCAAGGTTTGTTTCATTTTTCACTTGTAAGGCATTTATCGAATTCCGAATATCACGACTTTATTATTTTTACTTAAATATATGTGTTATCAATTTTTTTATCTACTTTTTTTTCAGGAGCCCAAGTGTTATTTCATCAGCTACATCACGTTCTCGATCACCATCACGAACTTCCTCGGTAAGTTATCATAAGCGTACTGCACATCTCTCGCTGGCATCGTCGGTTGCTTCCAAAAACTTAATCGATGATGATGGTTCTTTAAGAACAACAGATCTTTCGTCGTTTAGAATTCCAAAAAAGAAAAGGTTTATTCAAATTCCATATTTCTGGTTTTATTTCGTTACTTTAATATAAAGTGTTTGAACTTTGTGCTATGAACGGTACATAGAATGATAATTTGATTATGATATATTGTGAAATATTATTCACTCGCAAGAATGACTTGCTATAAAGTCTTTCTAGATTTTCTCCATCGTCATCACACCATCGCTCAAGTACGGCATCAACTAAGGGTTATAGAAATCTCAATGAAAGATCGGTTGGTCGGAATAGTCGGCCTGTACCGTCAGTAATTCAAAAAAGGTAACATTCTGATTAATACAAAGAGTTTTGTTTATCTTAAAACTGGAATATTTTTGATAAGCTTTAGCTATTTGATTTGGTTATTTTGCATTTATCTTTTAAAGTGTTTTTAGACTCTTCGTATCTCCCTTACATCGCTTCGGAACTACTCATCGTGGAATGAAAGACGTAGAGTTTATGGATGGTGTAAACCAATCTTCCAAACGTAATATTCTGTCAAAAGAGAAAGAAAATATTTCTAGTGAGCAGAGTTCATCGGAATCATCTGGGTTTGTTTGCTTAAACTTGTGGCTCAAGCAATTTTGGATAAAATTGGAAATTGAAATGATTTTAATCAAAAAATTGCAGCAGTAGCAGTGATTATACAAAACCTGCAGCATATCGCCGTAAAAAAAAGATCAGTGGTGCTTTACCTATTAACAAACCGCTGTTGTCTCCTACTGTAGAAGATATCTCTAGCGATGAAGAAGATGATGTACTTTTACTCTTTTCTCACATAACTATGAAGAAAGACTCTCTGGTTTACGTAATAAAAATCTCGAAAATTTTTGATTTCAAATCGAATCATAAATTGTTAAAAGATGTCTGTTATTTTTTCAGAATTCTCACAGCAAACTTAATTATGAATCAGATCTAAAGCATCCAAAGCAAACTCTCTCTGTCGATACATTACAAGTATCGAGAAAAGCAATTAAAGGGAAGGATACCGCATCGAGAATTACTGGTTTGATATAAATTTAATTTGAAAGCGGATTTGTGGCTCTTGCATATCGTTCTTTTGTAATTTAAATGAATGTAGGATTTTGAAACACTAATTGATTCTCTTTATTTTTATTGTAGATGAAGAATATGTGGAAAATGCAATAGAAAAGGAAGAACGTCGTGCTGAATTATTGCGTCAATTAAAATTTGTTGAAGAAGCGATTGCCCGTAAACGTAATGGACTGTTGCATAATTGAGTACAACAGTATTTTAATTATAGTTGTTTCAAGTGTAATCTGTAGAAGTCGTTCAATGTCCTATTTTATGATATAAATTATTTTAAATGTCATGTGTATGTTCTTGTGTATAGAGACATTGTTTTATAACTTTTTATCATACTCCTCGGTTTTAAACCATTCATCTAGCACATCGAAAATGTGCTGTTTGTTTGTATATTCTCCTGTATCGCATCGTAGCTTCTTCCTGTACGAAGGATTTGAGGATTATATTGATCGTTTTATCATCAGTTTCTCTACAAACTGAAATTTGATACGTGATAGTGCATTAGTTCATGTGATGAACCTCGCTAATTCTATAATTATTTCGCTGTTAAGCGTAACATTGGTTCACCTCAATTTTTTATATAAATATCTGATATATTCTAATGGACGTGTTGGCGAACGAATGAGCAGAGATTCCATGTTCCGAGATAATGCTTTTCATTTTTACTCGATGTTATTAAATATCAAATAATATGGGAAATGTGTTGGTGTTTTCTGGTCCTGTCTTAGACTTATTAACTTGTGGTGATTTAACAAATTGTAATAAAAAATGGATAAAAATTGAAGGGGAGTCGTATTTGATATAGTTTTGTGTCGTCATTTATTTTAATGACTGAATAACAGTAATTTTATCATATCGCAAAGTGGTGTTTCTTGGGAATAGCATGTTATGTAAGTCACCTTTGTGTAATCATTGTTAGCTCCTCATGAAGGAGTTCAGCAGTATGCATTTAGGTCAGGGTAAAGGTTTTTGGTGAAAAATATGTAATTGTAAAGAAAATGTACTACACATATTGGTCTATCTGCCATGATTTAGGCTAACTAATTTTTTGGTTTGTGCCTTCAGACACCTTTTTGGATCAGATAATTTCTTTGTAGTGATCCCGTTGCTCCTCATCTAGCCATATCCTTCATATTTCTACAGATTTGGATGTAAGGAGATAATTTATTGTTAAAGGAGCGTCCACCACCTTTTAATTGGGCAAATACAGAAATATCTCTCTAAATTCGGCTCAGAGCGGGAAGTGTCATGCACTAATCTGGAACGAATTCTTTTAGATGTTCGCTGTTCCGAATGTCGTTATCCTCATCTCAAGAATTCTTGGTTTTTTCTGTCTCTACATCGTGGATGCAGGCTGTTCGGTAAAATTCCTATTGAACATTTTTCTGAACAGTCCAATGTTTGCGATTTTCGATGCACACGGAGATTCATAATTTTAGTCTTACTTTCGTAAACCCTCACACACTCTGTCATCATGCAAACTTCATGACAGTCACGCTTGAGTGCAAATATGAAAACCATGTCGCCCACATACTTCTTGGCTTCTCTTAGGTCTTTCTCTTTGAGTTTTTGATCAGTTAAATACGCTCCATAAGGTTTGTGGAAGTCATTCAAACCTATCTTCTTTTCTATGCTTGCCTGCCATCCCCATGGCTTCTTCCGTCTTGTCATACCTTAAGTCATAGCATTGTTGTGACTAATCTTGCAAGGCAACTCTAGATGCGCCATTGAAGCTGCCTTGCAAGACCAGTCATTGACTTGGAGGGTTTCTGTGTCGCATGTTCACGAGTCGCTTGGTTTAGGCTCCAAGTGGGATGGCAGGCAAGCATAGGAAAGAAGTTAGCGTTCTCCGAAATTATTTTCCACATCCAGTTTGACTTGTCTGTGTCAGGCCTTTGTGCTTCTTGCATAAGTATTTCTGTTTTACACTTTTAGAGGCTAGTCTCACACACCAATTTCGTCATTCTCTTAAAACGGCCAAGAAAAGCTTTTAGCACTGCGTCAGCTGCTCTGCGAAATCTCTATTTTATGGATAAGAATTTCGTGCGTAATCGCAACGTAAATTCGTGTTTTCGGTACACTAACGAAGTGCTATCTCACATCCCTTATGAAGCTTTTTGCAATCTCGTCTGATTGTTTTCTGTTATGATTGGTGCGGTGTTTCTATTGCAAGCATTCCTCTACTTTCGGAGCTACAATTTTTCAGCAATAGTTTTTTTCTGTCTTTCTATACTTCTTCCCTCCGTTTCATTCCTTCAGGGGCACTACTATTAGAGGATACATGAGCATTATCGTTGTGGTCTATTACTTCTTTTCGCTTCTTGGAAATCGCCTGTGATGTGGTAGGTTCTTCAGAGACTCGTTCCCAGCCATTAGATAACTGGTGTATTTAAATACTGCAATGTCATCTCATATTACTACAATTTCCACCGTTTTGGTGTCGTTGACTGTCGATGTCAATATATTGGGTGTTGCAACTGATCGCACTGATATTCCGCCATCTACTTCCATAGTTGCATGATGACATCGCCAGAATAGATAAAAGTAGAACTGAGTCGAAACCAGGAATAGGGGAGAAAATCTGTTTCTTCCAAGACAGGCAAAGTCTGTCCCCCGTGATCTTCTTAAACCAGGGTAATTGAGCTATTATATATACATATGTCCTCAAGAAAACCCAACTCATGATTTTACAAAGAGACTACCTACTTAATTCCAAATAGTGTTGCGATCTCAGGCCATTAACTTGTACGTCGAACCTTCATAAGCAGACAACGAAATGTGTGGCACTTGTCATGCAAGTGGATGTAACCACGAGAGAAGTACTTCTAAATAACCAATTAGGACGTGTTGCTTAGTTTCAAAGAACAGACACTGTGATATGCAGAGAGCTTGAGAAGCAGCAATACACTACGGGTTAGAGTGAGTAGGCAGGTTTTTGACAGGCATCACCATGTGAGAGGTAGTACTGAAAAGTAGTAGGGGAACCATGAAGAAGGGAATATAGCAAGTGATCCTCCACAGAGACAGTCTATACCCACTAAAAGGCGAAGGCTCATAAGATGAAAGTAGGCGAAAGCTCATAACACAGGCGAAGGATCATAACACGTACTTGGCCTTTATTGTATCCTGTCTAGACGTAGAAAATCCAATCGTTGAAAGCGTATTAGCAGCTCAGGAAGCATTCTTGCATAGCGAAATCAAAAAGAAAGCTTATCATGCACAATATACAACATGTGGACGAATATTAAGAAAGGAATTAACTATGCATCTGTTTGGGGCTCTGCATACTTATGGCTTCTAATGAAAACATGGAAAGCCATTTTGTTCAGGAGAGAGTCACAAATGAGATGTGGAGATAACGATACGCGCATTAGAACAGCTGAAAAGGTAAGTTGGGATTGACCGATATCATATTCCATGATACGAGGCGAAATGAAGTAATCCTGGTTACATGGTTCGTCACGACAGGTTGATAGCAGTTAAGATCGATAAAAGGTGGAAGTACTCACGAATAAACTCGAGTCAAAGGTGAAGTGCAGGGCGAAAGTCATTCCGTTCGTGATGACTTGGGATTGGATTTGGTTGTGGCGAACCTCCATAAATACTGGACAAAGGAAATTAATATATCTCGTCATATAGAGGCATATATCCAGTTGATAGTGCTCAAGAAGATGATCGCGCTGGTATTTTTGCCATTTACTTCCACAGCAGCATCTCAACGTCTCTATAATGATAAAGGTCAAGAACAAAGATAGGAGTAGAAACCATAATAGCGAAGAAATAATGTGTTTCTTCCAAGATTAGGTCATTCACGATTACTTCAAACTTGGGTTATATAACCTATATATAGTAACGCGGTGGATATTGTTATGTTTTTTGCAAAACTATTTTTGGGTGTCATAGAGCCAGTAGCCAACGCTCCTAAACACTGTTTGCGTGTTTTAGAAAATGGATGCAGAATTACTTGGTTTATTCGATTCACTCGATGTACATAAGATGTTAGTCCTGTCAAACCGAAGAATAAAGAGAGTAAAAGTGGGTCAACAAGCAGTGCACAATTTTGTCAGAAAGCGGGTCAGCAAAATTGATCTGAAAGATCTGAGGTGTTGATTATAAAGTTTTTTAAGTACGCTCAGAAGCAGCTATAACTCTTGAAAGATGTTGTTTAGAGTTAATGTAATATTTTCGGAGAACTTTAGGTATTCGCAGTTCGAACCGCTGTATAAATTGTGGTGTGCTTATTTTTCTTCTATACACGAATGTAATAATTCAGAACGAATACTTAAAGCTGATTATCATGGTTGTCTTCTATTGGTTGTTGAAGCTGACAATCCGTCACAGGTATATTTGATGTCATTCAGTATAAACAATAATTACGCTTTATATATGTTTATTGCATAAACGCTTAATTACTGTCGTGGGTTTTTTTAAAGTCACTTTTAGATTGGTATTTGTGGTATAGTAGTTCGTGAAACTCGGCAAACTTTTATGCTTATAACCAAACAAGATCGCGTGCTAAGTTTGTTTCCATTTATTGCCTTTTCCAATCTCTAGCTTTTTTTGCAGTTTCTTACGTATTTTTTCTCGCCATTTTTCAAACATCTAATGAAGCTTCTTTGTAACCTTATCATTTTAGCAATTCCAAAACAAGGAACAGTATTTCAATTTGCTTTTAAAAAGAAAATATATACTTTATTTGGCAATAGTTTCAGGTATATTTTTATCTTTTGCATTTTTGTCAATCGATCATTAATGATTGTATCGAATTGTTTCCGGTTCATATTTAAAATATTAAAATATTTCAATGCTTCTTCCAGCAATTTTCATTTTAAAAAGTCCATTTTTTTTCTTCAGGTTTCAACCGTCTTTACGAGCAAAAAAATCAATGAAGAATCGCTTACCAATTCCATATTTTTTGAGATAAATTCGTTTTTTTTGTTTCTCACGATGATAGTAATAAAAGTTGTGAATTGTTATCAGACATGTGTTTTAATAGCAATTTAAACATGATATTCTTAATAATAATAAAGGTAGTTTTAGATATTTCTGGTTATCTGGTTTATTAAGGTTTTATTTATTTCTTTTTTTCGACGCGGCAATCATTTTACATTTTATAAGAAGTAAATTGATCTTGACGAAAGCTGGCACGTATAAGTAATGCATAACAAGATTATAAGTTGACCAGAACTCACCATCTAGTTATTAAACTAGAGGATGAGTTCTGACTCATCAAGATTTAGTGGCGTGATAGATGAGTCGTTCTCATTCTTCTGTGAAATTGAGAATGGTGTATGTACAGTCCCCTATCGGAGGTGTCTTTTTTTGTAGCTTAAGAAATTTGCACTGATTAAGTAATTGAGAAGACTGTTGCAAAGAAGTAGTGGTCATTGAAGGTTAGTAACTATCTTATAAACAGTACAGAAGCTAATCGAACTACACTTAAGCAATGTTAATTTAATATTAAGTCATTTCATTTCATCTTTTATCAATCAAAATTAACATTGAAGTATACATTTTTATTTTGCAGAAATATGAATTTGAAAAGAAGGACAAAGTTTTTGCTAGAATTAGTATTTCTGAGTACATGAAGGATTATTTGTTCGTATTTTCATGGAGATCTTGGGCCTTGACTAAGACTACACTTTAAGCTTGCACACACAGGAAAAACGAGGTGTACGCTTATTGTCAATGTAAAGACACTGTGTTGATGTGGAAGGATATAGACTGAAATAAAAATCCATTTTAGCGGTTTTTCAAATTAATTTCATATTCAGTTATGAAAATTAGTTTAAGTTTTGTAAGTTCACTGCACATTTGACTTGTATGGCTTATGTACATACAACCATTACTATTAAGTAATTAATTGAATACTTGCGAAGACATTACTGCATAAATGCACGTAAATATCGTCGATATATGCATGTACCGCTTGAAACTATTAGTCAAAATATTTTGTAAAAAAAGCTAAAAAACGATAACTTGAAATAAAATATGTAAAATTTAGAATTATATTTCAAAAACTTTTTTTTATAAAATGAAATAACAGTGCTTATTATTCTGATTATTTACACTGGTATTGCTTAGAATAAAATAAAATATCACATGCATAAATGAATACTACTTTGAAGCTCGAAAGTACCAAGCAGACGGCACATTCTATTCTGACAAGCAAATATTCATTTATTCGTCAAATTCTTTTCTGATTACACATTTATAACTAAAATTTGTGGAAGAAAAAACTGCAAAAATTTTTCGCATTACTTTGAATGTGCTACAAAGATTTCAAAAATAATTTATACGTATTGCCAAGCGCACTTTTCACTTTTTTAGGCATTAATGGCAGCATAGAATTAATTCTTTGCTGAGTGTATTGCATCTCAAACAAGTTATTACTTACTTTTACTTTTTATACAAGTATCTGTTTACTTTTTTAGGGAACTAATCAGTGCATTTAAAGTAAATCAATAAAATACTTTGTTTGTTGTCTAAATTGGAAAGTTTTTTTGTGATTCAGCCAGTAACTCTTATTAATTGTTCAAAATCAAACACGTCATATCAAATTAAAATGTTTTTAAGTTTGTTTGCATATATGTATGTAATTATAAGATAAATAGATATTTAATAAATATCATGCTTACGTGGAATCTCATAACGTTTCCAGTTAATGCAAACCAACTTAAAAACATTTTAATTTGATATGACGTTTCCAGTTAAGAATTTGTTCTGTTTAGTTATTACACGTTATTCATTTACTGACAACAATTATTTGATACCGTCCTTGAACTATACATTTTCACTTTTACTCTTCTACCAACTTTTGTTTGCACACCTTTATCAATAATCGCTTGTTTGTGACGTGTATATGTATGTGTGTGTGCGTGTGTGTGTGCGCGCGTGTGTGTGTTTCTGTGCATACAAATGAGTACACAGAAACGTGATTTTTGCTTGCTTGACCTCTGTGTATCCAATACATACGTATATCACCGATTGATTGATCGATTTAATACTTTGGTAATCATAAAGATTATGGTTTATTTTTGCTATTTTATGTTTGCTTTCTTGTAATGCTGAAAGTAATTGTTGTTATGGCTGTAAGAATGACTGTGTTTTGATGGAAATAACTATTGTTGTGGCAATGAGAAATTGGAAAATAAACAGAATCTTATTCATTTATTTCTTTTCGTTTACAATAATAACAAATGAATAATACAGTTTTGCTTTGTATACAAAATTGTATTCATTATTGTATTTTGCAGAAATTCACATTCAATCTATTCTTCTTTCTTTCTGATTACTCATACATCTTATCAGTGCTGATAATCCGTATCTTATTTACTCTCTTCTCATGAATCATGCATCAGATCATAATTTGATTCGAAAATTAATCAAATTTAAAATGACTCAAATTAGGTTTCTTATTGAACTGTTTTAACCTGCATTCAACTCACTTTTACTCGTTTAAATCACCAATAAGTTTAAATAATATTTTTGAAGAAAATATGTCACAAGCTGAGATTAACTTAATTTATTCATTTAAGTGAATCTCAACTTGTGACAGAGTAAACTTATTTACAAAACAAGATTCTTTTGGCTGTAGTCATGCAAATGGCATTTGAAAAATGATCGCAAATAGTTTAGCAAAAATAATAATACAATTTTTGTATACTTTGTAGTTTTGAGAGAAATTACACATTTTCAAAAGCCATCAAAAAAATTTGCATACTTTCTGAGAATTTGTTATAAATTTGCCTGCTATTCTCTAGTCGCTCATTTATTTGAACAGTAATGAATTTAATAAATGTCTCAATATTGGCCTAAATTAAGTGATTGGGTAGTTTGAGCTAAATTTTCAATGTAATTAATTAGTAGCAAAAGTTGCAATGAGTCATTCAATCATAGAGGAATGATTCGTCCATTCACTCTTTGTTATTTTTATTCAACTTTATTGATTGATCCGTTTTTTAATGGAATCAATCGATTAGAGACAGGATTTGCTTTTACCTTGTAAGTAATTAATATCATTTGCATTGCATATTTTGTCTAATAATGATAAAATAATAGACTAATTATATATATACTTTTGTGCACTGATTGGTTACTTTGTCAATTTAACAAAAGAAAAATTTAATAAGTTTGGCTATGAATGCCTTCAACAGCAAATGATATATTGATAGCAATAATATTAATAGTAATAATAATAGTAGTAATAATAATAGTAATAATAGTAGTAATAATAGTAATAATTATAATGATGATAAATTATAATAATATTAATAATAATGATAAAAATAACAGATTACTTTGTAATGATAGTAATTGTTGACTTAAATAAAATTCTCACCACTAATATTGCTATTTTTTCATTTTTAATCCGAAAAAACTGCTGAATTTCGCACAACTTTGCACATTCACATTATTTTGCGTTGTAGTGACGTAATATTTTTGTACGAGCATATCCCTCTCAATGTTTACTACTTCGCAGTTTGTCTCTTCAAATTTTTTCTTATGTTTTTTAGCTTTATGATATAGCACTCAGTGTTATCTGATATAATAGTATTTAAAATGTGTTTTACGTAGTAATTTTTTCCATCGTGAAGTGACGTTGTGCTTTTGGTAGTGTGAAATGATCATCGTAATAAATATGTTAACAAATGCAAATAATAATTGCAAATTTAAATTATACAAAAAAATTTTGTTTGAGAAATTATTATTATTGGAAAAGTATAACTGTAGGAAACTGTAACGCTTAGTTTTGTCTTATTTTTCTTCTCCCATAAAGTTCACCTTTAAGCAAAATCCATCGTCGTATTATTTAACGTAATACAGTATTGTAAATAAGTAATACAGTGTTGCTAAAGCAGAAAGAACAGTAATATGTTTAGTTATTTGCTAAAATTCATTTTACGCTACCAAAAGCACAACGTCACTTCACGATGGAAAAAATTACTACGTGAAACACATTTTAAATACTATTATATCACATAACATGTTAAAAGCTAAAATTCCATTTATTCATTTGTGAGTTTATTATCTGCTTATAAAAAATGTTAGCACTGATATCATTTAATGTAAGGAATTCGTTTATTTTCCAATTTGACCCCTTTAGAAGGGTTAATTTTATTGCAGTGAAACTGAAATTTGAGTGGATAATTGTTTTACTCAGGCGCAATTTTATGCCCTATTTTAGAGATAGAAGCGAAAGCATACGACGAAGGATTAAATTAAACAAAAGAAAAATTTAATAAGTTTGGCTATGAATGCCTTCAGCAGGAAATGATTTTTTCATTTCAAATAGTTATTCTCTTGACCTTTGCGACAATTTTTTGCACCTCTCAACAGCTACTCCATTTAATACACAGCGAACGTGCAACTCCTTACGTGAGTTATTTAAAATTCTAGAAATTAAAGAATTAATTTGAGTATCAAGTTGTTGAGACTTGCGAATTTGGCACTGAAAGAGTTAAATTTTTAATTTTTGTTGAAATTGTAACTAAATTTTATATGTGGTATAAAAATACAAAAGAATAAAAAATATAAAAAAATATCAAATTATATATATATGCTGTATGTATAGTATTGTCTTAGAATTTGAAAAATTGATAAATTTTGCATAAATTTAAAATTTTCGAATTTTTGTAATTTATGAATTGATATTATTACCAAATAAAGAATTTTATTTGGAAATAAATACTCTTTACTGTTTGACCTTTTCACCCTAAAATTTGTTTGAATGTAAAAAGCTTTCTATTGTTAATTTCAATAAATCTTTTCAGCAAAGCCATTCAGTTTCGCCTCAATCGTTTTTATTTGTGAATGATTCAATGCGAATGCCTAAAGAAGCCGTTCGACCCTTCGAAAGATCTCTTCGGTTTGACAATTTGACTATTGACGTTGCAGTGGCATTTTGGTATATATTTATTCATTTGTATATTTATTTATCATTATTATTATTATTATTATTATTATTATTATTATTATTTATCTCTCAAAATCCTTACCTTATTGCTATTTGCTTGATAAATACATGAAAAATCGGTATAAATTAATATTGCATAATTAATAACACTTATCGCTTATGCAAATTTTTAATTAAAAATTTAAGTAAACTTTAGTTGGGTTTTAAATTTAGAATTTGTTATAATTTTAAATGAATAATTTGTTATAATATATGAAGCATGAATTTTGTTTGATGAATTAAATTATTTTTCAAGTAAGATATATTAATTTTTTTAAACATGGTTCAGACAGAATTTCCAGGATTCCAGGAAACGGTGCTTTTGGTATTTGGGGTAGAGCTTGGGAAGAAAAGGGTCGAATAAAAGGTTTATTTATTGCTGGGAATACAGTGAAAGTATTAAGTCAAGGTTTTCGATTGCTAATCTACAAAGGTTCCTCCAGCGCTAATGGATTTAGGTTAGTAATTTCTTCTGGCTTTAAATTTAGTTTTTAATTTCAAAAAATATTCCTAAAAATAATTCTTATTTATGATACTGTATTTATGAAGTTTTTTAAAGCGTGTTACATTTTATTTACTTTTTACTGCCTAACAAAAGTTTGCAAATTTTGTTACTCAGCAATTGCTGCATATTTTTATTAATTTTTTGTACTGTTCTATGCTTTGCATGATTTTAGAATATAAATTACAGATTTGCATGGATTCGAGTAAAAGACGTTGATCACGGAACTGTTGTATTCTCAGGGCCGAATTCGCACGTAGCTGCTGTATTTGCCGATAAGGAAAAAAATAATGAATTCCTTGGTGACGCAAACTGGCCAAAAAAACGAATGGAATATGTGAATTACGGTATGAATGAAACACACACGGTTGGTAACTATGGTGGCAAAAGGTATTTTGATGAAGATGTTTATGTACTCACCAAACAAAGATGTAATTGCTCATGCTAAATGCAATCCTAATATTTACTTGAAAAGTTGAAAAGTAATTTTGAAAGTGTAATTCTCATTTTATAGCTGTGATAGTACAAACATAGCATTGTTTTTATAAAATTAGAAATGTTGTAACTACTAAAACCTTAAAAGTTAATATTTGGTTTAAATTTTCAAAAAGCAATGCAAATGTTTATTTTTGATCATCTTTAATAATGGTATTATATTCTAGTACAATATAACTGCGCGGCAGAACTGTATTCTATGAAAATATTATGCAACGGTGCTGTCTATCATTAATTTATTATTATTATTATTATTATTATTGAAGAAAGATATTTTATCATATTATGATAGATGCTGATTAAGTTACCTCGAAATATGCTTCTATACTAGTCATTTGTTCTTCACTTAAATTTATTTGTGATCAGTTTAAGTTTTTTTATCCTTTGCAAAAATGCAATACAAAATGATTTAGTTTAGCTTTGTTCTTTTGTTCTAATAAAATTATTAGTAAACAATGTATTAATGTTAGAGAAAGTTTTCACGTTTGTACGTTGGCACTTTCACTTTATTAAATCTCACTTAAGTGTCTGTGATTTGTACAAAAAGTTGTCTCCTTTATCAAATATTTTGTATCTTTTTATGCTTACAATAATCAAAAAAGCTTTCTCCTGCTAAGTTATTAATTTTAGATGTCATTGGTAAAGCAGTCATTTGGCACTTGTGGAAACTTTTACTAACTTGACCCTAAGAAAGAAGTTAGTTTGAGCTGAAAAGAATTTGATTTCTTAAGGAAAAGGTAAAAAAGTTAAATGAATTGAATGTAGTTTATCTCTTCTTAAAAAAGAGAATCTTTACAAGAAAGAATCTCTTTTTTGAATATTCTGAATTTATTAAACAACCTTTTTCTTGTAATTCAGACTGAATTATTTTTGTAAAATTGATAAAATCATTTGCACATGATGTAATGTTTACATGGAAATCATAAGATGGAATAGCCATTGAAGCTTCAAAGTTCTTCAGCTTTGTCGAATCTCTTTCATTCATGTTTGTCTTCTATTTTATTTCTGCTTCAAAGTGACTACCGTTTAGTAGTCTATAATTTCAGAAGTTCAGACTTCAGAATACAATTGCTTCGCATTGTACAACTTGTTACTAAAAGATTATTTTCGTTCATCAAAACGTTATAAAAGTAGTGATTTTAGCAAAAATTTTCAATTTATTATTGCCAATATTTCATTGCTTAAATAACAAAAACTCACTGTTTATTGTAAAAAAGTGTCAAAGTTCATTTTAAGCGTAAATTAATTAAAGTTTGTGTGCATTGATTATTTTATGAAAATGCAAAGTTATGAATATAATTAAGGTCAATGTTACGATTAAAGTCATATAAGCAATTAAATACTTGTCAAAAAGATTATTTTTTGTTGTGAATGAAGTAAATTGCGAGTTTTAATCTTGAAAAATTTTGAACACTTTTTATTTTCAGATTTACTTTGCTCAGTACAGATCGATATTATTTTTTAAAGTATACTAAAATTAACTTTATAAGAAATTTATCAGAATTGCTTGCGTGCTATTTCTACGTGTAATTGCCCGCAAGAAAATAACTTTTATTCGTCATTTTTGTTATTATCCTCTCAACAACTGCCAACTGCTCAAATTCTTTGCTTACTTTTTTTATTTTGCAATAAAAAAAGCACACATTCTTCTTGCCGGCTACACATTCGTGTAATACTGTTACTGTTTAGAAGCAAAAAAAGCAAACAGAAAGATATAATAAGCAAAGTAAGCATACAAAGTCATAAAATATCTGCGTGATATGGATGAATACAAAATTTTACAATACAAAATTTTATACAGTACAAAATTTCAGCATAAAATTCTGATAGCAATTTTATTATTAGCACAGTGAAGTTTTTATTTTTTCAGCTGTCAAAAGTTGATAAAAGTTTGTGCCATCAAAAGCATACAAATTTATACTATTTGACTTACTTTTATTTTATTTTTTCATTTTGAATAATTTTTCTAAACAAATTCATATAAAAGTTTATAAAATAGTATGCTTCGCACGAGGATTTCCCGCCATTTATGATATTAATTATCATTTTGTGCAAAATTTTTGAGCCTAATAGTATTAGCTAAAAAGGTGAAAAGGTGTTGCATTTGTCCATTAAGGTCATGCTATTTTCAAATAATTACTTCAAATTAATATTGGCGATCACTGAGGAAAGTAAATTTGAAAGTTATGATTTGTGGCAGACAGAAATTGAAATGTACAAAAGGGTGCACATAGATGTATTGTACATCGAAATAAGCTCAAATTAAGTCTTTTGTTTTTTGAAAACAGCTGCAACTTTTAACACTTTGTTTATGTATTATCTCTTAATTACTCTATAATTTATCATTTTTATTTAGTGTATTAGAATTTTTGCAGTAATTTTATTACAATTCGTACAAATTTTATTACATCATTTATTTTTCGATATTTTGATCTGATAATAAAGAACAATTCCATTGATATTACTTAAATATGTAATCAAATTATGTTGTCATTAGGTTAACCTACCTTCATATTAGATCATTAAGACTATATCACATGAAAATTGACCTAATTGGATCTAACCCAATTCCATGAGATATATATTGAATTAATATAATATAAACTAATCATAGGATTGTCAATAATAAATATATGTTTAAAAAAATGATCACTTCAGGTGTGCGTATTTGTATATTCAATTTTCATTTTTGATTAAATAAGCATTTTTTTAACTTTTGCGCAAATTAAATTTTTAGAAAATGATGAATTTTATGTAATATTTTGAATTTCCAGCAATAATTTTTAGAACTTTTAAATGAAAAAAATAAACAAGAAAAACGGGCTTAACTGTTAATTGGAAAAAGATATAATATAGAACAAAAAATTTTTTTGAAAAATGAAAAATAAATTTATTACAAGTAAATTGTTACAAACTATTATAAATGTTAGACTAAGTAACAATTAACTTAGCAGTGAAAGTAATCTAAGCAATTCGGTATGTTAGATTTGATATGTGATAAAATATTCATAGTTAACAGTTTATGACAAAAATGTAAGATATTTAAATTTTGTCAAGTAGAAATATTTTTTTTAACTGAAATTCCGTATCCTTCTCATTTCCAATTATTTACAGAAAAAAAACTTCTTCAAGCAAATAGCATCGAATGAGTACACTTACTTTACTGTATGCTAGCTTGAAACTACTTCTCATTCCAAGAGTAATTTCACGCCAGCGTGCAATATCGAATTCAATATAGCAAGTATACTCAAAAAAACCCGCCCAAAAAATTAGCTAAATTTCATTCATTGTTGACAATATTATAGCCATTTAGCCGATGCACAGAAATAAAAAATTTGCATATCACGCATACTTGCTATTTTTGAATTCGAAAAATATCTTTGCAAAACTTTTAAAAAATTTAAGGCATTAAAAGAAATCATTTACGCATTTCTGTAAAATTTAATATTTCAGATTGTTACTTCCATTTTCTCTCTAATGTCTTATCGATAAATCAATCATTTTAAAACATTTAATTGACAAAATATTTAGCACGTGAGACGTGCAAATTTTCACGTAAAAAAATTACTGTAATGAATACATTTTAAATTTTTAGTAAAATAAATAAGTCAATAAGATGAAAAGCATTATTCTCTAAATACTTTATGACCAAATCTTTGACTATACTATTTGATTTGATAAAAAAAACATAGCTGCTTGAAGGGGACCAATTGATTCTGACAATATGACAATTTGGTTCGACTTCAACCAGGTATGTTAATAAATTGTTTGACTGAACGTGTGTGTTTCTCTTCAAAATTAATAAATAAATAAATAATAAAAATTAAATCAAATTGATTGAATAAAAATGACGTGCTACACTTACACGTATAATAAATAACACTACGTAAGAATCACTCAATGAAATAAACGAACATTATTGCATATTTATACAAGACATTTATATGAAAATGATAAGTGAGCAGAGGAAGCATTTTAGTAGAAGTAAGTAATGTAAAAATGATCAGTCAGTTTAAGACATCAATGAAAATAACAACATCACGAAGGAATTTAGCAATTAGTGGTCGTTCGTTCTGAGAGAAAAAATGAGAAAAAATCATATGAATGCAATCAATAATTACAGATTAAATTTGTTTCATTTATGCGACAAAAAATTATTAACCAAAAATTTATAAAATAAAAACAGTTTGAATTAATAAAAAATAAAACAATTATTGCATTAAAACATTTTCTCAATTACTATTAAATTTGCATTAAAAATGATGCAAAGTATTGATGCAAAATACAATGACGTAATTTGTATACAATGCAAATTTATTTGAAGCAATTTTTAAATTTCAGGAAACAAATTCTGTAGTATATAACATATTATGACTGACCTACTTGACCTGACCTGACCTGATGAAGTAAAAACAGTTTTTGATGTCTAAAATGACAGAATAAAATTATCAAACTGCCAACATTAGTAACACTTTTTACTGTTTGCATTGTATGTTATAGTTTTTCTTTTGCTTTTGTATTCTTTTAACTATCAAAAAATAAAAACAAAAACAAAAACATTTTCAATTCAATGTTTTTCTCAAGATTTTGTTAAGCAAATAAAATAAAATATTGTCTTCATGCTAACAGATAGATAGATAAATAGATACATAGATAAATAGATAGATAGATAGATAGATAAATAGATAGATAGATAAATAGACAGACAGATAAATAGACAGATGCAGAGACAGATAGATAGATAGATAGAGAGAGAGAGATAGATAAATAGACAGATAGAAAAATAGATAGATGGATAGACAGATACATAGATAGATAGAGAGAGAGATAGATAAATAGACAGATAGATAAATAGATAGATGGATAGACAGAT